TTAATTTCTTACGTATCACATCACGATCTATTCCAAAGATCGGCAAAATTTTTTCAGTTTTGAAAGTAGGCAAAATTGTAAAAAATTTAACAAAGTAGAAAAAAATTGTAAATTTTAGCAAAAAAATTAACTCTAGTAATAAACACTTTGGTAAGTTTTAATATAGATATACAGCATTCCATTATTGCAACACGTCACGATCGATTCGAAAGATAGGCGAAGTTTCGAAAGTTGGGCAAAATTCTAAAAAAAAAACAGGATATATAAAAAAATTAATTTTAAGAGCAAAATTGCAACTGCAAGAACACTATTTTCAGTTTGTTTTAATATACCTATACAGAATTCTGTTGCAATACGTCGTAATCATTTTTTTTACATTCGAAAGTGGAGCAAAATTGTAAAATGCAGAGTACAGCTGTAATTTTAAACAAAAAAAAAAAGGAACTTTTAATAAATTCATATTAATTCTTCAACTTATTTCAGGACGCCCTGTATATTATTCTTGTTGCGCTATACTCATAATGTTCGTGATCCAGTGTGCACACGCCTTTTGAAGGCACGCCTCAGCCATTACTACAGAAGTGATTTAATTTAAGCTCATTACGAAATTACATCTAGGGAAATCGCTAAAGAGTTTTTTCTTTCTTACTGACACTCTTAACCATACTGAGCCACCTTACTAATAAAGCCCAGCACATTATACATCAAACGCTAAAATATATGTTACAATAGTATATCACCGGTATTAAACTTGCCTCGAGTGCTTTGAGAAGTCTGAGCTAAGTATAAATATGGTGATTCAGTAAGACTAGGGGATTTAGATTTAATTGTAAGTTATTAAACTTGTTTCACGTTTACCAATTTTTCACTTCATTCACATTTTTATGTGTTACAATAACTTGACCAATTTATTGGACAAATGTAGCGTGGCAACTTTCAGAACAAAAATCTGTGGTAGACTTTGATTTCCATCCTTTAAATACTTAAAATAAAAGCAAATGTCCATGTAGAATGTCACTGAAATGAATATTGTCGTATATTATTACCAGAACCCACTAAAATTGTCCAATAAATTAGAACTACTTTGCCAGTTTTTTATCCAATTTATTGCTAGGAAGTTTATCACAATTTATATATTATATTTACCTACATAGTGTGACCAATATGTTGAGTCAAAATTGATAAATATAAAACAGGATCATTTCTAACAAGATCGGCTTGATTTCAAAAAGTTTTTATTGAGATACATATTTTTTTAAATAATGCTTAAGGCCGGTACACAGGAAGACTCAATTTTTGAGCAAGAAACTTTTTAACAGAAAATAAAAATAAATACAACATACAACATTTTTCTAAACGTTTTCAAACATGTTTGTTTATTAAATTATCAACTAATGATTGGAGCACACATCGAATTTCCCAGTTCAAAAAACGTCCATGACAGAGCATTTTTTCTAAGGCTGAAATCACTTGGTCGATTCCTGAAACCTTTTTTTTGAAAAACACCCAGCCTACTAAGTCCGACAAATTTGAATGAAGCAGTCGAGGTGGTAGGGACATCCTCCTCTTCGGCTGGAGCGGTGGTGGGGGTAGGCCAGGACTCGCGGCCACCTTGGATAAAGGCGAAGGAAAGCCTGAAAGAAATCGCGCCACTCGACGCTTCTGAAACGGTCCTCGAACGCGGCGGGTGAAAATAACAATCGAACGGCGCTGTGGTGTTCGACAGTTGAGAGTTGTGGTGGTTACTGCGATGCCCCTCTTAGGAATGTGACAAATATGGTAACGTTTTTCATTTGTTATTTTGCGGTTGACGGACAATTTTTCGAGAAATCATACAAGAAAACAACACAAAAAAATTAAACAAACGTAAAATTTCAGTTTCAGGTTGTTTTGCTAATTTAACAAGGTTTTGAAAAAACTTAATTAAAAAAAAATGAATAAAGTCAATTGTGCCGAATACAAAAATTGCAACAAAATTAAATTCTAAGTTATCTCAAAATTTTTACTTTCGTGTACATTTCACGATATATTTTTTTAAAATGTTTTAAAACATAATGCGAATTATTTTTTGTAAGTAATACAACGGTATGTTTGAATTTTTCTGAGGCACCAGAATTTTATATTCGTTGAAACAAATGAACATCGCAAAAGCGTCAAAATAAACCGACTTTACTTTTCATAAAAAGACTACTGTACTGTAACTAATATAAGTATAAGATTTGATGCATCTATCTCTTACAGTAAGAGAGATAGGTCCAAAAGAAAGTGCCACACATAATCTGTCAAAGACTTGATTGTCTAGGAATTAATCGCTAATCTCTTTCTAACACAGGCTTATGGCTGTACTTTGTATATTTTTATAATTATTAGATAGAGCTGTACCACTAATTATAAGGAAGTAATTTTTTTATAAACATGTAAAAATGTGGCGGTAAATCTATTTATTTTGACACCAATGTTCATTTTTTAATCTAATTCATAAACAGTCCGTACAATATTTGTTCAGATAGAATTCCAAGAAAACAACAGAAGAAACACGCCTTAGCAACTGCAAAACATAGTATGCACTGCAAGTTGCTGCGCTGAACGCCACGCCGCCAATGTCTTTCTACCTCCGGTGTCGAATGCGGTTAATTCCAAGAATGTGACGCAGGGGTCTTCTTGAAATTCTATATCAAGAAATATCGTACGGACTGTATGTAACTTTTATAGGTATTCAATATTTTTTCCAATCTTCAAAAATAACTATAGGAAAAAAACTCTGTTAGTGTCTGCCCCAATTTTTTTAACTTCGATCTTTAAAGTCCTTTTCTCAGTAAGTCTTTTGATAATAATTTCTATTGAAAATGTACTTTTTTTATATACTCCATATACAGGGTGTCCCCTTCATGTTTTAAAAATACTTGTGTGCAAGTTCCTCATGGGAATATAATAGGGATAGTTCATGTAAAGTTTTTTTCTTAGATGACCTGTTTTCGAGATTCAGTGTGTTGAAGTTGTTACTTTCTATATGGTTTTCCTTAATTATCTCTAAATCGACTAAAGATTTAAATAATAATGTGCAAACGGGTGCTTTCTGAAAAGCAGTGTCATCGATACTGGTAATTGAAGGGGTACAATCGAAGAAAAAATATATTAAAAGTCAAAATTTATTACATTTCTAAACGGTTCTGTAAACTCTAAAGGATACTAGAAAAAAAGGTGTACTTGTCGAAATTCGACGGTAGCATGTACCATTTTCGAGAAAAATGAAGTTGCATTTTTTTTGCTCTCATAAAGCGACACAAGTACATTAACAAAATATTAAATTGAAACAGGACCGTACCATTGAATGAGCTGAAGACATTTAGCTACCAACTCTATTTGCATTTAAGACTATAATTTTAATTTCTTACGTATCACATGAAACAGTTAAATTGTAAAACATTAACTAAAAAAAATCAGTTTCAGTTTGTTGTAAACTAACATTTAAATAAGTAAATCAAAATAAACAGATTATGGTAATTAATTATCTATTATTAACTAATTTTAGATTTTGTAATCTACTACACTACATTACTAAAATAAACCATTGTTGGATGGACTGAATTGTTGATGGACATTTTATTCGAATATCAAAGTGTGTTTTCAGTTGGTTTTTTAAAGTTTTACTCGAAAATTAGCCTTTTTTCGAAAAACATAAGAGAGTGGTAATTTGTAGAAAACTGAAGGACGAATCCGAAGATATCATGGTTGGTACCCTAAATCAGTGGCGTACTATTTTATTTAGAAAAATATGCCACTAGAGCATGTAAATTTCAGAAAAAGTCCTCAGATTTTGGACAACGTTTACGTAAATACACGTACACAATTTCAAATTATTTCACTTACTAGTTTTGAAATTATTTAAAAAAATTAAAAATATTTTTTGAAGTTTAAACCCTGTATATTTTTAACAAAACGTCCTAGATAAAAACTATACAGGAAAGACTTTCCTTAAAATTCACCAAAGAATGCGAGGTTTCATTTTTGGTCACCATTTGTGAATCACTCTGTATAGGAGAATTTAAAACCACAAAGGGAATATCAAGTTAAATAATAATTATCTCAATTATTAGGCTTCCGTGTGCCGTGGTATCATATCCTTGTTTTACAAGAAGGATTTTATTTTTTACTCGATCCCTCTACATGACATTAACCGTTTTGTGGTGTATAATGTCTTCTAAAGTAACAGCTTTGTAATTTTTCTTAATTAAAATAGTAAACCAACAACAAATTTGGGAAACCTTCGTATCAATCGATGTAATGGTTTTTATGCAAACCTAGAAATATTTAAAAAACTAAAATAAAATTACACTTGACAGACGTCAACAATTAGGGAACAATGGAACAATAAAGACAATATATACTCTTTGAAAAGAAAGCGTATTCATTTTGCATTAAACTGAAGATACATTAATATGCAAATAAAAATAATTTTCTACACAAGATGAATTACATTTTTCGTCCACAAAAAAAGTTTTTTTTCCATCTCTTATTGCAGAATCCTCAATTCTTTAGTAGAACATTAAATTTTACACAAAGTTAAATTCACTGTACTTCACTTTTCCCTTTGACTGATGCATACGCTGTCTAGATCAGCAAAAAGAACGACGATTATTCTGCCATATCGACTTGTAACGGATGCGGATTGTTTACAACGATTAAAAATTCTTAGACTGCCTCTTCAAATCGTGAGAAAATGCAAATATCAGCAATCAAACTGTGTTAAACGTGTGCGAAAAGGTTATGCCCCAAAAGAAATCGGTGACAATAATTTAGAACACGCCCACAACTATAAATTTTATCTTCAATTGCGTTAAAAGAAAGTTGGACACTCGGTATACATCTCCAATTTTTTCGCCGTCCGATTGGCACTGCAGATAATCATAAATAAAACTGTTATTTATTCCCCACATCTTACGATAAAGTAATAAGAAACAATCATTTTTGACGGAACACGTTTTTTAAATGAATGTTTCTTGTACTCGTGACTTATGTATTATGCCATATTCATTGATTTCTTTCTCTAAAATGCAAATCACTGATGACTCACCATCGGAAACAATCTTAAATTAAATTCATTCATTACATAAGAACTTTTACTGCGTAGATATGGTCACCTGTTGCTGTCACTGTCGATTTTTTTATCCCTTCAGGGTATCTAGTCCAGAAAATAGAGTATCAGAATATCACAAATAAGAAAAAGTCATTTTTTAAACAGTTGCCTGATTTAAAAGACCTTTCATTCTCTTCGCTCACCTGATCTGACAGAGATTTATTAACGAAACAGTTGCCTATCACATAATTTTTGTAGGAAATCAATTGTATCTTTTTTATTCTAATGCGAATATAGGAGAAAAAATAAATAAAACCTTAACAGACGTACGAAATAAAGATGACATTTTATTAACTATTAAAAGGAACTTTGCAATAAACACATCTAATTCTGAAGGCGCAAAAATAAACTGGACATAATTTAACTGCTTCTTAATGTGGTGTGTTATAAATACCTATAAATTGTTATCAAATAATGACGAAAACATTATAATATCTTTAAAATATTAAGCAATTGTTATTCATATAGTAGTTCAACAAACTGGATATCTTAAATATCTTAAATCTAATCTGAAACTTTGTTTTATCATTGTTAATAGTGCCACAACAACTTGCTACTAAAGCGCCATCTACTGTCCTCGCGGGCAATCATTATTACCTAAATCGTTTTGTCCAGTGTAGTCGTCGTCCACAGAACCGACCCCAAGCCATGCCGTTGCTCTTCCCCAGAGACTTCCTTGTCGTCGATACCGTTAGGGATAAAATATGATTCCACATTTACCACCGATCGGTTGGAAATAGTTAATAAATTAAGGCATTGTCAAGCTTTGCCGCTTTTGCTAAGCTACAGTTACGCAGATCGAGAAAAGATATATGGCAGATGTTTCTTCTAGTTAACAGACTAATACCAGAGGCATTCACTACCATGCGGAAGAATGGTGCTTGGATATCCCTGTTTGTGTAAAAGAAAGTCAAACATCTAGACACCTGCGATAAAGTCGTCGAAGGTGTTATTAGAGCCTATCCCTCCTTATTCTATCCACGTTGAACATAAAATAATTGTTTTAAAACTGCTTGAATCAAAATGTCAAATCGGATCACTTTTTTCTTCCGGTGTACCTCAAGGACCAGTACTGAGACCTCTGCTAGTTAACACTTTTACAAATGACGCCGTACCTTTATTTTGACCTATTACATTAACTTAGTTTTCTCTTGCCTATTTTTCAGATGATTTTCCTCCGAAGGCAGCTGTTTTTTCTACTAATCCTTCTCATCAAGTTAACCGAGAGCGACAGGAAGTCCAAACGTACGAAAGAATACAGACCTCAAGCGCCGTCTTACGAGATATACAGATCCGATTATCTACCCAGCGATTCACAAGTCACTACGTTTCTGCTCAAAGGGGAACTGAAACTGTAAGTAATGAAAAATTTATTAAAAAAGGTGGATAGTTGTTAAATTTTTGTCTATGTAACTTTTTTAATGTACGTTTCTTTGCAAACGAGACAAGAAGTTCCGCAAGGTTCAGTTATTGACCCTCTCTTATTTAACTTGTCAATAAATGATCACATTGCAGTTGAGTACAATGTTATTTAATATCATAGAGATTGTATATCTCACATTAATGAAGCTTTCAAGACGCAAACATTTAAGAATTTAAAAAAGATTGTTGCTTTCAGAGCTCTGATATCTCTAGAGATACATTTCATAAAAATTAAACTCACTCTCCATATTTGAACAATGTATTTAAAATTATTATATCAAAACTGGTATTTTTTTACTGTAATGCCCATCGTGTGAACAAATCCGTTTCTTTCTTTGACCGTGTTGAGCTGAATCAGTGTATTTATGTACCACGAAAGTTGCTGTAAGTAATACCGATGATAACTCAGTTAGCAGGTAACTGATACAAGTTAATATCTTAATCTTGTCAGCGCAAGGTTAGGCACTGAGGACGTTTTTTAAACTTTAGTGGCGTTAAGCACCTATAACTCTCGTATGTTGAAGGGATGTAATAATTTTGCTCTTGAAGCATGTTAGTGTATAACAGAGAACGCGCGGTTGAAATCGTAGGCTTATGTTATCTACGTATAGTCGAAAATCAAATAGATATTTAGAAAGCGGTACCAAACTGTATGTAAAATGTTTTTTTTTTAATAAAATACAATTTTTTTAGTAAATAGTGTTGTCAGAAACTACTCTGCGGACTACATACCCCGTCCAACATTTAATTACACCCTCAGTATCTGGGAAATATCTGAAGTTATTAAGTAGCAATGACATTTAAGATGTGACATATACTTTATAGGTTATATTCCACGCGCAATCAAAACAGATCTAGTTGGCACACTTCTACAGGGTGTGTCTTAGTCAAAACGAACGCAAAAAGTTCAAATACAATAGGTAACCATTCTCTCCCATTATGAAGATATACCAGCTCGAAGATGACCTGCTGATAATATCTTCTAAATCAGTTGAAGTACCAGTGTGGAATTTTATACGCGTTTTTGGCTATTAATGACTTGCACAGTCTGTTTGATTATAAAAGCCCCGGTTACCCAATTTTGGACACATTGTAAAGTAACATATTTTTGAATGGGGTGTTATTTTCTTTATAGTGCAACACAATTTTTTTTTTCACATTGTAGATGTATGTTGACGTTTTTGCACGTTTTGTTTGATTTTTTTATTTTCTTTCCAACCATATAAAATTTAAATGCCTTTGCATATTGAAATTTTTGAGAAAAAATGAGAAAACTTGCAGCCTTTGACTTTAGTTTGTGGTGCTCTCTTTCTAAATCATATCAAATAGAAGGTGCTGGAAAAACAATTTTGCATACTGCTATCTGCCACATATCGGTTTGTTTATAATTGGTGTCACCTTTCAAATTTAACTCATAACAAAATGAATGATTTTTAATGAAGAAGTTGATGTGCTGCTGCTGTTTATTATGAATGTAGAAAAAAACAGTGTTGCAGCTTTACAATTATATCGACAATGTTATTCTAATAAAATTTCCCCAAATGGAAGAAAGTTTAGTAAATTTAAAGCAAATCTAAGACAGTATGGAACGCTAAAGAAGAAAAGAGGTTCTTTAGGATATGCTTGCAATGCAAATCAAAAATTAGATTTACTTAAATTAGATTAGATTAAGTGTGCAAGAAAATCGGAATATTTCCGTATGAAAATTATCCAGGAATCATAACTTAACTGAGTATGTTGTGTATAAAATTCTACATAAACATAAATTAGCTATTATATAGCTGTTTTAAAATTGACAATTTATTGATCATTTACTTCATGAAGCCGCTTCATCAAGTAATTGGACAAGTGTAATGCACCAAATCTGCTGCCAAATAACTTCATGAATTTATTCAAGTTCTTGATGAATTAGAGCATGTTCTAATTTTCGTCAATTTCTTCGTGAAGTTCGGAAGTACCAACCCAACAGATTTCCAGCCTCAGATCAGTACTGAGGTTATGTTATTGGAATATATAAATAATTGTGTGGCGTCGTACTAGTTTTGCATTGTTCTTACTGATTTGTTACTTACAAACACTAATATTTATATGATGTGTCAAAACGCTACCGCTGTTGTATCACTACAATTATGAGTGGAAATGTGACATTTTTGAAATTTATTTGCTACCTTGATTCGTTGGTAGAACTGATTCATGCGTCAAAAAACTTGACAAGTCTGTAGCAGTGTAAAACCACACTGTTTACCAATAAATTCGTGAATTAATTCATGAAGAACTTCGTCAATTTATTCATCAATAAATTGTCAATGTAAAACAGCTATAAGAATGTATGCGTTGTTTATGAGACATCCACTGATAAGTGTTGACATAAGCCTACTTTGAGAAAAGTCACTTATTTTATACACCCTAATATTGTAAGTGTTTAATTAAAAGTATTTTTTCTCGAAAACCGTCCACATTAGGAAGTTCTAACAAGAGTACATTATTTTGAGAAAATAAAATTGTACGTTAGAAATTGGATCGCGAATGGCAAAAACCTAACCTTAAAAAAATTAGAACTTAAAATGTAATAGGAATATAACATAACTAGCGCCCTCTATGAAATATCCAAAAAATAATTTAATCAACGCCTTTGGCATCCATAAAAACCCCGGAAAACCAAATTTCATAATAATATTTCGCACCGTTTGGAAATTTTCGTAACAATTGTATTTAAAAAATTTTATTTTGTCGCTCTGTATCTCGAAAACAAGAGGAGATAGACATATAGTTCATAAGGGAGGTGTTTCTGAAACACCCTGTATATACTTTACAGGGTGTCCAAAAATGGGTAGCCGAGTTATAGCCCGGAGTCATTATAACCAAACAGACTGTATTTATACATTCACGAATAAATGGGTTGAGTACATGTTACTTATACATAGTCACCTTGATAAAAAGACCTGTATAGATGGTCGTCCCACAATTTGGAGGTTATAATTTCGAAGATATCGGTCTTTACCAGTCCAAAATAACACAGACGTCATATTAGCTCTAAGAACACGATTTTCAGCCCCAGACGTACGCCCCTGACCTAGTGAACAGAAATACTGACACATAACCTAGAAAGAGGTGTATAATTACGGGTTCTAAAATATCCCCATCTGGCAAGAAACCCATAGACACCTAAATCACGGTCCCGCGAAACTCCAAACGTCAAAACAATAATAACGAATTCCGTTTCTAGTATTTTTATGATTCCGAGAAAGCGGCGGTCCTACAATGTAGCGAAAAAATCGGTGGGACCGTTAAAGGGTCATTAAAATGTCACTTTAATAAAATATGGCTATTGTCCCAAATATCTCGAGTGCTATTAAAAAAATATATCGACGTTAGACGCCAAATGCGCTGCTAAATGGACGACCTCCTTTGACCCGCTCGCTATAAATTCGCGTCCCTATAATGTTCTCTTTATCCCCTGGAACAAACAAAATTTAGGTATGAGTAGGCATTTTTTAATTTAAAATTGATATTTTTTTATTCAAACTGCACCAAACTTCAAACGTGGTCTATGAATCAAATGCAGCGCTTTCACTTATTAAAAAAAAAATGCTTAGTTACAGGGTATTTGGAAAAACGGAGCCTTAGATTTAGGACAACAAAAACTGTCATTTGTTTTTGAGTTTCAAATGTTGGTTTTACAGTAGTATACAGGGTGGGCCACCAGTAACGCTTCGGTGGCTAAGGACCAAACGGCTACGTTTTAAAAATATTTTGAAATATACAGGGTGTCCAGGAAAAGCGTACCATATCAAAGTTATGTATTTTTAAATTAAAACACCCTGTACTTTACAGCATTTTTGAAAACACCGTAAAAAAATAGGTGAACTTTATTAAAGGTTCTGCATACCTAGGACTTTTGTTTGTGAGATATTTCAATTTTAGTGAAAATTCAGGCTTAGCGTAGAAATTTAATATTAGCAACAAAAAAATAATTTTAAGGAAGAATCTTTGGAAAGAGTATTTTAGATCCTTGAAGTTATAAATTATTATATTTGTCGTGACTTAGTATTGTACAGGGTGTTCAAAAAACTCCTGGATACTTTTCTCAACTTTAAACAGCAATAACTTGGTTATTTTAATTGGGACATCCAGTATATTTTTACTTTGGGAGTTTTAAGTTCTCTATCGGTTCGGTATCGGAGATATTTGTGCCGTTTTGGTTTTTATTGGATTTTTTTGTAGGTGTCCTTATCGAGGTCTTTCTTGAATTGGTAAAGCGTCAATCATGATAATATTCAAGAAAGTTTTCTAATAAAAATATTTTTTGATAAGCATAATAATTATAAAAAGCTTTTAATTTTGTATAAATATGTTTTTAGTACGTAACTGAATTAAATTAATTAGAACCAACATGAAAAATATTTATTAAAGGAAATGTTACTTTTAGAAGAAACAAAGAAAAATTTTAATCGATGATCAAATTGATAACCATTCTCTTGGATACAGCATCTCATTCGATCTTCAAATGATATTCTCACATTCCTTGGAATATCTAGGGTGATTGTGGCAAGTGCATCTCTAATCCTTTCCTTCATATTATTATCGCAAGTAATAAGTTGAACACTGTGTACTAAATTTTTTATAAAGCCCGAAACAAAGAAGCCCATTACGGTGAGGTCTGGACCTAGGTGGCCACTGACATGCACCATTCTTACTTATCAATTTATTACTAAATTTTCGATTTAAATAATTTCTCACTGAATATGAAAAATTTGCAGGAGCGCCATTTTATTGCATTCTCATTTTTTTCCTTATATTTAAAGAAACGGCATCAAGAAAAATCCAAACCAATTCAATAAAGACCTCGATGAAGACAAGAAAAAATTAGATAAAAATAAAAATACCGTTAGAGATAGGTATAGTATATTTTACAATCACCCCGTATAATATGCACATAATGTAATTATAAAAATACAAATTTATGGCACTTTCTCCAAAATCCCTGTATAGATAGGTCAGAATATCGAGTGAAATTACAGACAGAAATGGATTAGGATGACATAAGATACCACTTTTATATCCTCAACTAATCTTTGGTGTCCGCAATGCTTCGCTTCTATTTTATAATGCTTTCTTTTGACACCTCGTTCAACTACTAGTAGCTATTATTATCTTGGCAAGGTCTCTTCATAACGCATCAGTAACGCCATTTGAATGTGTAGCAAATGCCATAATGTCCCATATTAGCAAGTGCGACGAAATATGACAAATTAACGAGGACTTTGATGTCACACAAAGTTATTTTGGAGCAATGAAACACAATTAATGCTACGTTTAGATCGTTTGCTCTTCAATCTTCGTCATGTATAGGGTAATTTATTTGAATATATCAAAAATAAAATGGTTGGACGTTAATCAGTCCAAAAGGGAATGCAATAAATTCATAAATATGTATGTGACCCCTTAGATGATGCGTCCGTGATTTACTCAAGTTCATATATGAAGTATCTAGTCCTTGTACGATTGTGAATTATGTCTGTGGCATTGCAGAAACTGAATTTGAGGACATTTGAATAAGCGTAACAAAAATTACCTGTTTGAGTCGTGAAAAATATTGATTTTATCGATTTCATTTTGGAAGGAAATAAAATTACTGTTTTAAATAAAAATTAATGGTCACGTGGTTTGGAATCATTTACGAAGGCCCCGTACGAATATCGCCGTCGGATGACAGGCTCGTCGGCATTTTTCCAGAGCAGCAACAAATGTAACAAACCAGACATTTACGCTTCCTCCAGATATTTACCCAGTCGGCCACACTCCAGCCATAAATTTCGGTCCTTTCGCTAACAAGCAACTGTAAAATTTATTTTCGAGACGCAATTAAACATTTTTTCGTCTCGGTTTGCGCAGACATGCCGCGGATCGAAATAACAGATCTTACAACTCACTCAAAGATACGTTTTCCATCTAAAAATATTTATGTGTATCATAAACCGCCAACCGAAATAAATGAACAGTACAGTCATTATGTGGCACTGAACATGTGTTAGCGGGCTATAACCTAGACCTAGGACACTAAAAACTGAGTTGGATACGCCATTGTCGAAAGATGCGTATGTTCATGCCGGGGTGAGCGCAAAGTATGTACCAAACAGGCACGAAATCTTTAACGCTTTTTTTGCTGATCCAAATGTGGTACCTAAATGTATTTCATGAAGAAAATTGAACATTCTTTTTATTCTATAACTTAATTGTATACAGGCCATAAAATTCACTCAGTTATGAACACCTAGAAATAGAAATATTTGATTACCGGTAGAATTCTGTACGATGATTTTTTAAGTAAAATTTTTGTTTGAAAAAAAAGTATTTCAGGCCGAAAAAAATGAATATCTCAGAAACATTTTGATTTTTTTATCTAAAAAAATTTGAGGTTATTTAAGATAGAGAAAGGTATACTTTCACCAAGTCTCGTCAAAATTAAAATATTTTTGCGGAAATGAGAAATAAAAAACGAAAAATCAGAAAAAAAAACTGTTTTTCGCATTTTTCTCGGAAATTTTGAGGTTATGTTAAAAAGTGACTTCTACAAAAGTAGATTTTTGCATGATCTACAACTTTTGTATTGGATACTTTTTTGTTTGACCTCACCTTTCACCAGAAATCCCAATGATACAATTTTCCATAACTTTTCAACCCCCCAAATCAACCCTCCGCCACCCCTGCTCACACATTTATTTTTTTTAGGTTTATTATAAGCCCCTTTACTATTTCTACTTATAAAAGGCCAGGTAACAATTTTTTTTCCCTCTAAATGAGTTATTTTGATCGGTCTATATTTCATTTTTGTTACTTAAACTAGCAGCAACACAACTTTCTGCAATTATTGTGACTGATTTCCACCCACCATGTATTAGCCAGTAACGTTAATGTTCTTCGAAATGAATGGCCTGTATATGTTTTAGGATGTTCTAGTTTCAAAAACTGTGCAATCTTATTAGGAATCATAGAAAGCGTATTCTTGCCGAATGGTTGGTTGTAATATCTACCTGCTTGAGAGCACATAAAAAAGCGTGAAATTTTTATTTTAATTTCCGAAAAGAAAATAGTTTGATACTCCTTTTTATGAAATTTTGATAACAATATTCAGTGATTGTTAATTAAACTCTCTCTAGATTTGAACATCGCGATACTTTTTCACGTTATTTTCACGTTATATCCACGTTACGAAACGTCAATTTGTCGATTTTTTGAAGTAGTTTTTAATTAGCAAAGCAAAAAAGCTACGTGTTACTGTATTACCCTCAAATCATAGTATGACGTGATTTTGACGCTATATATGTTATGAATCGGTGTTATACCTCATTTATTATTGATTTCGCCACAAATATCGGAAAAGCCCTTAAAACAATAATAAATACTTAAATAAATATAAATTATCTTATTTAACGTCAGTTTCACGTTACCACAACCGTAATGAATTCTCAATGTCTTGAAACGCGAATGTTTTAAATTCTCTAGCTTATATTTAATTTTATTTAGCAAAGCAAACGATATTAAACTGAAATGCATAATATGAATGATAAATATATATGAACATATTTTCTACTCTATAAAATTAATTCTACTTTTATGCTTCATTATATTAAATTTAACAATAATGCTATTTTAGTTAGTCTAACTTTTGTAGGTTTGTATATAGTCACGTCAGTTTTACATTTTATGACCGTCATGAATCGTCAAGGTCATGAAGTGTCAATCCAGCGAATGCTATAAGGCTTCCTGAATTATCTTTGTAGTATTACATAGCGCAACAAAACATATTGAGATTATGCCGTTACTGCACCTTTTTGAGATTCTATGAGGTACGATTTGGCACTGCATATATTTTTTTATTGATTTCATCAATTCTAACGTTCTGTATAACATGTATCGTCCTCACACAATTTTTATTATTTGTTTTGCCCCACCATATTGACTGAATCAGCAAAAGAAAACTAACTAAATAAATACAAATTCCATTTTCACTTTAAAAAAACTAACAAATGTGTCTCGAGCGCAGATTTCTTCGAGGCGGTAGTTATTTAGTCCATTTTCTAGATCTAGACTGTTGGGGGTCAAACATTCGACCCTACTCTAAATTCAGATTAGTAACTGGGGATTGAAGACTTTGTCGTTATTTATAAGTCAGTTAAAATTACAAAGGTGACTTGTGTTTGCATTCTTTCAAAAAGAAAGGATCCATTCTCTAGGATATTGTACAGAACCGTATCCAGTTAACTTGTCGCGACAAATCTGAATTATTCCCAAAACGTCTTCAAAAAAACTATCCACAGTTTTGAATTTCAGACTCTACTACTTATCACCCATCGACAATGGGTCTCTGTCAACTACCATCATCACTTGCTCGTCTCCAGTACAATGGTCCATGAAATTGAACCAAAACGGCTCAACAGGTACTTCATGTATAATTGAATAAAAACTCAAAATAAAGCAATTCGTCTTTCAGCAAAACCATCAAGCAAAGAGCACAACAGAACATTCCTCACCGAGGATATGACGACCAAGAACTTCACAGCCTTCAAGGAGCTGTACGTGCTGCAGCTCACCGCCCCAGAATCCGACACTTACGTCCACATCTACATAAGCACCGAAGCGGACGGCCCCCAAGCGTTAAGAAACTCCTACCTCCAAAAGCTCCGCTTGCAGAAGAGGCAGAAAAAGAAGCGACTGACGATAAGATGGGAAGCTAGGTAACCGGCTGATTAAAATTTCAATTGGTGATAAAACTAAAAATTTATTATTAAAAAAAAATAAATGTACTTCGAGTCTACCTGTCATCGCATGCCTCTAGTTGGCAGCACAAGAGTACGCTACAGGTCTTCCCATAGCAGAAGCCTTTTTTCACTCGCTACTTATCATAAACGAGATATTTATCTTCGCGGCGGTGATCTCCGCATGTTCGTTACATAATGTTAATAGTGGCAGATAATAGGATGGGTTTTTTTCTCGTGCTAGTCGAGCCGTACGGTTGAGGAAGGTCAAGACCGTGGCGTTTAGTATGGCAAAATGTCGCCGTGTTAGCCATTTTAATTGCCACCGTTGTCTGAATCCGAATTAGTTCATTACCGCCATAGTTTTTGTGTCTGTAGCTCGGAGCTGGTAACAATATCGATGCTGGTAAGGGGGTACAGGGTAGCCCATGCAAGGTGCTGACATTGATTTTATTACTGAACATCTTATTAAATGAAAAATAAACTAAAATAACAAAACAAATAATAACATTTAAATTACAAAATAGAAAAAAAGAGAAAAAATAATGGTAGATAATAATAATAATACAGCATATCGTGAAAATAGAGACTAAATCAAATTACATATTCATGTATGATCAAAAATTGATAAAGAAATAAAGAAAATTGCGGTATCGTATACAGGGTGTTTCTGCTAGAAGAGCGTTCTTTGAAAAAGGACACGCAAATTAGCAACTTTTATTAAACAACTGATGGTCTAAAAAATTACGTTTTAAATTGAAAAAACTTTTCACATAAAGGTTTAAACAAATTTATAGCCGTCCTGGTGCGGCGTCCTGCTGTACCTTTGATATCGAAGCTGCCGCGCGCCGCAGTGCGAAAGCGCTGATGGCGGTTAAATTTTGTGTTCGAAAATGCTGGATATATTCAAATCTCGTTTAAAAGTAACACAAAATTTAAACGAATAAACGAATTACTTGCCAATAGACGATGTGCTCTGCAAATACTGTTCAAAGTTGTTTCCAGGTGCTAATAAACATGCTTCCAAACGAAGGTCAAAACACCCCACCACGCATTCGCTGAAATCAAAATTCATATAAATTGTACTGACATTATCCGTACATTATCACCATATCTGCTAGTTCTTGATTAAAAAACATTTTACACGTCGGCTAAGTAATACTGCAACACAACGCACGTGCACAAGATGCACAGGGTCGGCTTACTTTTATAACTAATGTTCTTAATTAATTTTCTGGAAAACATAAGCATTTAGACCATCACTTGCTCGATAAAAGTTGTTCATTTTCGTGCTCTCTATGACCCTTTTAAACGAACGCACTTATTTCGGAAACACCCTGTATTTTATGCTTCCCAAAAAGACCCGAACCTCTCGATTGAGTACTATCAAAAAAAAATTCAGATAAATGTTGTAAGATATCACAAATCTTGGTTTTGACCTTGACTTTAAGTTTCAAGGACAAATCAAGGTCAACTTGAAAATATTAAATAGAAATTCAATTGTTTATACCAGCAATCAATAGAGTCCCGTATTTTACGTCCGAATCTGGGTTCGGAAATTTTTCCCGGCATGTCCTTGGTTATTTGCGAGTCAAACTCATTTTTCTCTAAATATATTTTAGGCAAAATTTGTACGATTTTGAATGACACATTTCAGTCGAACAGTTATATTTAGTTTTATTATTTATATCCATTACTTTTTGCGAAATATGACCTTCAAACGACCTGCAAAGACATCTGGAAAAATATAACATATGCACGTAGAAGGTGCTATGTTGTCGTTGGCAAAAAAAATACGTATTCCAATTGATATTGACTTGACCATGGTTTGACATTGCAACTTGTGTTGAAGGTCAAATCCAAAAATTTCACCATCTAATTCGTCATTCAAAATCCTACAAGTTTTGCTTGAAACATTTTTTCCACAATTCGATCTTGTCGAATTATCACAGAAGAATGAGTTTGACCTTTGACTTTCAAATGACCCACCAGTGCACGCAAGTATCGGGGGGGTTCGGGTCTTTTTTTTACGCCCTGTAGATAATAAATTTTAGTTCTGTCAAAATGGATGAATAAATTAAAGCAAAAGTCACCTGATTATTTACTACAGAAATATATATTCAGGAAAATATAATTAATGAACTTATTGAATTGAATAAAAAAATAGAAACAATCAAAATTTGGACAAACAATATTCAAATGATGTCAAAATATGACATATTTCAAAAACAAAGACTAAACTAAATTATAGATTCATCCAGTGTTTTGATTTATATTTTAATGCATAAGTAAAGAGTTTATTATCAGAATTAGAAAAAAGTTATACAAAAACAAAGGTTTTTCTCAGTATTTGATATATGTCTACTCAGAAGACATTCTGCAAATAAGAGAGAAGATGTTAATTCATGTTGTCTTGCTTCGCTATAAATTAAAACACTAGTAATTAATTCCGCTTTGTTGCAGATTTGAACACTTGAAAAATTGATGTAAACACTAATCCACAATAATAGGAGCACTATGAAAACCACAGTAATAGTAAATAAATAGGCATTCGTCAAATGGACCTTAAAATACGTTTTAATACAATACAGTCTTTGAATACACTTTTTTCTAATTCTTATAATTTAACTGTATCGAATTTCAAAATATAAGTAAAACTGTAAATTCAAAAATATATATATAAAAAGATATTGATATTTTAACGGGTATTTAAAGAACTTACCAAATCTTATAACTCTTCAATGTATGTTATAACCGCAAATTCTTTAACAACTCTTTACTCTACTTGGCTCTGATCGATTAGAACATTCAGTGGACCACCCCGTACATATATATTTGTTTCAACAATAAGGAAACAGTGACATGGATTCCACGATTGGTTTTTTACTTGCTGGAATGTATTTTCAAGATGAACACGACACTTGCGACACTACACATTCCAAGAATACGCTGTAAACTGTTATGCCAACTACCTCGAATTTATGATTTATCTGTATATTCGTATAGCTATAAAATTCGTATAATACAAAAGATTGAACTATTACTGAAATATATAATAGGGATATATCACTGTAGTTCTTTAATCGGATCGAATTTTCAGCCTTGTGGACCCTCAAGGGACAGATTACTGTTTGACAGTAAGCTCCAAGAAGAACTACAAAACTCTGTGTTCAGCTCAAGCTGAGAAATTTGGAGTAGTACCTCCATCTGTCACTGGGCAAGCGCTAGTAGCATCCCAAGCGGCTATAAATTGGAAACCAAAAGGAAGGGACATTGGTAAAGATAATTTTTACTGCAGGGGTAACCTGCTAAACGTCCAGACCTGAATCCACAATTTTTTCTTTAAAAAGTTGATAAAATGAATTGCAAATCAAAACGCATAGATTCTGACAAAAATACTCTTATAATTTTTTCCTAGTGTTATGCTTGTAGAATCAAATTTTCTTTATGCAGTAGAAAATAATGAATTATTCTACTATTTCCAGTTGTAATCAGTTTTAAGTTTTTTTCTTGTTTTCCAGAGAAGTCAGCTTTTCCTTTAATAGCCTGCGTAGGGCGGAAAAGGCAGTACACAGTCCCCAATTTGAAGCAGGGGCAGACCTATTACTTCGATCTATTCGCAACAAATAGACAGTCAAACTTGACGTACTTTTTTGGTTCTACATCGACAAAATTCGACAGTCGAATCAAGCCGATTTCCCTTCGAGACGGAAAGTCAGTATTCGCCAACTTAAGAAAATTCGATGGAAAAATTGTGTTCAAATTCAAGGTAAACAGTTGGTCAAAAGTAAACTTATTTCTTATGTATGAAAGAGTTGTAACTTTATAGCAGCAGCTATAGACCCATTGGTCCAACACCTGTTCCTTGTAAGATAATGGAACGAATTTATAGTGATCTTGTCCCATTTTTATTAAATAACAAAAATGTACCATTGTACTCAATACGGCTTCTTACCAAACAGGTCTGTGGTGTCCAATTTGCTTCAAGTTTTACACTATGGATATAATATACAAGGTGTGGCGTATATAATCTATAAAAGTTGTACAACAGCTTCCTGATGATATTTGTAATAGAAAAGTCTTATACGAAAAAGTTCTATCTTCGCATTTTTTTTGTAAATTAAAGTTCATTTATTCAACGAAAATGAAGGCCTACCCTGTGTTATTTATTAAAAGATTTGGAAATGTTTTTATTCGACCCGAGAGGCGACCTTATAATTTAGGTCGTTATAAACTAATACTAATACCTAATACTAAAAGAAGGTTAGGTTACATTGTCAAAAAATTTGTGCAGTCAACTGATTTTGTATTGGTATTGAATTCATTATTCACTTAATTATTAAATATTAAGCGTCGTCCATCGACCCATCAGTTCTAAAAAGTGTAAAAGAAAATATTTTGCCCCACAATTGAACTTTAATTTACGAAAAAAAAAAAACGCAAAAATAGAACTTTTTCATATAAGACTTTTCTATTACAAATGTCGTTAGGAGGCTGTAGTTTAATTTTTATAGATTATACACGCCACACCCTGTATAGATTCATTTGGCACTGAATTTGAACTTTTCGCGTTATCTAAATTTTGCTCATACGTAATTTTATTTTTAATATTAGAATCTCATTGTATTTATAATCATGTCAGATATTGTAACTGAACCATCAATATAACAATAATAATAGTAACTGTCTATCACTGGTCTCTAAAATATTGCATACTAGAAGAGAAACCGCAAGATGTAGATCATAATTTCAGAATAAGCAGAATAACAATCCCAAGAGACTGCCAGACAATCTAAATCTTAATTACCTGGTTTTCCTCTGAAGCGAAGACAAGTATTTTGCTACCACGTAATTCCAAATACATTTAAAACTACTAAAATGACATAGTTACCATATTAACCTTAACATGCACCTGCTAAACATAATTTCATTTGACTTCAGGTGGGTAAGGTTCGTGGGAATCCCTTGAACATCTTCATAATGCCCTGTGGAGCTCTGATAGACGCAGAAGTATCCCTAAAGGGCAAAACAATCATTTCTAGGGAACGTATAGAAAAAATGGACCATATCGCCATCAAATCTCCCGAAGAAGGCGCTAGATATCACATCAAAACAGTAGCTGTCAACATTAATAGAGAAGGTGCTGGCAGGAACTCTGGAGTAGAGGTAGCAACTCTTGCAAATAGACAAAGGAGTTTGTTATGTGTATCTTCACTTATTTTAGGTCTTCGCTACTTCTAAATCGACTTCTAAGATTCCTCTTCCCACCATGCCGTCTCAAACGGCGGTGGAAGAAATCGCTTCCATGAGGAAGTGCAACAGCGTAACAGTGGCTTGGTTGCCATCGCCAGGGGAGAAAGTAGGACACTACTGTATACTGGTCAAGGAGGGAAAGCTCAGGGAGGAGGATGACTACGGCATTCCTAATCAGTGTGGACTAGAAAGCAGATTGAAGAAAAGCGTTAACTTTGACGTGAAGTGTTGTAAAGATATTCGACATAATTACACAAAGTAAGATAAGTTGATCACTCGTACTTCAGAGAGAGTATATAATCAAATTATGTAAATCCTGATAGTTGAATTTTCCTTGAGTTTCACTACTATGTCTTCCAAAGTGCAGTGAATATCAAGGAAAATTGGATGATAGAAGGGCTTAATCTTACAATCCTTTTGTTGTTTCAGCTCTGTTATAACTGAAAAGATCAACTACCTAGGTCCGGGAAAAAGCTACGTGGTTCAAGTAATAGTGAAGAAGCCCAAAGGAAAATCTTTGGCATACGATCTTCTTCAAGTCCATACAACACCAAGTTGCCATAAATATTAACATTGTGGTTTATACTAGTATTTATTAAGTCTAGTAGGATTAAGTTTTTGTAAATATTTTGTGACATAATGAATATATTCTCGTTTTTCTCGTCTGTGTTTGATTCCTGAAGAAATATAGAAATTCAATAACCAAAACAACCAAGAACACCTGTCTAAATAGAGCAAGATTCGGAATTAATGAAAGTGATAAAGGTTAAAAAGTAAAAAAAAAAATGGATTTCATTTAAGCAAGATAAATTTTTATTACTAAATATATTATTTCTAACAGCCAGTGACAACAAATCAGTGTCAGTGTTGACATAGATCAGGGCGGATCTATTTTGATGTGGATGTGAGAGGGGGCAAGCATATTTTTTCTGGATTACCTTCAACTCAACTCACATAATAAAAGTGTAGATCCCTAGATCTGGGCGAGGTCCAGAACATTTTCAAAATTGCAAAAATGTTTAAAAAATTTAAAAAGATACTTACTTTATCTGAGTTTTTTACTTATATCTTGGAACCTAAGCATTTTGGAAGAATATTGAAAAGGAAAGAAGTTTTAGAATTGAATTTTGCACAATATACTGTAAGTTCAAAATGTTTAAATTTATTAACGATATTGCAAAATAGCAATAATTGATGAAAAAAAGGCAAAATAATCAAGTTTTTTTGGAATTTTTTTTTTAAATATTTTAATTGCTCCGAGGGCATTCTAATTTTGGTAAAAAATACTGTAGAGTATAATAAAACAACACACCAAATTTCATTAAAATCGGTTTGATAGTTTTTGCAAAATAATTTTTTTAAAAAAAAATTTCCAGTAAATTTAACTCTCCTTTTTTTGTCTTTAAACAATTAGATTACATTTATCAATTTGCAATTAAGTTTTTTTCAAAAATTATAATTGTAAAGTACTATTTTTTCTTAATTTTATTTGTATTTAACAAAAAAATTAATTTCCAAATAATTTTTTTTTTGTTTCAACAAAAATTATTTAAAAGATTGTAATAATTATAACTAAAAACATTCATATTCAGTGTATGTAAAAAAAAATAATTTTTCATTGAAAAAATGTAATAGGGTAAAACATAAAGTATATTTAACGCATAAATAATACACTTTGTATATAAAAATATGTGCAAATTAGATAGTTGGCATTACGATATTCGTATTCATTGGCTCGCGAGACATCGGGTGAAAAAAAAAGGTCGAAATTGGTCCATTAGAAGTCGAGATAATGCAATTTTTTTCGTACCTTCGCATTTTGAACCTCCGAATTCAGCGGAGCGAAAGCCCCCTCCTCCACTTTTCGTGTTTGGAGTCACTTTCGCGCGTACGAGCGACAGCTTTTCCGCTGATTTATCTATGTTGCCGATAACTTATGGATTTCCCAATTATCTAAAGACCAGTAAATTTTACGAATACTTTACAAGAATACTTTATTGCCACAAACTGATTGTACATTTTAAAAATATTTAAAATTATTTAAAAAACCAGTGGCGTACTTTTTTTTTTCAAAAAATGTCCCCTACTCTCCCAATAACTACGTCACTGGAATGTATTTTGGAATAAGTTATCCATGAAAAAATAGTTCCTACTAAAATAATATGATCCCCCAAATTTTATCACTAAATATTTTTTGGCAGTGAAGTTATAGGAAAAATCATATAAATATTTAAAACTTTTAACACCCTGTATCTCCGTAGGGAAGCGTCCTATCAAAAATTTTTTATAGGGCAAAATTTGATTATTTTCATCGGTAGAATACGTCAATAAAGTTTGGCAAAACTTATCATTAACACCCTGTGTACTAAAATTAATAATTGTTGATTTAGTGAAGATTAAAAAAAAAAACAACGAAAAATTTTGCATTAAATTGTTAATAACAATGAAAAATTTTTAATCAATCGAAAAACCCCTACCATGTTGCCCGAGTGATGTTATTATGAAGCTCTGTACAAAATTTCGAGTCGATTCGTTGAAAACTTTTTGCATTACGTTTCCGGACAGAAAAAATGTGGTTTCTTCAAAGTTTTTATTGCCATCAGCAAAATAAATTCGCAAGTTTTTGCGCACTACCTCAAAAAAACTCATATACCTGATTTTTCAACCACCTATTTTTTTTTCCTACATTCTTCACACAATAAAGCATCGGGTAAACCATTTACCGATTTTTTTCAAAATTCTAGAGTGGCATTACCCCTTAAGACATCAAAATTAACAAGATCATTCGTTGGTTGTCTCATCTATGGCAAATTGATAAGGTATTTTTGACAATTTTTTAACAAAATATACTATTAAGACAACGAAGACAGTTCATCAAATTTTATTAAATATGAATTTGGTTCACAGGAAAGAGATTCTGTAGAGAGCTAAAATCAGTATCGTCAGTTATAATATAGGCAACCAGTAGTGACTTACTGAAGTCTTGTTGGTAATATCATGCAATTGTATCAATCCCATCATGATTTGAAGAATCGAACTTTCACAGTACCTACGTGAAGCTTTGTAATCTCCAATATCTAATTATTCTAATTAGACTTATGTTTGTTTAATTTTTAAAAACATTTAACATCAAGAAAGTTATATCTCTGCTAATCCATAGTTGCGTGCGTTGTCACACAATGTGTTTAAAATTAACATACTTCTGTATAAGCTAGATAATCCCGTATACTTGGATAACAAATGACTCCTTCAAGTGCACTTTGTTCAGGGATAAAATACGTTTTTTTCAGTAAATCCAGCTCGTTGAGAATTTTCAGCTTCTACATGAGCTGCAATAATTAAAGCTAATGCAAAAATAAATTTGGGATCAACTCTTATCAGATGGATGGTACCAAGTCCTCTTGTTGAGTGCTAACAAAACAACGGAGCCAACAAAACAAACACGTGCCTAAATTATTTATTATATTATCGTTTATCAAACAATATTTGATCGGCATATCATTCTGTCTATTTCCCAAACGTTACTACCTGTTATTAAGAGTGATAGATTACCAAAGCTTCGCGAAGTGTAATAATAGATATATCGATTTTAGTGCATTATGTCCGAGTGGAACAATTGAAGGTGAACCTTAATTTTCGTAGCAACAGTAATAACAATTTACTGCATGTATCTGAAATGCCATAACCTTTCCGTATAAAACATAATTGTATTATTAAATAAAAAATAGTATCCATTTTTCTGTTAGACTAAAAATGATGCAGTAGTATTTTTCCACTACAATTCTTTGACTATCAATTGTTTTATCTAAACTCATCATGTTAATAGTGCATGCCATATGTTTTAGAAATGATCTTATATCAAAATCCATTTAGATAATTTTATTATAATATACCTATATTACATGGTATATCTGAGTAGATGAAATGTATGCATGTGTAGATTGAGGTGTAGATTTTCATTCGCTAGATCATATAAAATCGTCCTAAAGGTAAGAAACATTAGGTGGAGTAATTTGATAGTTTAAGTTTTTGTAGTGTTTAATTTTTAAATTACAAATCATAGTAATCCTTCAGTTTTGGTCTGCCTCCTGGAGAAACTGTATATGGGCCAAATCACCAATGTCGTAACCGGACCATTGCTAATGTTCCTGATTTTTTGGTATTATTTAGTACCTATTTAGAGTAACTTTCATGAATATTTTCAAATTTTTATTTCCACCATTCGAATATTTTGGGTAAAAAATTCTCAAATACCTATAACTTGGCAAAAACTAAAGATATTATGATCTTTTTTTCGTTTTGTTTGTTTTTGAAATGTTGTTTTATAAAAAAAATATATAAAAATAATGCATCTATAGATTTTTAAGTGTTTTTTGATTTTTAAATCATAAAGTGCTTTCTGAAAAAGAGTGGAGTTTTTTTCTTCGAAAAATTCTCAAAAGATCGTGTTTTAATATGCAAATTTATGAGACAGGTTCTAAAGTGGGATCTTTTTTATTCTATTTTTATTTGAATAATTTTGTTTTTGTATTGTAATTTTTAACAGATAATGTACTCTATTAAACCTAGTTTTACCTAACCTAAATTATAGAAGTAAATTGAGATAATAATTAATTACTAAAAATACCACATTTTTAAAACTACTTCTACTAATATTGTCATTACTATATATTCAAATTTTTAATTAACTATAAATGTCGATTTTTTTCGATATAAAATTCTTTGTTTTGCATAATTTACCGCTCATATAAGTGCAATCGTTACGAAAGCCAGCAAGAATATGGGTTTTATTATACGCAATTCGAGAGAATTCCAATCGGTGGATGCATTACTTTGCCTGTACTATGCTTTTGTTCGCTCCAAACTGGAATACTGTTCTTCTGTTTGGTATGGCAATCAGAAGTATATGATTGAATATATACAGAGAAAGTTCTTGAAACACGTATATTTTAAGCTGCATGGATTTTATCCACCTATAGGTTATCCCCATGATATGTTATTGGCAGAGTACAAAGTTAACAGCCTAGATTCCCGTAGACTCTGTATTGCTATAATTATATTGTTTAAGATCGTTAATAATTTGATGGACTGTCCTGAAATCCTGAACAGACTAGAATTCAATGTACCTCGCTTGAACTCTCGGCATCGTGACACCTTTAGATTGCCTTTTCCGAAAACGCATATGTTATCATCATCTCCATTGTATCGGATGTGCATGAGTTATACGTCGCTCCAAGGTTCAATAGACTTGTTTTTTTCATCTGTTTCCAAAATCAAGACTATAATATTGGGATCTTAGTATTCCTTTTTCTTGTTTTAATTTGTGCTATTTATGTGTTTTAAATCTTTTACTTAACTTGTTTAGTTTGTCCATTTGCTTGCTTTTTACGATTGTTTTTGTTTTATTATCTTAACTTTATATATGTAAATAATATGTGTGTAATTAGCCTGCCCGGTAATTGGTATTTAGCTGTTGGGCAGATGTATCTTAAAATAAAAATAAAATAAAATAAAATAATGTCGCAATACTTGTTATATTTTTGACCATTTGTATGTAGTAAAAACATTTATATGTATATTATAGACTAGGATGGCCCAAAAAATACGATTTTTTTTTCGTGTCTCTTATGAAAATATGTTAGTTTATCATGTTTTAAGAACCCCCTCAAAAAGTCAACTCAAGAAAAATGTTTTTAGAGGTCGCTCAAGATTTTTCAAAATTTCCAAAACTATTGACAAAAATATTTCAATTCTGAAAATTTAAAATCGATATTTTAATTTCTAAAGGTCACTCATAATTATTTTAATTTTAAAAGTAGTGTACCTAAAATGTTTTCGATCTCTAAAAATAAATATCAACGAATTAACATTTTTTTTGTTGAATTTGATGAACAAAAGAATAGAAATAAATCACGAGAGTGCGGTAGAGAATCTTTTGAGGTAAAATTTACCACACTACACTGGGTATCAAAAACTTATTTATAATTTTTTAATTTTTTAAAATTTAAGTGTCTTGTGATTTATTTCTATTATTTTGTTCATCAAATTCAATAAAAAAAATTATCAGTTCGTTGATATTTATTTTTAGAGATCGCTCGAAAACATAGATACACTAATTTGAAAATTAAAATTAAATTAGACCTTTAGAAATTAAAATATGGATTTGAAATTTTCAGAAACGAGATTTTTTTCAACCTAGAAAATGATAAAATAACGAGAAAAGAAATTTTAAGAAAATTATATTTTTGACGATTTTGGAAATTCTTAAAAATCTTGAGTGATCTCTAAAAAAATTTTTTTTGAGCTGATTTTTTGATGGGGCTCTTAAAACATGATAAACTAACATATTTTGACAAGAGACACGAAAAAAAAATCGTTTTTTTTGGGCCACCCTAATATAGACAGAAGTTAACGACGAAATAGAAAACATCAATTTCTAGAACACTTGACGGATTTTATTTTCTGTATTATTCCATTAAATATACCCGTCAGTGATCCAAGCACAATTTAGAAGGATTTAACTCCTGTAGTTCTATACATACACTTATAAAAAAATGAGTCGTCGGTGCACTGGTCGTAAATACGACGAAAATAATATTAATAATAAATTTTAATATTGTTGTATCAAAAATGTTTTTTGGTACGCAGAGCTAAATATTTTTTATATATACAGGGTGATTCACAATTTATCCAAAACAAATTGGTAATAGATAGGTATATCATGAAGTCAATATCGTAAAAAAAAAAAATTGTAAAATCCTTATAGTTTCCGAGAAAATAATGATTGAAGTTGTACGCAATACGCTCTCTGTCCACGTGACCTCAGGCGATTCCGAATACTAAAATGCGATTTTACAGTAGTTTTTGAAGTGTCAGAAATGGCTTAAGTCAGGTCAGGTCAAGTTTTACAGTGGGCCAGTATCCAGTACCGTGCATAAGTGTATTTTTAAATCATTTTCGTACTACCCTTTTTGATTTTTTGACAAAATTGTATTTGTAAGAGTCCCTTGTACATTCAAAATATATTTTTTTTAAATAAGCTCTGGATCACCCTGTGTATATATAATTCTAAATTAAATTTGTCGATAACGACATATGTTCTCTGTCTATCTGTTCTTGAATTAGAAATATTTATTATTGGCATATCATTCTTATCTACGGTCATTTTTATTGATTCGTCACTGCAACATGCAGCCAATTATTACTAGTATAGGTAACCTACAAAGAACTAAATTGTCAAAATTTCGAATGTAACCACTAAAAATCATCGAAAATGCATTCACAGCAAGATAAAATCATATTGTAGGTTTATGTTAAAAATTTGTTTTCTTCTTGTCTACTGAAAGCTCTTCGCTTTATATCCCACGGATTTTTTTCTTAAGAAAAAAGCATTAATTTCAGAAATTTGCTAATACTCATGTTCTTCTTGGGTAACATTTATATTAATTAAAGTTATGTGAGCCTTTTTTTCAACTAATTTATTAACAGTTTCAAAAGGACATACCTAAAAATATTTAAAAAGTTCGAATAAAATGATAATATTTTACAAGGTGACAGCAACAATTTTGATTAGAAGGCATGTGGAATTAAATTGAGCATATAATTATCTACGACCACAAAAAAATAAGATTTCTTGTTAGGGATGAAATATCTTTCTTTCGATAATTTGTGAATTTGTTAAAAATGGCATCTATTCTTTGTTACAAAATATATTATTTATGAGAAGTCTGTAAGAAAAATTATCTTCATTATTGAGTGATCCTGCCCTTTTTCATATCCAGATGCATTGTCTTTGTCTGTTCCCATCGTCCCATTAGGTTATCTCGTGACTGTGGCGTGGTGGATGGCAGTATGGCGTATGGTGTGCTTTGGAGTTGGAAAAGTATCGGTTTATCTGGTTATTCTAGTGAAAATTGTATTTAAATGCACTGATTTAATTACAATAATTAAAGACAATATATTAAGTCTCGATTAACATTTGGTTAAATAAACGGATACTTAAATTGTTATCTATAATTACGTATTTGTAACGTACAATATACAGGTAGGTTATGGCTATTTATTTATCCGATCAGTGAACCAATCGAGACCTAAATTATTGTCTCTAAAACAAATTTGTGTTGAAACCACCATGACTGTTTAGTAGTTTATGACTGATATTTAAATTAAAATTTCAAGAAAATATAAAGTGATGCAAAACCACTCCAAACGTTAATAATATGGAAGCATTTATTAAGTAAATTGGTAATAATAACATTAGTAGACCTAATTTCACATAACATGGCTTTAACCCAAAAAATATACAAATTTAATAAATTAGAAAAAAGTTATTACAAAATACCGATATACTATTAAAAAAAAAATGTAGATCTGAGACAATTTCTTTACAATATCTCTCCTAATTTGAATGTTCATCGTTTGCAGAACACGCTGTATAGCGTCTAATTAATTTCAACACAATATGTCCTAATTAACCATTTTTGAGTGATTTATTTTTGCACTCTATATTTAGTTAATTAAAAACCAAGTCTGAGTAAAGAATGACTAAATAATAGTTAAATTTAAATCATATTACAGAAAAAATCGACTCTAAATTGGTTTAAATACTCAGAATAGAGTCGAACATCACTCAATTAATAGTTAACAGTAACTCGGATTTCGAGTAAAACTCACTCATTTCTGATGCAATAGTTTCACTCAGTTGTACTCATATTAATAAAGTGAAAATTTCACTAAATCGGGTGTGGACAGAAATTGATATATTATTGAGTAAAATTGAGTGAAATTGGAGTGAAATTTGAGTGAAATTGTTTGACAGTGTACCCATAAAAATATCTCTGTATTTATTTTGTTAAAACAACGTTTTGTGCTGAACATAAAACTATCAAAACTGCTTAACAATAGATATTTTTGTAACTAAACCAACTTTTCACTTAACAATTTTGCGGACCAATTTTATCCAATGTTGTTTTTCCTTGACCCAGAAAAACCCAAACAGCAACGTCGGCAAAAGCAAGACAAAATTATCCTTAATCCCGACATATGTCGTCCTTTATTGATTAATTGTTTTTTCATGGCATGTTCTACAATATTTTTTTTATGATAACGCATGTAAAAGTCACTACCCATAAAAGTATATCGGCTACACGAACATATCTATGACGTGTTGACTAGCTAAACTGGAAAACCCGATAATTGCTTTTTTGTTCTTCCTCGTTATAGATAGGCAGTCATGAGTGCGGTGTGAACCGAAAGATGTCCAAAACTTTCAAACAGGTAAGTTCAAAGAATTTTAGGTAGACAGATTGTTAGTTTGCTTCACCTTTGTTTCTTCTTTTGCAGAACTTACCCATTGTTTTGAATTCGACCATTCATGTTGTTCCTGAAAATACGAGGCATGCTTTCTACTGGCTGATCCTAGTAATAACGATATTGGCAGTGATAGGGAACGTACTTGCCATTAGGTCAATTATTTTAAGGTAAAAAAATTAGAATAGCATACCATAAATATACAGGGTGTCCCGCATAAGAACCAACACAGGGCAGGTGCATGTAGGGATGTCCAAAATATTGTAATTTAACCAAACTTACCTATATACAAAGTTGCACCCTGAGGAGTTATTAGCCCGCAATGTAGGGCCCTAAATTTCGAAAAAAATTAATATATCTGCAACACTTTACCGTAGAAGAACCAAATTTAGTTCATGATTTAAGTTTATTACTGGTCTTCTTTGATTATGATTTAAAGTTAATTGAAGCACTACAAGGTGTTCATTGGAGATGACTCACCCCTAAAATTGTACCGAACTTTTTTTCATTGGCCATATTGAAAAATAGTAATATTAATTCGCAGCAGAGTTTATTTTTTTTTACTCTTGTCAAATTTATGTTTATCAAGATAAACCGTATTAACTGACAAAAGATTTTATTAGTGTTCATTAGGAAATAAATCAAAGTCAGTAGTAGGCTTTATCTTTCAAATTTGACAATTGACCAAATAAATTTTACTTCACTTCTCTCCTAATTCTACAAAAAGAAAACAAGTGCCTAGGTAGTTTTTAAACAAGCGAATATTGTATTAAGTAAAATACACAAATAAATAATAAAAATAATAATTGATATTTTTTCAACAACAATCAGAGATAATTGTTGAAATAAAATAATTTTATTGCTAACTGATAAGTTTGAAAGATAAATTCATTGTCTACTACTGACTTCTCGATTATTTTTCCTGGGATCATGACCTAACAAATTCACAAAATTTTTGAATTTCTAATAAGCTCTAATTCGAATTAATCTTAAGATTTAACACCCTTCTCCGGTGACGAACAAAAAACAACTACACGGGAGAAATATAAATGTAAAATGTAAATTTTTTAATAAATATTGTAAAAACCATGGAACGAGCCAGCTTTAAATTTCTGCAAAAAGTAATTAGTTATATACAAGGAATCACCTTTCGTTTAGGTTTTCGTTTATGAAACTAACTATACAGGGTGCGGCGTGTATAATCTATAAAAATTAAACTACAGCTTCCTGATGATATTTGTAATAGCAAAAGTTCTATCTTCGCGTTCTTTTTTTGAAAATTAATGTTCATTCATTCAACGAAAATGAAGGTCGATCCTGTGTTATTTATTAAAAACTTTGGAAATGTTTTTATGCGACCCGAGATGCAACCTTATAATTTAATACTATTAATACTAAAAGAAGGTTAGGTTACATTGTCAAAAAATTCGCGCAGGCAACCGATTTCGTATTTGTATTGAATTCATTATTCACTTAATTATTAAATATTAAGCATCGTACTTCGACCCATCAGTGTTAAAAAGTGAAGGATTCCAGACAAAAGTTTTTATTTTATAATTCCACGATAGTGACTGTAATTTTATAAAAAAGTAAAAAATAAGAATAGCGTGCCGATTACATTAAAAACGAGATTCTTATTTTTTACTTTGCAATCGTACAGCGGCTGCGAGATACGGGAAGTGCTATTCCTCGAGGAGAAGGACGTGGTCAGCAAGTGAACCTTAATGTAGAAGATGCAGTGTTGGAAAATCTTGACGAAGACCCCACAATTAGTACTCGACGACTCCCACAGCAAGTAGGAACCTCATCTCGTACCGTACATCGCATCTTAAGGCATCAGCTATTGCACCCCTATCATCTGCAACCAGTTCAACAAATTTTACCCACAGATTGTGATCAACGAATGCGTTTTTGCAGATGGTTTTTACGCTAATCAAGTAAACTTTCCTGCTTATGTTTGTGTAACAGATGAGGCGACATTTACCCGTGATGAAGTGAATTTATTTTGTTATTATTGTTATATTTATTAGTTACAATTAAAATTGTTTAATATTTTCTATATTTGGTTATCATATTAAACCGTCATTATACGTATTGTTCTATTTTTCTTAGTAGAGTGACCTTTTTTAAGAAGAACATAGCAATTAATATATAAACAAATTTGTGACGGGAGTTACAGCATTTGTTTTTCACAGTAATGTTCATTAAGTTATGACTACAACAGAATACATTTTTGTATAATGTTTGTTATTGTAACTTTTCAAGAAGAGATAGACAAAAAATTTCTGCACAAAAAAATGTTCATACAAAAATAGATAATTTTAGTTATCATAAAAAATTGGTATGCTCGTGGAAAAAAAAGTTTATGACTTAATTTTTTTATTTTCCGAATTTTGAAAAAATGTTTTTCAAATGCAAAACGGACCTTAGCGCGTCTCGATTCACGCAATCTAAACAGATTTTTACTGTCGTTTTTCGTTTGTCTGTTATGGGACCGAGACGCGAAGTATAGGACACCCTGTATATGTACTGACGTGAAACCCTGTATACCGTACATCATTATATTACAAACATTGATTTTTCAGAAAATGCAAGTTTTTGCAGAAGACCTGTATTATTTCCTTAGCAATGGCAGATATATTTTCAGTAGTCATATTCGCCACAAACAATTTGGAAACCCTATCCCAAACTCTAATCATTTGGGTAAGCATTTAAGAAATCCTTGTTTATTAAATAGTTTTGTAAAAAGGGAATGACCCCCACGATCATCCAGTGACTTCTTTATCCTATATTTTCACTATTTCCAGACGTTGGGAGAGTTTATGTGTAACTTTATCCCTATGGGTCAAGTTCTAGGAACAACAGCTAGCTCAGTAGCTCTTTTGGTAATAGCCCTAGACCGCTATCAGAACGTCATTTACGCTCTTGGAAGAAGATGGGATCCAAAACCAACGATGTGCATTCTGATAGCTTCAGCACTTTGGATTGTCTGCACAGGTCAGTATAAACATCTTCAACGTACACCAAAATATCCCTGCCACTAATTGCCAATCAAAAATTAGTGTACTTGGATAATACTATATATGAGATTTAGATGTCACATGTTTCCTTGTTTTTCATCGCTTATCTTCCTTTCTTTCTCTTTCAGTGATCTCCTATCCAATGTATATATATTTCCAACACAAATCTGTTAATGTCGTTTATGTGGAAGAGGAACCTGTGTTTGAATTTGCTTACATGTGTGTCGCTGTGGACAAAACCAGACTAACCGTGTACTACGTCACCATGGCAGTCCTTATATTCCTGCCAATCATAGTAATATTCTTCTGGTTCTACTACAAGATTGCTGCGCTAGTATGGAAGCATCGTAAGCCTTTGGCGCTGAGGTTCAACAAGTCAGACAGGCAATCCGAACTCGAGGAATCGTCCACAACAAAGTCTACCGACTTATCGGCCAATAACAGTAAAAACCTGAAGCTGATAGTGAAGAAGGTGAAGAACGTTCAAGTGGAGAGGAAGATAAGAACCTTCAAGATAGTCTTGGTGCTGATGATCACTTTCATAACTTGTAGGTTGCCCTATTGGTGCTTCTACGTAATCAAATTGTTAAGTATCTTGAAGGGCGATTTGGTTTGGAACCTGAATTTTGCTCTTACAGCCCTGAATATGATCAATAGCGTGCTAAATCCATTGCTGTACACATTTTTGAGCCAGACCATCCACGCTTGGAAGTTGATCAATGACTTTATTTGTAAGATATGTTGCTGTTGCTTTTCAAACGCGGAGTTCGAGGATTTCGAGAAGGATAACCCTTTCGTGAGGGAGCATCACGGCAGCAAGAAGCCTCAGGTTATCAAGGAATATCCCAAGGACACCAGAAACCCCAAGGTCAAGTTTGCGGGGGCGGTACCTTTTGTAGAGTTGCAAAGCAGCCAAAGTATTCAGAAATATTGATGAATTAGTATTTTAAATACATGTATGTTTATATTGTAATAATATTTTATAATGATTATATAAAAATAACATCAAAATTTATTAACATTTTGAGCACATTCAAGGAAAAACATCAAGTGATCTAGTCTTATTGTGATATTTTATAAAATTCAGAAGTTTTGTTCAAATTTATTGATAGTTTTTGTTTCGTTGTTGAAAGCTCGTCATTACTAAATCAAAGTCATATTAATTGAACCATACAATGCAATTATTGTCATCATTATAAATAAATAATGTCTATTTCTTTGGATTCAAGTTTAACTTGTAACTATTCAACCACATCAGATTTAAATTTGTAAATTCTTACTTACTCAAGAATTCCTGACTTTCCAAAGTGTTGGTTTTGCTGCTCGCTATTAAATAAAAATATAGAGTTCACACATCAATTCCATTATCTGATTTATCTTGATTCCGCTCACAGCAGCTACTGCTGAGATTTTTGTGTATATATGATAAAGCGCAAATAAAAAATTATCAGTTTACTTTGTCCCCTTTATTAAATTAGACATCTGTTAATTCGATTTTAATTTTATTTGATCAAATGATATGGCTCGCATAACTCCCATAATACCGTTGCTGTGATTCTTTACCTCCAGGCTTTCGCCAGGTTCGAAATGGTAAGTACTACACATTTTGAAGGGAAGCCCAGTGATAAAAGTTTTTCTCGTTTTTTTTTTAGGTGAACACTTCTACAGTGCTTGAAAGTTCCCTGAAACTGGTACCATACAGTAGCCGCTGGTTTTTCTTTTGGCTGATTTTAATTATCTCGATCGTCACCGTCATTGGAAATGTTTTAGCAATAAAGTCTATTATCAAAAGGTAACACCATCAATTATTCTTGTATTACCTTAGCTATACCTCCTGCCAACGTTTAATATTTTATTTCAGAAAGCAAAAATGCCTGCAGAAGGTTTGCATCGTCAGTTTAGCTTTAGCCGACATGTTTTCAGTAGCTATGTTTGCCACAAACAATTTGGATGCGCTCTCAAGGAAACTCAAGACATGGGTAAGTACCAGTTCACCTTTCATTAAAAATCATCACGTTAAATTCTACTCCCGTAGATACTTGGTGAATTCCTGTGTCATTTAATACCTATGGGGCAAGTTCTTGGTACCACAGCCAGCTCGATAGCCTTGCTCGCCATAGCCCTGGATCGATACCAAAATGTGACCATAGCAATCGTCAGCCAAAGGTGGAACCCAAATGTTTGGAAATGCATTGGCGTAGCGTCTCTATTTCTCGTAGTGTGTTCATGTGAGTAAAACTTGAAAAATCCAGAACCTCGATGAAATTCTTTAAATTTGCAGTAATGTCTGCTCCAATGTACGTATTTTTCACCCTGAATCCAATCAGGATTGTGTATACAAGCGGTCCACAGCTGGTTTTTGAAGACGCCTTCCTGTGTGCCGCTATCGACAAGGACAAGTTGAAGCTATACTACATCATCATGGCTGTGTTGGTGTTCCTCCCCATCATCGTGATCTTCATTTGGTTCTACTACCAGATCGCCGCGATGATTTGGCAACACAGGAAACCACTGATTTCTGCCAATGCTCCAAAACTGTTCATCAAGAGGACTAAAACAGTCCAAGTCCAAAGGAAAATACGAACTTTTAAAGTGATTATAGTCCTTATGGTTGCTTTCACCGCGTGCAGGTTGCCTTATTGGCTTTTTTTCGTGATTAGACTCCTGGAAACCATAAGTGGGTCGACAATATGGTACCTCCACTTCTTATTTATTTCTCTCAATATGTTAAACTGCGCCTTAAACCCTCTGTTGTACGCTTTTCTAAGTCAAACTATATATTTTGTTAGAAAATGTCACAATTTCGCTCACAAAGTTGTTTTGTGTTGCTGTTGCTTCAGTGGTAAAGATATAGACATTCATCAGAACAATCCGTTTGTTGTAAACTGTGAAAATAAGAATGATGGGGTTGATAAGTGCAAAAATCCTAGTAATTTCAGGATAAAGTTTCATCCACCTGTGTATGATAGCGTCTTGCCCTTTAAGGAACAGTTAATATAACGCATACGTAAGCATATAATGAAGCTTTATTGCATAATTACTATAATAGTTAATGAAGAACAGGTAAATTTATTTGTAAATCGTTCTTTGAAATGCAAAGGGTCATTAATATAATAAGGGTCATTTCAGTAACTGTTATAGCTCTGTAAACTAGAACAAGATCATTTCAATTAAATTTGATGATGTATTCTTATTACGTTAATTTACTATGATTGCAAAAAGTTTTAAATATTGTATTTGTATCTTGGTTCTGATAAATATGGCTTCAAATACATATAACAACATTGATGTGAAACAAAATATACGTTTCAAAATTTTCAGTTTGTCTTTGACTTGTCCAAGAATTGTCAAGGGCAAATAAAAGGTCGCCAGTAAATTTGCTGGACAAAAAAAAAATATGACCGTATAGAAAATTAAATTTTAAATTGAGTTTCTTGTTCTTTAAACTCGATCCAAAATGGCGAACATGGTTAAAAAAAGCGCAAAGTTGCAAAAAGCGGTTTTTCTAAAGTAACTAAAAAATATAGCACCGATTGAAAAATTTTAAATGGGAAAGTTGTAGGTTTTAAAAAGATCTATCGACAGATTTTTTGTAAGTATCGATTGCTTTGTTACTTTTCGAGATATATTGAAAAAACCGTTAAAAATCTTTTCTTTTCTGTTCTTCTATAACTCGTTTACATATAGGTTATCATATTTGCTATTTACTGCAAGCATAGCCCGCGGCAAGCCAAAAAAGAACAATTTTGAAAAATTAAAATATATTAATTATTTTTTGATATATCGATTTTTTGAAAAAAAGGCGCTCTCGAAAATTGGCTAGGTCTTCTCAGCGAATAGCCCTACAATAACGATTTTCGGTTTATTTTCTTCGTAAAGAGTTATATTATCATGCTGTTAAAAAATGTTGACGATTTTATTAATTTTAAGGATCAGAAAATGACTTTCAACATTTTATAGCGATGCGCTTGATGGAGGTTAATATTGAATACTTATATTTTCAAAAAAAATAGTAGGATATGTTTACTTGATTTTTATTATTAGTAATTGAGTAATAAACTGAAGCGGGAAAGCGCTGAGTGCGTCAGCTGGACTGGACAGACTGGTAAACATATCCCACTTTTTTTTTGAAAATATAAGTATTCAATATTAACCTCCATCAAGCGCATCGCTGTAAAATGTTAATTGCGTCCTCAAAATTTTAAATTCGTGAAAAAATGTCAGCAGTTTCTTTCTTTAAAAGTCAACTTTTTCAGTCATTTTTGACCTTTAAAATTAATAAAATCGTCAACATTTTTAACAGCATGATAATATAACTTTTTACGAAGAAAATAAACCAATAAAACGTCACTGTAGGACTATCCGCTGAGAAGATCTAGACAATTTTCGAGAGCGCCTTTTTCAAAAAATCGATATATCGAAAAATAATTAATATTTTTTAATTTTTCAAAATTGTCCTTTTTTGTAAATAGCAAGTATGGGAACGTAGATGTAAATGAGTTATAGAAGAAGAGAAAAGAGAAGATTTTTAACGTTTTTTTCGATATATCTCGAAAAGTAACAAAGCAATTGATACTTACAAAAAATCTGTCGATAGATCTTTTTGAAACCTACAATTTTCCCATTTTTCAATCGGTGCTATATTTTTTTAGTTATTTTAGAAAAACCGTTTTTTGCAACTTTGCGATTTTTTTTAACCATGTTCGCCATTTTGGATCGAGTTTAAAGAACAAGAAACTCACTTTAAAATTTAATTTTCTATACGGTCGTATTTTTTTTGTCCAGGTAATAATTTCTGCAAATTTAACATTAATCCGTGACGGAATGCTTGGACTATTTAGCAGTTCAGCATATCCACCAGTTACAGTCCCCAACAATTGAAAATTAGAAATAAATTAGCAAAATAGAATAATAGAACATATTCTTGCTTTTTAAATGCCTTTATTGCTTGTCTGTTCTAGTTGTGCTTATCTAAGAATTCTAACATGACTTATCCTGCTGAAAACCATTATTCCTGTCCGTACATACTTTGTAGAACGGCTAAATAGGAATAAGACGATCGCATGATCTAAAAAAAAGACAAAGCTATCATAACTTTCATTTTTTCCTCAACCATATAGAGCTTACGCTAGTAAAGGTTACCAACGACAGAGGGAATATTTTCCCTGCTGTTAAAACAACTGGTTTTTTACATTTCTCCATGAAAATCATTATAGACTTCTTCAAACTGAGATCTGCCTCGTACCAGTTGGACATGTAGATTGCATCATTTATTTTGTCACTCTAAAACAGCGCAAATACAATGAGTAGTTGTCGTTTTTTATATAGTTATTACTTACACTAGCAATGATGCTATGACCAAACCAGCAGTACATAGCCACTTGAAAGATCATAGCGTTAAAATACGTGCACATAGAAATGAACTGGATACTGTTCGGTGGAACCTAGGAACCATTTGGTGTTATATCAGTAATGAGTTAGTTTTAAATATACTCACTATCATCATTTCAAATCCTGTGAAGCAAATGACTACCACGCTTGAGAAAAATTGGAAAAACGTGGCATACGAAAAGGTATCTTCGATGACACGTACAAGCCTATAGTGTATTTTGATGTAAACAGTATAAGCGTGAACACATTTTTTACTTACTTCAAGATTCCATAATGCAGAACAACGTTCTTAGCAAAGTCCCTTTTAGCTGTGTCTGTCTCATATCTTATATTGGTCAGATTGTCTTTCAGTATCTCAAATTGGGAAGTAACAACAGTGATCAATATGTAAATCAAGATGTCTATACCAGAGTTGATATAGACACTCATGTAGTAAGACACCCACTGAAAGGTAAAAATTGTCCAGTATTTGAACTTAGTGTCTATTTGGATAGGGTTCCAGCCTGACAAAGGCAGTGCCCACTCGTCATCATCCATAAGTGGGAAAATAGCGTAAGTTATGGAAACCACAGTACAAATCGATCTATAACACATTCCGAATATCTTTGTGAAGCGAACAGAGTCTTCAATCAAATGTCTCTTTTCTTTGGGATATCCATAGAAAGCAGGGTTAGCTAATATATCTTCTATTTCTAGAAGCTTGTGTTTTTTGTTTAGCACGTTGAACAGTTTGCAAAGAAAAGCCATTTGTGTAGCCAGAAATAATAAAGCTTCTACTACAGATAGTATATTCTTCATGTTCATAGCAAGAAAAATGACCATGGACAACGTTATCAATAAAGAGAAAGATATGTGACAAAATGCTGATAAGTTATACAGTTTTTTGTTGATCCTACCCTCGTTAGGGTAGATACCACAGAGGAGGAGAAGTTTTCGTTCGATTTTGAAGGCATTGCGTAGATCATAGTCCTGAAAAGGAAAAAAATTGTTCCAGGAAACATTTCTTATGTTCTTGGTGTTGTAACATTACTATTTGGGGACGTGTATAGGGTATCTCAATCTCAATATTATGGGCCTACTGTGAAAATACAAAAAATTTAATTAAAATTTGGGGAACATGGTGTTAAATGGATTGAGGTAAGCTCCATTTTCAGTAGAAAGTATCAAGTACTCGTTGGAAAATAATTGAATGTTCATTGTTTGAAGAATACGGAAAAATTTCTCTAATAAAAGTTTATTAGAAAACAGCGAGCTTTTTAAAAAGAAAAAAAAATCGGGTATGTTTCTGGATAAAATATAATTGATGACGTCATTAGTTGTTTCTGTCAAATCCCAAAGATAATGCTTTCTATTGAAAATGGAGCTTACCTCATCCCATTTAACACCACGCATCCCAAATTTTATCTAAATTTTTTGTATCCTCACAGTAGGCCCATACTGTCGAGTTTTAGGCAAGAAAAAAAATAATACCTAATACAACAAACAGATCTGTAAGAATTTGACATAATAATAGAACACTAATTTTTATGAAAAACTTACCTCAATTGTCGACATAGTGCTTTATGGTATGTTCAGTTCTAATTCCAATCATTTAATGATGCAAGGCTTAGCAAAATTCATTCGCAAATTGGCCTTTAAAATTCAAAGAGTTATTAGGTTAATAGGAGCGATTTCAGCAGTAATTTTCATAAAGTAGATCAATTACTCCAGGTAATAGTACAATTAAACTTGGCACTCTGTTTCAATAAGTTTTATTGCAGTTTTTAACAAGTTATTAACTTATTTTATAGTTAAATATATCAATAAATATAAATAAATTGTTTTATACAGACTAGGAAACTTTTTACTTAATTGTTTTTCTTCGAATAGTCTCATTCTCGTAAATACCAGAACTTCCAAAATGTAATAAAAAATGTCCCAAATTGGCATAAAGCTAAGATCTTTCATTTCGATTAGTTTCCATTTCCATTCACATCCCCATTTTCTACCCCGTTTTCCTTAACCTTCTCTTTTGCACTAAGATCGATCTTATTCCTTTCCACAAACTTTCCGAACTCTTTTGCAGATGTCGCCACCAAATTAAGCAGTTTTTCCCCGGCTGGTGTGTTGACCTCGTTCTTAAGCGTTTCTTTGGCTTGCCCCAAACTGCGTTGGCACTCCTGCAGCATTGTTACCACAGATTTTACCTTAGTCTTAATTCCCAAATCCCACTTCCGCTTGATGAGCACCCAGTTGGCTAGGTACAGCTCGTGAAGAATTACTCCCAGATACAATGGTAACCTAAAAATTAAAGTGAATAATTTTAGACAGCAACTATGGATTCTATACCCTACCTAGCATTTCCAGGGTCAACTTTCCTGGTAATGTCCAGCAACTCCCTACACATAACAGCTTTTTTCACCAGACAGTCGTCAGTGATCTGGTTAGGAAGGTAACCTTGCTGGTACCCATACAACTGTATCAACGAATGCTTCACCGCGTACACATGGTAGTGGTTTGGATGAAGGAAAGTTAACATCTTGTTCAGTAAGGAATCTAACTCTCTCACTGTTGGGTTGGCCAACTGAACATTGTCTACTTCTTCTCCTATGCCATTGACAAGAAAACAAACTTCTGCATTGGTCAACTTAACATCACACTTGTCGCAGGCCCATTCGGTCTTGTCATCTAAAGGATCTATTGGGAGTTGAGTACCGCCACAGGGCTCTTCATCGGTGCCTATGCATCTCAAGGCACTGAGGTACGAACCAAGTTCTGTCGGGTCACAACATCTCTTACATTTACAGGAAAAGTACTTAGTCTCCTTCAAGTGTTCCCTTCTGGCTTGCGTTCCCCACAAGCAATGGGTGTACATGGTGGTAATATGCTCGCCAGATTGGATAGGTACAGCTGCCTTTACAGTAATCTTGTACCCGCTGGGCTCGTTTTCGAAGATATGCATGCTGTTGGGTACACAACTGTGCTCCAATAGGTACGCTGTGGGATACAGGGCTGATACTTCGGCGTCCTGATTTATTTCCAGGGCGTTGACGTCGATGATACCGCAGATTTTGTGGATGGTTTCTCTGGAGATGTCTTGCAACACCTTCTTTCCGGATTTGCCTTCTAAAATGTTCAATGGGGCGAAGAAGTTGTCGTTGAGGTAGCTTACTACACGGCTGTCGACGTCTCTACAACATAGATTAGATTTTAGTGTGGTTCTAAACAGATAGGAAAGGTGCGATATTAAGAAAATGTGTTTGGTTAAAAATTGTAAAGTCAACGGTTTCTGTATTCAAAAGAAAGGCTAATTATTTTGTTTGTGTTTCGTGTTTTATTTTAAATGTCTCCAAAATTATTTTTATTATCGAAAAAAAATTCTTATTGTCAGATATGTCTAGTGCTTCGGATTGCTATGTAAAAAAAAGCATATATTTTCTTTGTGCTATGCTGTGTGAAAAAACTGACACCAGCTTTGTGCAAAACTACCATACCAGTTATTTGTCCAACACAGTTAAGACTACAATAGGGCATGATGGACTGAAAAAATAAGCAGGTTCAAACTTTGAGATTGAGACAGGACTTTGACATAACATTGTTTGACAAATCACATACAGATTTCTTTCTGTGCTTTTAAACAAGCATAATCGTGCTTTTGTAAAAAAAATGTGATACATACTCACAAGAACGTCCATGAGTGCACCTAAAATATAAAATGAGTAAGGATTATGATGGAAACAAATGTAAAAGAATCATTTCGGGGAAGGCCTAGTCGATTAAAATTGAGGGGTATTACAAGGTACTGGCTCTACGCCTGTATATCTATATACTAACTATTTTTTTCTCTTAAATTTTCAAATATGTTTGATCATCATTATTATTGGAAATACTACTGTTCAAACGGTTCCCAACGTACTTGTATACTTCCGTGTCTTCCCCTCTGAACCCCATATGAGATTCCATCTCCATGAGTTGGGCAAACTTCTTGGGATGCCTGGACTGAAGAAGCAAACACCTCAAAGCGAGTAGAGCGTCTTGCCTGTAGAACTCATGCAAGCCGTTGATTGCCCTGACATCTCTAAGTCCTAAAATCTTACACTCATGCCCGTGTTTATCCATGTCGTTCAGTCCTGGGCATTCCGGGTTGCAGATTGGGAAATCACAGCCTTCACAACGCGCAGATTGTTCTCCGATTATTAGCCTGAAGTTAAGTACGTGGTTAACTGCATCATTATGGCCAATGGAATATGTTTTAACTCACCTACAACAACCTGGACACGGTACTGGACCTTCTTCTACCATGTGAGGTCTTGGACCGTACACTACTGGAAGTTCCGCCAAAATTATGTCTCCAGGTCTTATGTCTCTTGTAGCTACCAGACATTTTCCTATCTCTGGATCCTCTGCTATCTGAAAACAAGAAACAATATATATCTTCGTAAAAATATACTTAAAAATTTGAAAGTCTGGAGGCTCTACCAAAATAAGAGAATCTCAAATTTATTACTTGTGCTTGTCATTTTGGGGATTTGTTTTAACAGATTTGAATAAAAAGAGCCTTAGTTAAAATTAGTTGTTTCTTAACTGTCACAAGTCTATGAACACCCTGTATATTGACATATTTTTCTGAAACTGTTCCGTTAATATGAAGGGCAATTAATTATTAAAACGTAGGTGTTGTCTAAATTGCCTGAGTTACCTTTGTACGCAGCGTATGATCGTCAATTTTTTAATTTGTCTCAAGGCCGTCCCATATTTTGCGTCCGGTACCATATTTCAGTCGACTCATCTCATCATCGCACATTCCGCATTAAAACATCGGGTGAGCATCATCGACATAAAAAGAGTAATCGTCTAACAACTCAATTAACCCAGATGCGATGATCTTATTTTTATAAACGCTTAAAAACAGTACAGATAGAAAATAGATTCAGTCGTAAGGAAAGCATGAGACTGAGGCTCCTTGAAAATGTATTTACTTTAAAATTATATTGAAAGTGTCACTGGTTTGATCCTTGTTCGTAAATCTAGATAAAACTGCTTACATAAAATGTAATATTTTGTACAATTTTACATCCAGCTTTAAATAAAATTTCAAAAAATTTCAAACAGATTATTTTTCAAAGAAAAATGTAAGTAAATGCGATAAGAAACAATATAGTTTCCGATTATTGAATAATTTTTTTAATTTTCCCGAATTTTTTGGTATTTTTTAGTACCCATTTAGAGTAGTAAATTTGGTTTAATGGAATACATTATCCATAAAAAATTAAAATACCAAAAAAAATAATTTTAATTCGAAAAAAAATTAAATAAAAAAGATCCTACTCTAGAAACTATCTCATAAATTTGCACAATAAATGACGATTTATTGAGAATTGGTCGAAACAAAAATATACCTCTCTTTACTATACCAGAAATATAGGTCTGTGGAATTAGATATATTTTACAACCCAGATTGCTAGTATTGAGGAGCATTGTTAGCTTTCATTTGAAAAGATTCGAAAAAAATTTTTGAAATTTTTTGAAAAATTTAAAAGTAACCCAAGCAAAGTACCCCGAAATATCAAAATATGTCACTAAAAGGCATTATCAGTAGTTGTCAATATGAATTTTCAATTATTTTGTCATCTAGTCATAAAAATTAATAAAAATCATTAAACCCAAATCGGTACTTCTAGCAGATTTTAAATTATGAAATCCTGCTTGGTTTATAACTTAGAAAGGTATTCTTTATATTTCCTACGGGGTGTTGGAATTTTGGAAAACATTCTGAGGTTATAATATTAGGAGGATTATCATTTCTTAATCTGTTTCTAACTATCTAACTGATATGCAAAGAAGTAATTTCTATTTTTTTTTGCAAAACAATTAAAACTTTACATCTACGGCCTTCTTAATCTTCCTAACAATATCTGCTAGTAACATGCTTTGATATGTCAAAAGATGTAGTACTTTGCTGGTTATTTTTAAAATTTTTCGAAAAATTTAACCCTATAGAGGGTGTTAGAAGTTTGACAGCCTTCATTTTATTAGACGATGTAATACATTAGAATAAACAAAAAAAAACCTTATGCGACATGGGTTCTAAACTCAACTTGATGTACAAAAGTTTGATTAATTAAGGAATATTGACATAACTGCGCGCATAGAATACCATAAAATACAATATTTATCACTTTTTTGAATTTCTTTATGCTTAATTCTAAAAAATTCGATAAAATTCATATCGAGCAATGTGACACGAGGTACTAAACTGTCAAGCAATACGCAATTTAGTTAGTATCTGGAATTGGACCGTGTCTGAGTGTTTTTTGCGTACCACTATTTTCTTTTCTTGAGGCGTTTTCCAGCGAGTGCGCGAACATTGGATTCGAAGGTGACGTGCGTGCATCCAAAATGGTGGTGGACATTTTGAGCATATGTTGTAGTTTGTTTTGTACTTGTGCGTTTAAAAATTACTGAATTTTGCTTTTTGGTAAGTACCTACATTATTTTTTAATGCATATAATTATTACATATTTTTCAAATTCATAATTTAATCAAAAGTTAAAGTCCTGTTTTAAGAGATTCTTAATTACTAAAATTCGAGCTAAAATTTAAGCACAACACTATCTTCGTACTAAAAAATCGATTTAATTTTATTTATTTAAAAACTGGAAAACAATTGTCTTGAAATTTACTAAATGTTTCACAATAACAATTGTTTACATTTTTTCCGTAGGACAAGTCTGGAAAGGGGTAACATTTTGAAAAGTTTGAGAATAAGCAGAAATTTTTAAGAAGAATTTTCTCATAATTTTACAAATAAAAAAGTTACTCCTCTTCAAAACATAATCGTGGGTCATTCTGCATATACAGGATGTTTCACGATAAAATATCCATTTATATCTAGTAGGAACATAATTTATAAATAATAATAAAAAATTAATTAACAATAACAGGCATGTTGAAATTAAGTAAACCTAAAGTTCATTTAAAAATTTGTGTACTTTCACTTTTTTAACACTTTACACCTTACAAAAAAATCCCAACGACACCTATGATAGCTTATGACATGCGATAAGATGCAGACTGTGATGCATGCAACATAATATAACTCTTATCTTAATCATAAGCAAATAGTAAACCATATTTGTTTCATTGGATTGTTTTTTATATTTTTTATTTGAAAAAGGTATCTACCTGTTAATATAATTAATTATATCAATAAAGGACCGCTTTTCTTTCAATAAAATTAACTTATATTTTTGTTCATTCATTTGATTGCTAAATAACTTTTCTTGTATTATTTGATATATTTTATTTGTTTTCTAAAATATTTTTGCTGCCTTGTTAGTGACATAACTACCTATCTAGAAAAAATTAGTTTCACTTTTTAATAACTATTTTTCGACCAGTACCTTGGACACAAAAAGTCACTACGCAATTCGACAACTCAAAAACCTTTGAAAGAGTGCACTACTTACCTCAAAAGGTCTGCATAGGGTCTTGTGAACCTTCCAGTGCTTTTTCTGGTGATCTTTTCCACAGTAAGCCACCAATTTACATGCCGAACACTTCAACTGGGCTGGCTCGCTGCACTCGGCACACACCGTATCACTCATTGCAAAAAAGTAACTTCCCCCCTAATAAAAAATCCCGAAAAATCCTCACATTTCCCTGCGCTCCGATCTGGGCTGCAATTTCGACGGAAAGGAGAAAAAATATTGCTCACGCCCGTCGGTAAATAAACCTAGTTTATAAATAACTCGAGTGGGGAATGTATAAACACATTTTTACGCTTCGGGAGGAAAATTTTAGCAGAAGCAGAGCATGGCTGACTTGGATCGGGTCCAGTATTACGTCGATTGGAGTGGTTGAGGCGAGAAAAGGCCGTTTGTCACAACGTGGGATTAGCGAAAACACGGAAATTGAAGACAAACAGCTCCGCGTAGTTAAGTGAACTTTAATTAGCGGCAAATGACATTTTCGTATACAGGGTGGGGCATTTTACCCGTTCCAAGGCTATTTATCTGATTTTCTATAAATTCATGCAAAAATGATATTAACAACGCTCGTCTGTAAGTCAGTCGAAGCTCCTCCTAAGATGGATAAATACTTATCCAATAGAACACAATAAAGTAAAATGTAAATAATTATGCTTCAAATTATGTCAAAAATAGGTGTACCACAAGGGTCCTATTTAGGCCGCTTACTTTTTTTATTTATACATCACTGATCTTGTCACTGTTTTCTCATTCACACTTTTCTTATATGTTGATGACTTGAAGGTATTCAAATCTATATCATCCCTTAGTGACTCAAAATTTTCAGTAGATTTGAATCACTTCTGGAACATTGTAATATGAACAGATTGTTTTTAAATATAAACAAACATAAATTTATTAAATTTATTCGCCTGGAAAATAATTTTGTACTCCTGAAAAATGTATAAGCGCTACATAAAAATTTTAGTAACGCTAACATGTTATTATAAAACATTTAATAGAGTGATTTTTTCTGAAACGCATTATTAAATTAAATTAAAACTCATCTTTGGAAAACACCCTGTATATTTACTGAATTTACGCAGCGCTACAAAAAAGTGGACTGAGCCATGAACGAGAAGTATATCCTACAGTATTTTGAAGCGCTGAATTCTAATCTAAAGTCAAAATTCCCAAATCAGTTTCTGTTTTGACCCCAACACCAACAAACTACTCTAGAAAGCAGTTTTCGATATTTCAAACCGACTTCAATAGTCAATGATCGAAATAATATTGGAATTTGATTGCACCATAACCCCATAACCCTATAGCCCCATAACCCTATGTTCCCATAGCCCTATGACACCATTATCCTATAACCTCATAACCATATAACCCCATAACCCTATAATCCCACAACCCTATAACCTCATTCATGTAACCACATAACCCTTTAACCCCGTAATTCCGTAATACCGTAATCCTGTATTCCCGTAACACTATATTTATTTGATTGCACCATAACCCCATAACCCTATAACCCCTTAACCCTATGACCTCATAGTCCTATGACCCCATTATCCTATAACCTCATAACCACACAACCTCATAAACCTATAATCAATTACCACATAACCCCACAACCCTATAACCTCATTCATGTAGCCACATAACCCTTTAACCCCGTAATTCCGTAACACCGTAATCCTGTATTCCCGTAACCCTGTAACTCGGTAACCTGTTATTTGAGCGATCACGATCACTAATTCTACAGTTAATAAGCATTATCATGTTTTTTTTTTCAATGTTGATACACGGAGAAAGAAACTGATGCCCCATATATCCTTGACTTAATTCCTCAGAGTTTCATGGTTTTACATGCCCGAAGACTCAAGGTTATGAGGTTACGGGGTTACTGGGTTAAGGAGTTATGGAGTTATGAAGGCTTGCCAACTCACAGTAATGTAATTTCAGACCCCCCGAGATCCAAGTTCACACAGAGGTTCGTGGTTATACATCCTCGTAAATTCTAGGTTACGGGGTATAGGGTCAGGCAAGCCTGTCAAGACATGTAGTTTCCGATTCCTCATGTATGAGATCCATGTTCCCACAGAATTGTATGGTTCTATGTACATTCTCGCACATCCCGGGTTATGGGGTTACGGGATTATGGGGTTATGAAGCTATGGGGTTAGGGGATTATAGTGCAATGAGATCGTGAATTGGTATGTTTACCCATCAAGGACTACTCAAGCTAGTTTGAATTTTCTAAAAACCCTTTTTAAAAGACTTTTTGATGATAGGATCAAAACAGTGGGACACACCGGTCTGGGCCACAGCCCAGCCCACTTGTTTTCTGAGACGCTTTGTTATTTATACAGTTAATAAATTGTTATTATTATAAATTTAAATAAAGAGTACTTCATTATTTTAATTTTGAAGTCTAAAACTAACTCATTTTAATAGATTACAGCTAAAGTATATTTTAAACGATATCTATAACCACTAAAATAACTGGAGTTTGAAACTCTACAAACTATGCTCTTCCTTCCATTTCGTAAATTTTCGTTCATTTCCTAAAATAACCTCAAACAGTTTAGATCCAGCTGTCGACTGTTTCTCGTAACTTAAAACCACCTTATTCCTTTCAATTATGTCCCTGATTTCTTTAATTGTTCCTTCAAACTTGTCTTTACAATCGGCGTTGAAATTCCTCAACAGTAGTTTGAATTTTACAATGAACTGTTCGTTCAAAAGCACACCCAAATATAGACACAACCTAAGAAGAAATAATCAGAATTAATAACTTTTTTTATTTACATCTTCTCTTGGTTCACCTTGCATTCCCAGGATCAATCCTTGTGGTAACGTCAATCAGTTCCTCACACATTTTCAGCTTTTCATTTAAAAGAGTGTCAGATATTTCTATACCACCTTCACTCCCGTATAACTGCACTAGAGTATGCTTCAAGGAATACACCAGATAGTGATTGGGATGCAAAAAATTTAACAGCTTCCCCAACATATCCTCTAGTTCCGCAATTTTAGGATGTCTGGCCATCAGTTTGTCCACTTCGTGGCTTAAATGGTGGACAAACTTCATAATGTCCTAAAAAGTATATAAATAAAGAGACAATAGCTACAAGAGAAGGAACTACCTTGTTTGGCAATTTGATGTCGCATTTATTGCAAGTCCATTGACAGTTACCCTCAATTGGATTCAAAGGAAGCTGAACGCCACCACAAGGTTCTCTTTCAACACCCAGACACTTCAAAGCGTTTATGTAAGTTCCCATCTCTGTGGGGTCTTGGCAACGTTTGCAAGTGCAAACAAAGTATTTAGTTTTCTTCAGATGATGTCTTCTTGCTGTTGTACCCCAAAGGATGTGGGTATAAATTGAGGTAATATGTTCATCTGGAACAGCGTATTACGTTTTATTTTATTTTTTTAGTGTTAATTTATTTAACTACCTTTCTTGATTGGAAGAGCAGCTCTGAAAGTTATCTTGAAATTATCTTTTTCATCGATAGTTTGGATGGTATTTGGAGTGCAGTCGTGCTCTAGTAAACTCGCAGTGGGGTATAATATATACGCTTCAAATTCCTCAGATAGCTCCGTAGCATTTACATCTAGAATACCGTATATCTTGTGAATCAATTCATGTGAAGGAACGGGCAATATCGATTGACCAGTTTCTTCTTCATATTTCCTCAATGGTTGCAGATAATTTTCTTGAAGAAGATTGCACTTCTCTTGGACACTCCTACAAAGCAATAACCAGGAAAGTAGGTAAGTTACAATTTTAAATTGCATTAAACTTACTTGAAAACCTTTGTATTAGGACCTCTATCCTTCAGGTGATCCTGCAGACTCAACATGGTTTCCCATTTCTTCCCATTAACTTTTTGCAAATATAAGGCTCGTAAGATTATTAATACATCAAATCTATAGTCAAAAACTTGTATCATTTCAAGAAAGAGTTAAATTCTTTGATTACCTGTAATAGTCAAAAAAGGATTTGGGTTCACTGGGTGGTCTAAGCTTCAACACCTTGCACTCAAAACCATGAACTTGTGCCACCTTAAGGCCTGGACAATCAGTCTTGCACACCGGCCAAAAGCATTCTGGACATCTCTCACACGTTTGGTCATCTAAAAGCCTTAACACAAATTGAAAATTTGGCAGAACGCAGCTTGTTCAAGGATTTTACCTGCAGCAACCAACGCAAGGAAAGGAGCCTTCTTCGATGCGATGAGGTTTCGGTCCAAAGACTATGGGGGAGTCAGTAAATATGACATCTGATGGGTTTAAATCTCTTCTCGCCTTGAGGTATTTGCCTAAATGATCTGAACTGCCCACCTATAAAAAATTGATAATATAGAGATCATATTACTAGTTTTGAATATCAGTTATGTCTAATAGTATGTGTTTTGTGTCCTAAAATGGATCCTTGTGGAACATCAGTCAGATTTGATGTAAAATAATACCTGAGTTGAATATAAACGTATTCTACGCATTCATAATAGATAAATTTAAACAGTTTTAACTAAAAGCTAAGAAGCCAGGATGATATAGCTGTTTTGTCTTTGTTGGGCTTGTTAAACTGTAGCCTTCCAAGAGTTGTACCAATTTTAAGTATTAGTTATCAATTATTTCTGTCAATAAGCTTCTGTGCATGTATTAAATAGCAACACTGGCCCTAAATTGAATCCTTGTGGAACTTCATGTAGATTTGATGTGGAATAATACCAGATTTGAATATAAACATAGTCTATGCATTCATAATAGGAAAATTGAAGCAGTTTTAACAAAAAGCTAGGAGACTAGGATGATACAGCTATTTTATTTTTGTCATGCCCGCCAAATTATGGCCTTGCAGGAGTTCTAATTGTAATATTATAATAACAGGGCCTTGTGGCTTTACGAGTCGTTGGTTTAGTAATGAGAATGGGCTATGATTAATATCGAACACCTGTACTTGACGGGACACTACTATGACATTAAAACGTTGGCAAAGCGATCGAATTAGACCTGTTGAATGAGGTGTAGACGAATACACTTACTTCGTACGGCCTACAAGCGTCTTTGTGCTCGATCCAATGCTCTCTCTGATGCTCGGCGCTGCAGTAGAACACCAACTTGCAAGCGGAGCACCTACGCTCGGAGACTTGTTGACAAACCTCGCAGCTGCCTCTGGAGGCTTCGCAGACGCCGTCAGACATTCTGGAACTGCAACAGAATCGCTTAGGGTGTACTAAGGGATCGCAAAAAAAAACAAGACGCACCACAGAATGCCGCTGCGATCGAAAGACAATTACGACATGCCAAGATGGATTACTTGATGTAATTATAGAACCACTGCGTGCAAAGGAAACTGAGATGGGTCGAATCGTGCAAACTGGCTTTGTATTAGTTTGAAAGGTTACAGAGAGAGAGGGTGATGTTTGTGAGAACATATGGGATGCTCGTGCGATTTATGAAATATGTTATACCAATTTTGCTGACTGGCGATTGACGTATTTTTTTGGCGACTGATTTATAAATAAACGGGAGTGATTGGAGCGCGCGCGCTGGGGTGGTTTTATATTTAGAACGGACAAAATGCAGTGGCGCGTGCAACGGAAGCCTGTGTTTTGAAAATAGAATCGGTACGACTAATTATTTCGTCACTTCGAGATATAATTTTATTTCTTCTACTCTCATGATTCAATAATTGATTCCTTAGACATTTATGAACTTTATTTATAGGTGGCACGTATCTTTGATATTATGGGGTCTTGTTCTACAAGGATGGGGTTTTCAAAATTGGAATTTAGAGATTTTGGATCAACATTTTTAGTCAATTGTACGAAAACAGAAACGACACGAAAATCCACAGTTACAGGGAGAAAATTGTATAACCCCATCATTTTTTATCGGAATAATATTCAAGTAATTTTTAAATGGTCTTAGTTCCTATCCAAAACGCCACAATTAGTCAGGGGCATCAGTGAATTGCATATGAGGCGCAACGTAAAAGGCCTTTCCAGGATCTAAAAATACAGCAATGCCTTGAAGAGGAAGAAATTTACTTTATCTGCTCTCACTATAGTAAATATACTATTAATACATCGTATTTAAAGAGGTAAGTGGATTTTACCGTAGAAATAGAAGTTGCTATGGAAAACGGGAGGTAACTTATCTCCCTAGGAAAAAAAGGGATTTCGAGTTAAAATGCATATTTTATGAACAAATAAATAGAAACATTTGATTTCATTAATTATTATGAATGAATATTTATAGTAATTCTACAGTTATTACATTTGGTAACATTTATAAAATCTGGATAATTATTATTCCCCTCGCGTTTACTAATTATCACATTTTTCTCAAAATGATTTGACCGCTCCATTTCAGTCATCGGAGGTTCAATATTATCTGACTGATCCATTAAAACAGCATAATGCGACGTACTACGTACTAGAACTTGGAGTTGAAGTGTCATTGTAAAGATTCCTGTTGGCTATTTCATTTCTGTTACTTAAACTGTCAGCAACATAACTTTCTGCAATTGTGGCTGATTTCCACCCACCATATCTCTTGATTGCTAATACATCAACATTCAACTCCCGTATTAGCCAGTAACGTTGCCGATGTTCTTCGGAATGAATGGCCTGTATATGTTTCAGGATGTTCTAGTTTCAAGAACTGTGCAATCTTATTAGGAATCATAGAAAGGGTATTCTTGCCAACTGTTTGTAACATCTACCTGCTTGATAGCGCATAAAAAAGCGTGAAATTTCAGTTTTAATTTCCAATCTAATCTTGATATATTTCTTGAGAATTTCTAGGTGAGAAACAGAACCCAGATGAAAAGTAATTGTAAACGTACGTAACATACCATTTTTAGAATCTGGAATTGTAACTACAATAATGTCATTGAAATTTTGAAATTGACGTTGTAACTCATCAGAAATCGTTGACTCTTCTCTTGTAAAAACGTTTGATTTTTTAGGTGTATAGCCGTCATTCTTACGTTTCAAAAATGCTCTCAGTTTGGGGTATTTTGATATATCCACGCTCTCTTCTATGAAAATAATAATTGACAATTATTGAGTATTCACTCCATGAAATATGCTAGCAATGACATTTCAGAAACCCCAATATTTTTGTTCTGGCACCATTCTTTGAAATTTCTATATGTTCGTCCGTAGCGCACTTTCGACTTCTCGAGCAATAAAAATTCGCAGGCAGCATTATTTGCTGCACTTTCTATTTGAAAATCACTCATTTAGAAAATAATAAATTAGAAACGACAAAATCCAAACAACCAAGGTGACTTTGCAAGATTTCAAATAATGTCAAAAAGAATTGATTAAGAAATGTCAAAGAATAAAACCTAATCTTTATTTCATGAACCATAAAGAACTGTGGGACCAGATAAAATGTTATACACCACGCAGCAGTTAAGTATAATTTCGTCCTCGACTGGTAAATAATAGATACTTACCTCCTTTATGGAGTAAATAACTGTTGTGAAGACACGTTTAACATGACATGTTAAAAGCATTCTGTCGTTAAAGTCGATTTCAAAATCTTTAGTTTCTCTGCAAAACACAAGCAGAACAGAGTTAATTTTGTAAGTATAATTGAGTGTAAATTTCTTTTTAAAAAAGGAAAAATTGACATTTCGATGTATTTAATTTCAGACCAATTAAAGTATACCAGTAAGTAATAATCTATAACATACTGTAGAAGTAGGTAACACCCTTAGGAAGTTGCATTACCTACTAAATACTTCAAGATAATAATCAAAAAGTAAGTTTCATGCCAAATCACAGGGCTCAACATTAGCATTTTTAATTTTTCTGAATTTTTGGTATTATTTTTTACTACCCATTTAGAGTAGATAGTTTTCATGAATTTTTTCAGATTTTTATTTCAACCCCTTAAGAAATTATGAACATTTGAATATTTTGAGTAAAAACTTTTCAAATATTTGACACTTGACAAAGATTTTGAGATGTAAGTAATTTTATAAAAAAATATATAAAAATAACAAATTTTTAATTTTTTAAGGTGTATTTTTATTTTTAAACCAGAGGGATTTTTTTATCCTATTTATTTTCGAATTAACTTTTCTTTGAATTTTAAGTTTTTAAAGATAATGTACACTGTTAAACCATATTTTATTAAAGTAGTAAATCGCGATGATCGCGAAAAAATACCATATTTGTAAAACTTCAAAATCAAAAAGCACCTCAAAAAATTAAATATGTATCATTTTTATATTTTTTTATAAAACTACATCTCAAAACGAACAAAATGAAAAAAAGTTTATGATATCCTTAGTTATTGCCAAGGTACAGGTATTTGAAAATTTTTTACTCAAAATATTCAAATGCGCATAGCTTCTTGAGGAGTTGAAATAAAAATTTGAAAAAATTCATGAAATGGGTACCAAATACATAATACCAAAAAATCAGGAAAATTAAAAATGGTCCGGTCACGTTCCCAACAATTTCGCGTGGAATGCCCCATATAAAAGGAAAAGAAAAGGGCCCAAAATTGAGCCTTGTGATACCCCAGAGTTGACTTTTTTTCTATGGATATTGTACGTTCGTATTTAATAAATTTCCTTCTGCCTGAGTAAGTAATATTCAAGATAATTTAAATACCTTCAAAAAATCCGATGTTATAAATCAGAGATTAAAACAAACATGGAATTTTTTAGCCCATTTTGAAGAAGTACCATCCGTACCAGCGACACTGTTAATGTGCGTGATAGCGTGATTAGTAAGTCCATTATCAGGAATATGTAAAGCTGAAATAGTGAAAATCTAAATGAGGAAGGGGATCATTTTTGGCAAATACCATTAGATCAAATTTGTTTCAAATAAATGAAGCTATCTAAGACAAATGTTTAAATGACCATATTGGTGATAGAAAAAAAGGTTACGCAGGAAATTACATGTGGGGGCGGCTCCTTCCGTTCCGTTCAACCAAAGGGGAAAACCAAGAAATTATCCAATAAGTGCCTTTTCCATAGTAGGACAAAAATTTTTCTCTTCGGTTTTAAAAGCGCGTAAATCCGCAAGGATTTTTATATGAAAGATCTTCCTTAATTTTCAAGAAGGAAACTCCTCCTTAAACGTTCCTCACTTATTAATTTACGCCCTGTATAGTACAGCAAATGAAAACATTCGGTTAAACGTCACAAAACAATGGGATTAAGAATCAAATTGACTGACGCCAAAAATGTTTTTATTTATCATATAGAAATGTGCACAATGCAATTAAATGTATTTAAAAAATAATTAACAATGTTTCCAATGTAAATATATTTACACAAGGTGCTTGATTATGTTTTAAACAATATTAATTAAGCAGAGAAGAAAAAAATCTGTATGTTTCACGTTTGCAGATAACTGATTTTTTTTAGGTACACAATCAGCCCTATGCTGTATGAACATTGACTTCATATCAACGTTGAAATTATATGAAAAAATCAGCCCTATGCTGTATGAACATTGACTTCATATCAAGGTTGAAATTATATGAAAAAATGACATTTAGACAGACATTTCAATAAAAATAGAGGTTTACTATGCTGTAAAAAACAAATTGATTGAAATTTGTCAAGAGTTTGAAATGACGTCAAGTAACCTTGAAAACTTCAAAACTTGGTATGCACTAAAGCAGAAATTGATATAAAACTGCATATCAAGGTTGACAAATGTCAAGAATTGTAACAGAAATCGAAAACCTTCACGTTAAGAAACTTGAAACCAATTTAATCAAGAATTCTTGTTGCTCCAGCTAGGGCAGCACACACAATTTATTCCTGTGCAATATTACATAACCTGTGTATCCTTAGAAATGAAAATTTGGATGATAATAATGGTAAGTGTAGCTTAATTTCGATTTAACAAAAGTAAAATCTAAATTTTATTTTAGAAATGTTGAATGATAAATGATGAAAATGACGAATTAGAAGAAGATAATTATACAGATATAAGAAGAAATAATTTGCAGTAAGGCCGTATTGTAAGAAATAGGGCAATTCAAAATTATTTTGGAAACATGAAGTTTCATGCCATATTTGATTTAATATTTGTTTATGAATAAAATAATGTTAAATATTAATAAAATATATCAATATTAATATATAATTAATATTAATAAAATAATATTTTATATTATTGAAAATATCCATATGAAATAAAATATTTTTAATTTAATATTTTAATTACTTATAGATTTTAACAAATTTTCCTATTCCACATTCAAAATAAATATACTATTTTTTAAATCATTGAAGTTTTTTCTAACATTTCGATGCGACTCCTTAACATAACGGCTCAAATGGTTCAGGTGAAAATGCAAAATAATTAATAATCAAAAATTAATGTAAAAACTTTTATACTGAAAGATTTTCCTTGATCTCTTTTTGTCCTTTTCTGTTTATTTGATTCATGTATTTTTTTTCTTTTGTAAGCTAATTCTACAACTTAGGGATGCCCATATATTAATATTTTTGACAAATCCTCCAAAAATTTTTTTTTCAGATTTGTTAAAATTTCAGTTAGAGCAATGCCACCTCCAGTTAATTCTTGTTCAAAGTGAATTCTCCTAGCTTTAGATTTTACGTTGGATTCCCATTCGTTAAAGATCTTAAAATGTACTTGATTAATTTTAAATATTACTAGCATTAGCTAGCATTTATTATATATTAATTCATGTGTAGATAATGAAATATAAATGTAAATTATATCTGATAAGCAACATTTAATTTTAAGTGACACACCAATATGGAAATATGTTATGCCCGCTTCCAATCGGCAGTACTTCTTTGTTGGCTATGATTTTCTTTATTTATTTCAACAGAAAGATTGTTAACTGCTTCACCATTTTATGTTGTGATACTTACCGTTTATATACAATTAATAAATTCAGAATAACAAAATTGATGATTAAGAATCTTATAATAAAATTTTTAACTGATGTCACCGTTTCTGTTCATAAAGATTGTTTCCATAGTCACCAGTATCTCCCTATAGCAAATAGCGACGTTGCCACAAGTACACTTGAAATAAATTTCAATCAATTTTAATGTCAAGGTTTTCTAATCAAGTGTTCTTAGTGCATACCAATTTTCTCCAAAATTGAAGAACAAATCAATTTTCATTGAAATCACTTCAAGGTTGAAATTAATTTCAATGTTTTTATAGCATAGGGCTGAATGTCTACACAGAGTTATATCAGCAGCTACGAGTATATGTACAGTGTGTATCAGTCAAATGGAATAAATTCTATAATAAATGGGGGCGTGTTCGAAAAAACACGTCGGACACGTCGAATGCTATTTTTAGTAGCGCATTTTTTCAACAAAAACTTTGTATACGGGGTGTGTCATGTAACAGTGGTCAATACCCACTTTCTTATTTTATATGCAACACATATTATTCAATTTTTGGATTCTTCACAAAATTCTAGACAAACTTCTTGTACAATGTCCTATAACTGTTTCGGAAATATTAAGTGTTTTCAGATTTATTGCAAAAATTCAATCAAAAAAAGAAAATTATTTGATTACAGAAATTCGCTATAACACACTCAATATTTATTTCCCATTTAGCCCTTGATAATGAGAAAGTAAGCAAAAACCATTTCAGCGTTCCTTTTTGACATGTAAGGCAGATAAAAAGCAGGTGCCAATGCAATAAGTGATGATATCAAATTGGATATTACGCTTGAGTTTGAGGAAAACCCACATACTTTTAGTCGAAAAGCAGCCCCAATGTTCGATATTAGCCATTAATCGATTAATCGAATATTAAAAGAAAATAAAATGCATCCCTATAAAATGAAACCATTTCAGGAGCTCATGGAAGACGATTTTGATAGAAGAACGTATTTTTGTGAACAAATGATGGCAATGTGTAGATAACAATTATGCTTTGTATTCTGATTAGTGCAATTTTGCACTTCAAGGTCATGCTAATCGTCAAAATTGCCGCTAGTGGTCTAATGAAAATCCTCACTGGATTACAGAAGAACATACGCAATACCCTGAAAAGGATAATGTTTGGGCAGGAATTGTTGGAGATCATATCATAGGTCCCTTCTTCATTGATGGCAATTTGAATGGCGATAATTATTTAGCACTGCTCCAAAATAATATCGTAGCAACTTTGACAAACTTATATCCTGATCCAGCAAACCCACAATTTCCAGCGAATATGATATGGTTTCAGCAAGACAGAGCACCGCACCATTACCAAATCAATGTCCAGCAGTACCTCAACCGAATATTTCCAAATCGGTGGATAGGGAGGCGAGGATCGATGGAATAGCCAACACGATCCCCTGATCTGACACCATTAGACTTTTTATGAGGATATGTCAAAAGTATTGTATACAAAACTAAACCCCTCGACTTCGCTGACTTAAGAAGACGAATAACGCTTGTGATTAGGTCGGTCACGCTTGAGATGTTGAGTAACGTTGGAAGAAATTTCTATTTAAGAATAGAATGCTGCCAAGACTTCGCGGCGAGCATTTTGAACATCTCCTACACTGACATTAATGTTTTTTTTTTTTTACTTTTTTACATTATCAGTAAATAAACAGTATTAGTTATTAGGTTTTTAGTGTGTTGTAGCGAATTTCTGTAATCAAATAATTTTTTTTTATGTTAATTTTTGCATAAAATCTGAAAACACTTAATATTTTCGAAACAGTTGAAGATAGGTATAGGATGCATGAAATATGTCTAGAATTTTCTGAAGAATTCAAAAATTGAATAATATACAGGGCGTTTTTTCGAACACGCCCCCATTTATTTATTATTAAATTTATTCCATTTAACTGATACAGTGTGTATATTAACGAAAATTCTTGTGATAAAATTTAAAACTGCTTATTTTATTGAAGTTTAAAGGACATTATAAACTTTTATAAGGAGGTAATATTTAACTTTATTATAATTATCCACGAATTTTTTTTAATAGTAATAATTATAATTTTTTTTTCAAATGAAGTCGAACAATGTTCTTCGATATCGGAAATTTAGGCAAAAGATATTCGAATTAGTTTAATATCTTTAAAATTGAATAAAAAATGTGGTTAGAATATTGTAAACGACTAAGATTAGTGATTCTCGAAGTTCATACGAATTTTTCTTCAAGGAATCTTCTCTTCAAATGGCTTATTTAAGGAGGTTTATCTGATTTGGAATTTTAAAAAAAAAATTTTTTTGGTCTTTCTACTTAGAATGCGCAACAATTAACGAACAGTTTACACAGCAACTTGCATAATAGGAAAGCGATATCTAAGGAATCGTATGACAGGTCGTAGAAATCGATTAGGTGCTTATAGAATACATAATTTATAACAATTCTCCTTCAAACTGCTGTCGTTGACTAACTTAACCTCCATATGCGTGATAGCGGCAACGTCGCGGTTCTCGAAGTAGCGTATTATTTGAAATTCGCTGGTGTGACATATGGTGTATATTTAGCTCCAGCTCCAAGCTTAGGCATCCAAACAAAGCCAGCCAAATGCAACGTTGCCAAATCTAAAAGCTTACTACTTTAGTCACGTGCGAATCTGCAGAAACTCTCGTTAGACTATAGACGTACCTCTGTACCCGATAAACCTCCTTAAGTACAACTATGTATTTTTTGCTAAAAATCACCTTGACATTAAAAATTCATTAAAAAATTAACAAACTCGGAACTTTTAAACCTGGCGCCTATCTTCTCCTTCCGGACCTCCTCCACATGTCCGATCCACTTCTCGAAGTAGGATATCCTGGTGTACACCCTCGGATAGTCCCCGCTGGCACAGTCCGTCTCGAAGGACACTATCCCGATCACCAGGTTGTTCTGAAAAAGAGGCCCTCCGGAGTCATAACTACAATCCAGCTTCGCTTGATTCCAAGCGCACACCATGGTGTCGTCAATGTTCAGGTTGTTGATACCCTTGCACGTGGAGAACGGCACCAAGGTGACTTTGGAGCTGTAGAGTTGGTCCGACTCGTAGACGCCGTTCTTGGAACTCCAGCCCATGGTGGTGGCGGTCGTGTTGGCGATGTATTTGTATCTGGAACGTGTGTAAATATTTTTTATTAGATTTGTTTGTATATACAGTGTGTCCCACTTAAACATTAGCCACCCATGTAAAATTTTTATTTATTGACCGATTTGTTTTAATTTTTTTTTGTTTCATAGTCCTGAATAAGAATCCGGTGCAGTTTTTGTCAAAAAAATCGTTTTTTCTTCCTATAAAACGTGACTCAGTTGGCCATGACTTTGACCACGAAAATAGAGAAATTATACATTCTACTTCTTTTTCTGATCTATTAAATAAAAAAAAAAGTTGAAACAAATCGGTCAGTAAATAAAATTTTACATGGGAGGCTAATGCTAATGTTAAGTGGGACACACTGTATATACAGGTTGTCTTAGCGCGACGGCCCATTAGAATATTTCAGAGACTACTTCGATTTGAATTTTGCGCCCTAGGGTTTCCGTGGGTATTCTTTTTAAATAAAATAATGCCATTGTTATAGCACTTTCGGTTATACCGGAAATCGCCATCTACTTGCTTATTTTAAATGGAACGCCCTGTATATTTTTGCATATTTGGATTCTACGCTTAATTTTAGGGGAACTTTTATCAAGCTTCCCTTTGTCTATCTCTAACGGTCTTTTAGATATTTCAATTCTTTAAAAAAAAAATGCTTTTCGATAACCTAATTCAAAATTGCCTATTTGTATTTATATTTGAGAGGGAGATGAGGGAATGCCTATTACTTATTACAGTTTCCATTGATCCAATTTCTTGCGAGGATGGCTGTGAAATTGCTAGCAAACTTAAAAACAAAACAACCAGTACGCCATAAGTCATCATTTGCTGTTAATCTGACAGTGATACTTGCAATTAGTTAAATAATGATTTGAAAAAAATGGAAAACAATACGTATTCAAATGCTGATAATTTAAGTTTATTATTTATTCATGAGCAGTGAAATGGAATTATAAATATAACATGCAACATTTTTAATGAAAGATACCCAAATTAACAGCAAATGAAAACTGACATAATGGTTGTTTAGTTTTTAAGTTTGCTAGCAATTTTGCAGGCAGAAATTGCATCATTTTAGTTACTTATCACAAAAACCATCAATAACAGCAAAATTAAAAGATGTAGGTATAGAGATGTGTAATATGGACAGATAGAAAGTAGAATTCTGCAACCGATTTTGATTAAATGTATTGGGTGTTCCATTTAGATAAACCAAGTCTTTTTTTTATGATCAAATAAACTATAATAATAATAATAATAATAAAGGAAATATTAGTCTATCTTTTAAATTTGTTGTAGTTACTGTAAATGTGGGTCATTCATGTTTGACAGCATTAAAACCAACATATTTGGTGTTGATAATATGTATATCCCCCACTATGTTAAAATATTGCAGTCCCTTTATGTTACTCATTACTTGCTGTATTCAGCAAAAATATTTCTCGCATATGAAATAGTACAGTTGGTTTGCTTGTACCCAAAAAGAATAATCTTTTCTGTTCTTAAAATAATTAGTACATTTTTTTCCAAAATTTTTGAAGGAATACTATACCGGGTGGAGCATTTATCTTGAGACAAAATAATATCTCGGTTGGACTCGATTACTTCGAAAAAAGTTTCAGACAAAAATTGTAGGGCATCGAGGGAGCCATGGAAAGGTCCATATTACGACTTCCGGTCTAGAGCGGAAGTGGTGCTTTCAGACCGGAAGTTGATTTTATTAAATAGAAACGCCCATTTTTTACCTCGGATTTCTATTAAAAAACGAAAAAATACTTTTTATTCATATTATTTTTTCGATTTAACCCATAAAAACAAAAAAAACAAGAATCTTGAGACAAAGTGATACCTTGTTGGGATCACTTTTTAAAAAGTGACTATATTGGCATGACCTTCAAATTACCTTGACCTTGACTATAATAAGATATGAACTTAACCTCGAGAACAAGATCAGATATCAAGGTCATTTTAAGGTCAAAAAACTGTATAATTATTAACTACTTTTAGCACCATCCAGGAATAACGACGTAGTAGTTTTCTTCAGGTCTCTGAAGATTTTTGTGATTTGCTGAAAACTGAAGTGTATATTTGATATTAAAACGACCTTGAAGTCAAGGTCAAGGTCATTTTCAAGGTCATGTCACGATAGCCCCGTTTTCACCCTACAACTTTTGTATGAAACATTTTTTTTAAAAAGTGATACTGCGTTGTCTGAAGATTCTTGTTTTTTTTTGTTTTTAAGACCATTTTATGGCCAAAATATGGGTTAAACCGAAGAAATAATAAGAACAAAGTATTCTTCCGTTTTTCAATCGAAATCCGTGGTAAAAAATGGGCGTTTCCATTAAAAAAAATCTACTTCCGGTCTGAAAACACTACTTATTTCTGGTCTAGACCGGAAGTCATAATATGGACCTTTCAATGACCTCCTTGGTGCCGTACAATTTTTGTCTGGAATTGTTTTCGAAATGATCGAGTCCAATTGAGATATTTTGTCTCAAGATAAATGCCCCACTCGGTATAATTAATTATGCCTATTTTGTAACAGTCTTTTCCTAAATTTGGCTTCAGGAAAGGATATAGTTTATCAACTACCTTAATCATCTCGTTGATGAAAATAAAAACAAAGGACATAAGGCTTTGATCCAATTAAAAATAAGCTTTTTTATTCTCAAAAATATTATGGGCTTGGCGATAGAATTCTAGTAAACCTAAAATATGTTTTTATTTTATAAGAAAAATGCCTTATTTCAAAGGTGTCTTGCTTATAATTCTATTAATTTATACAATTTTCTTCCTGATGATTTTATAATATTTAATATTAACAAATTCAAATATAAATTTAAATCATTTTGTTAAGCTGATTTTATAGTTTGTACTTTGTATTTAGGCACTTCATTTATTCAAATGTCAAATTCCTCGCAATCTTTTTTATTAACACATAATTATTTGACTACTACTAAATATTGTGAGGTACTTGGAATCCTTTTGTGATATCCAGTAGTAGACGAGAATAAAAAATTACAGGTTTATTTTCATCCAGAGAAGCTTTGAAATATGGTTCATTTGTTTCCGGAGATCCAGTAGGTATGCGTTGAATCAATTTTTATTCACACATTTGTAAACATGTCTGAGTCATTTATTTTTTATTACCTACACATGCGATTCGTATTTTTAATGAGATAATTTTGTTGACAGTATAATAATTTTAGAACACCACAAATCACTGCAAGAAATTAGTGATATATTGAATATCTGTGACCTTTTATACATTTGAATGTAAATGTAAATAAACAGTCAAAACATTAACTATGTTGCACATTTTTAGGTCTAAAATTAAAATAATATTTACGTTTACGCTTTATTTAAGTTAAATCTTCACCGTTGTGATGACTATTGAACCTCGAAATATACGAGGCACTATCGACTATGTGTTTGCATAAGAAATTAACACCCCGTATGTTATTAAATCTAGTTAAGCTACCTTGATCCTGCTAGAGCTATTGGAACCTCCAAACTGTCAACGAACGGCGTCTTCACTTTCACAAGACAAAGGTTGTGCGACACAGTTCTTTGCGAGTAATTCGCGTGCCGCATTATCGCTTCCACGTCATGCGCTACGCCGTTCCTCCATTTTGCTGAGTTACTCGAAATCTTTACCTTCTCCAGAGGATACGATTTCACCAGTTCGCAGCAGTGAGCTGCCGTGAGCACCCAGAACTTGCTTATGATGGTGGTACCGCAGATCAGAAGAACCCTAGAATAAAATAAGTCATTTACCTGCTAAGCTAAGCTAAGAGGGCCTGAAATAGATCCCTGAGGGACTTCTTAATCAGGTGATTTTTTTCGAACAATGTTTTAAATATCGTTATACTAAAGCTTTTAACGCCTACCTGTTGTATTTTATCAAGCATAAAGCTGCCATATGCTTGTGTTCGGTCGTCTCATCTTGGGCTCTCCCTGCCACTAGAGACATCAGGCTTTTCCCAGGTCTATTTCGTAGATGTTCGGACATGTCAAAAACATTCTGGTTGCATTTCTTCATCGATTCCAGGACTATGGTAAGGAGGAGTATCAGATTTGCCAGAGAAACCACTATCAGAGTAGTGACGGTTATGCAAGAAATTTGACTCATAGGAGTGTGTCTGTTGTCTCTGCTGCTTTCTCTATCCTGACTAGCCATTCGACTACTTAAAAAATAATTTGTTCTGATGCTAAAGAAAAGAATAGTGTAAAAAAGATTATGTAACTTACCTTACACATTATTTAAGGGGTGACTTTTAACTGCAGAAAGGTGCTGTGCTAGTTGCTTGCAGGTAATCATACGAATGCTCGTATGTAGATGGCTTTGAAAGATAAAATTGAAGTTTGTTGTGAGTTTTCCTAGGGGTGAATATACCTTCAAACTGTTGCATGTGCAACGTCATAATATGGTCACGATACACCATAATTTATAGGTATACAGGGTGAATCACGGCAAGTATAAAAAAAATCAGATAAAAAATATTGCCCACGTTTAGAAGTTACATGGTATTGAAATTAGAAATATTAAATTATTTTTGACAATAGCTTAGAAACGAAAGAATATTTTTGTTTCTAAGCTTTTGTTGTACTACGAAAAAATTTATCAATGCCATAAATAGGATAGGTGCAAAGTTAATAATGACTAGACATCGGAAATTTTGTGGCGACAGTCAAATAAATAAACATTAGTAATCTATATTATGCTAGTAAGCGGTAAAACGCGTTGTAGCAGCAGAAATAGGCTAAATTTGTGGCCAAGCCGTGTGCCGCTCTATGCTCATAATATACATTCCTACTGACTGCCATAAAAACATGTGCCATACGCTTGATCAAGCAAAACGTCAAACTGACTCACACACGCACAAAAACTAGGATTTTACCGGCACGCCAAAACGACAGGGCAGGCATTAGGGTATGGAATAAATTGATCGATGCGAAGCTTCAAATCAGAGGCAGACATGTACATGTTATTGTACAATGACACGAATAGTGGAATTACTAAAATGTGAAGTAGTTGATGCCTTCACCATTAGTAAAAATAACATCTATTAAAAACTTCGACTATTTTAGATATGCGCCTGTGAACTCGATAAATGCTGAACGGTCATTTTTCTTATGAGTAAGAAATTATTATTTTGTTAACTTTTGCTGGTACTTGTTATTACGTACTACATCTATTCAAGCTGATTCAGAACTTATCCAAAAAAAATATTTTGGATGTACTGGGGACTCTTACAAATACAATTTCGTAAAGAAAAAATGAAAGGGTAGTTCGAAAATGATTTAAAAATACATTTCTGCACGGTACTGGAAACTGGTCCACTGTAAAACCTGACCTCACACAATGCGACCGACATGGCGGCAGTGTGATAAAAACGGACAAAAACTTTGTAAATTAAAATTAATTTGTGGTTTTAAATAATAAAATAATTTGGCTACCTGATGTTACAACACCTCTTCAAAATTTTGTCCACCGACGTGTAAACACATTTGGGTCCGTCTTACTCCATTTCTACGAACTAACACCTTGTTTTGCTTTGCTATAATAGAAATAATTCACCATAATACAAATGTTGTCTTCCATATATTAAAACGATATCCATCAACTCCGAGTAGCTATTTTTGACACTAACTACTAAAAATCTTTTGTAAACACTATCGCAACGACGATTGTAATTTCAGTATTCGCTGAGACCACGTGGCTCTCCACGTGTATTGCGAATGACTTTAAAGACTACAGTCGTCCAACTGGTTGTAAGTCAATAATTTTTTCGGAAACTATTTATAAGGATTTAAAAAAAATTTTTTACGATATTGACTCCATTTCTCATGCCGCATCTATTCACAAATTTGTTTGGATAAGTTGTGAATCACCCTGTATATTTTATGATAAATTCCATATAAAGCGTTTAATGTAGAAAAATAGGTACTTCCCTTTTTGTTTCATACTATTATGCAGATACCTACATATACAGGGTGTTTGTAAATAAGTGCGAAATATTTTAAAGAGTGGTTTCCGAAGTTATTTTATGAAAAAAAGTTCATATAAACATAAGTCGAAATATGCTTCGTTCTCGAGATATAATGTAAAATTATTAACTTTTTATTTATTTTTATCAATTATTTCAATGTTTTAAAAATATTGAATCGAAATTTGAAAAACGCATTGGAGGGATAAATGCGCATTTTTTGGGGTGATCCGAAAATTTCTATTTGTACCTTTAAATAAAAGATTAACAAAACCTACAATAAAATATGTTTTATTTTTTCCTCAAAAAGGTTGCATCCTACGAAAAAAATTGAAGAAACTAAATTCATTCAGAATTGATAACATAAATAAAACAAAATATTAAATCGAAAACTAACAAGAGTATCAAATATTGTGTTTTGAAATTATATATTTTTTTAGTCATTTACAAAAAAAGAATCAACCAAAAGATTTCTATTTCTATGTTTGCAGAATAAATAGTACCCAAACAAATCCAATGGGTTCAAATATGGAGGGCGTCTACGCACTATTCATTTAAACAATGCCAAATGCTTAGCAAGAAGGTCATATTTTATTTAGACCGACATAAATTCAAATTATTTTCGCTTAAATTAAAGTTACAGGGTTAAACTGGTTAGAAATTTCCCATATTTATGCCATCGAATAATTTTCAAATCAGAAACTATTATTAAAATGGCCTTATTAGATGACCAGAAATACACAAAAAATGTTTGTTTCTGAACTATTTCCAAAAAAATAGAGCTGGGAGAGAACATCATACGCTTAAATGGGAAAATACAAGACCCACAAAATGAGTAAGATTTTAGAGCTAAAAATATAAACTTTATCATTCAAATATCAAACTGTCTCAACTAAATTCTAACGGGGCCGGGATCTAAATTCTACAGGGATGACAAACTACGCCCTTTTAGTTGAGTTTTATATTATTTGTTTCTCATTTTTAGACATTTGCCTATTTTTACTCTAATGACTCAATTTTTTAAACATTCATAACGCATTTTTTTGGGTGGTAAATACCAATATTTTAGCGTTTTACTAAAAAATACCATGGTAAATCAGTTTTTAGGATGCGGAGTCAGATTCAGCATCAAAAAAATCCACAAAATCTATGTACTCTGGCACATAACTTTTTTGTGGGGCTGGGTAATTGGACAAAAGTGTTTAAGATACTTGCAATATAAAATAATAATATAAAGTTGAGATATTCAACTAAATTTTAAATATTTCCAAAAATTCGGTATAATATTTGGGTGTTTCGTAATAATTGAATCGAAAGTAGTATTCACTAATGAAAAACTAAGAAACTTTTATAAAAAACCTATTTATATACAGGGTGACCCTGAAAAGGATGGACAACGATTGACCACAGGTTCCTTGGATGAAAATAAGACTATTTAGCCTAACTTACCTATATACAAAAGTGCACGCCTACTGAGATATAGCTTTCTAAATATAGAATAGATAATCTATTTTTTTCAAATAATTTGAAAACTATTTTTCTTAGAAACTTCAAATTTGGTACACTTATTTTTTTATATAAGGGCAAGATAAATATAGAATTTGGAAAGAATACATATACAGGTTGTTCTATTTCTAGTGCCTGTGCGCCACTGGCTATCCCGTAACTTTTTTGTGTGTATGCTAATGACGACATAATTTATATTTTTAAAGATAAGCACTATTTTAGAAGATTTTTTTGCTCTTATAAAATTTCGATATCGTTTATAGATTTCGAGTAAAATTCGCATTTTTTATACATTAAATGTAGGCAAAAATTCCGATTTATAAAAAATAATTTATAACTGCAGCCTCAAAGCAAGGAATAATTATGAAAAAACGTCACATTAAAAAAATAACTACACATTTTTGGTATTATCAATCAATAAAATAAAAATCAACACTAATATTTTAAATAAACAATATCAACTAATAATGTAAGAAAGTCAACATTAACATTTTAAATAAACTGATATTTGTAATCACATTAAAATAATATTACAGTAAATGCTCAAAGTTACTTTCTTGTGCTTAAACGCAAACATTAGTTCTTCGAAAATTAGAAATTATCCAATAATTGTGCATTACCACCCATAACATTAGTTTCATGTTGTATTCTTTCTCATATTCGTTTTCTGTATTTACTGAAAAGTTGTTTTAAACTGTGGTCTTCAACGCTCCCCAAATCAAATAATTACATGGGTTTAGGTCCGGGGATCGAGGTGGCCATTTTAAAGGGGAATTATTTCCTCTACCTGTTAGACCTTTAATAACCTGTAATACCTACCTGTACCCTGTAATACCTGTAACCGGTAATAACTGGTCTTTTAATACTTCATTAAAGGAACTTTTTGAAAGCCAACCTCTGCCGCTAAACACCTTTTATTTAATTGAGGAATTTCTTCGACCCTTTCCAAAATTTGTTCCTCTAGCTGAATAATTCCAGCCGTACATTATCCACGATTTATTGTTACAGGTAAAAAACGTCCTGTTTCCCGAAGCCGTGTCTCCGCATTAGCAAATGTTCTGTGATTTGGAGTTCTTCGATTAGGAAATCTTTCAGCATATGTTCGAACAGTAGCACAACAATTTCCTTCACAATAATTTAAAACTACTAACATATCAGTTTGTTCAACAAAAGTATAAATTGCAATAAAAAACAAAGTAAGCTAAAATTAAATCACAGAACCTTTTAATTATTGTTATGAATTTGTTTCTCTGTTATATGGCACCTCGTACTAAAATATTCTATTTATCTTAAACTGATTTTATATTATTTAATGTGTAAAATATGCCAATTTTACTCGAAATCCATAAACGATATCAAAATTTTGCAAGAGGCAAAAAATCTTCTAAAATAGTGCTTATTTTTAAAAATATAAATTCTGTCGTCATTGGCGAACATACCAAAAAGTTACGGGCTAACCAGTGGCGCACAGGCACTAGAAAGAGAACAACCTGTATATGTATTATCACCAAATTTTACATTTACATTGCCCTTATATAAAAAAATATGTGTACCAAATTTGAAGTTTCTAAGAAAAACAGTTTTCAAATTATTTGAAAAAACTAGGTTATCTGTTCTATATTTACAAGGCTATATCTCAGTAGGCGTGCACTTTTGTATATAGGTGAGTTAGGCTAAATAGTCTTGTTTTCATCCAAGGAACCTGTGGTCAAGCGTTGTCCATCCTTTTCAGGGACACCCTATATTTAATACGTATTTATGTATAAACAGTAATATTTTCTGTGTAAGTTTCGTTACTTTCCATTTTTTTATTTCAACCGAGGTCGATATTTGAAACTTCCGAAAAACAATTGCAACAACAAATGCCGTTTGATATCCGCCAATCGCGTAATAAACAAATACAGTGATAACGAATTAATCTTTGAAAAAAACAACGACGCCTCGGTGTTATTCTTCTTTTATCTGACCATTATAGCTTGTTGATGCGTTTATAAAAAGCAGAAGGGAGTCATTGTCCATATTTCTCGAAAATAAATAAAAATCTTCCACGTAATTCCGCCAAGCGGTATAAATAGTGGTGTTGGAGGAGACAAGTGCAGACTCCGTTTGGTGAAGATGAAGATTCTGGTTCTAGTGCTATGTGTGAGTGTGGTATGCCTGGCCACCCCATCGCCCCCCAAGGACTTCGGGACAGGCCTACGGAAGCTCAAGATGTGTAAGTTTTCTAGTCCTGCTTTGTAATACGTTATAATACTTTAAATTTAGCATAGCAGATTTTTTTTCATAAATATTTGTAGGAAATAAAGTTAGATGAGTAAGTCTTCGCTATATTTGTATAATTTAAATTTAAATCGGTCCCTACAAGACCTTACTGAAAACCCACCCATGCTTTAAACATTGTGCTATCAGTTTGTTGATTAAGTTTACTATTTTATCGTTTTTTTTTTATCAATTTCATATGAAAATGCCCTTGTGAACAGTTGTTTTGTCTAATTTATTGATTTCAGTTTTTCGTTGCAAATTTGACAAAAATTATTAATTGATTTAAAACTAAACACTTATAACAATTAGGTAGCAATGAATATTAATTAACGGAATTCTACAAAAACCCAATTAAAGGGGTGCAAAATCCAGTGGGGTTGTTAGAATTTAAACAAAATATCGCTAACCAATGTTTGTCAGGCATCTAACACAACAGACATAACTACTTAATTATACAAAATAAAAACTAAAAATGATATGTCTAAATATAATTAATACAAGAACACATACCTTATACATTGGAATTGTCATTCAGAGTAATATCCTGTATTCTTACTGTTCTATTATCACCCTGCATTATCATAGGGTCAGACAATTTTCAACAGCTGTTGTGATTTTTGTTGTTTATTTGCTTTCCTTACATCATAAAACGTCATTTATCTTGAAAACGGTCCGAGTTAAAGTTTGTGGTGATGAGTACCTTTTTTGTGTAAATAATATTGGCGGTTTAAAATATGCTTTCAAAATGCCAATTTTCCCAGAGTCGTAAAAATTAGGGGCAAAAGAACCTCACGTAATCCTAAAACCTCCGCCACTGTCATATGATTAAAAATGGAATTATCGCTCAAAAGTAGCTAATGTTAGTGATAATAAGTGTATAAAATTTGAGATCTGTATCTCAAAGACTTCTTGAGATATCGCCAAAAAACTTAAAAACATTTTTTTTGACACCATATATCTCGAAAATTTGCGGACTCATTTTACTAAGACTACTACTAACCTTCTAGTATCGGCAGGCCCGGATTGGGCCGGCGAGTTACCGAGTAAAACTCGGTGGGCCGGTCACTCCGGGGGCCGGTTAGCTCCAGTGTATACCACTCTTTAAGTTTTTAATATTAGTCCAGGAGAATTACACACTGGCATGGCTGTTGCTTGACGTAGTTTAGATATTAGTAAAAATCGGTCGAAAATAATATAAACAATGAAAATATAAGGTTGCGCCAAGAAAAAAAGTTGTGCTATTTGCAGAAAAAATTAAAAACTGCAAAAATACTTACAAATCACGTGTTTTTTCTAACATTTTCCAATATAACTTCTTAAATATGCAGTTTACAAAAAAAAACTATTACTGATGAAATTATTTGTTATGAAATTTGCTATAAGACAGAATTGTTTTGATACCTGCGCATTTAATATTTTTGTTGCTATATAGCCAAAACAGCGTGAGAATGTGATGAAAATCAAGGTAATTTTGAAGCGTTCAACTGATAGGTAAGAAATTGTCCAATTCTACTATAAATGTAGATGTAAGTACTTTAAAGGATTACAAAACGAAATCGCAAAACCCGATCGAAATCGGTCTGATAGTTTTGGTATGAGACAATTTGTTACTAAATTTTAGCGCGAAATGTCGTTATGTTTTTGCGTCAGTGCTGAGGTTAAAGTTAGGCATTTTAATTGGCGCTGATTTTTTTACACATACTTGGACTCTTTAACTATCATATAGAATCGTTATAATATTAATTTTCTTTTTTTTAATAATTTTTGGAGCGATTTTAAAATTTCGAAAAATTTTGACTTTATAAACAAATACTTTCGTGAAGCGGTTTTGCGGATTGGAATATATACCAAAGTACTAAAAAATAGTTCTCGGAAAGACGCTTAACTTGAAAAAAAGAAGGTTCAAATCGGTCACATAAGTTCCGAGATATCAAGTGTCAAAGTCAACAAGCAACAACAACAAAAATTGAATTTGGCAGGTTTTTTAAGAACTTTTCGTATGTGCTTTTATAAATATTACCGCAAGTGTGTTTTTTATATAAAATTAAATGAATACCGCCAAACCGACCATTTGAGCCGCAAAACCGGGGGGAGGGGATGAATGATGACTTGTCGTGTAAGTCTATATATTTGTACAAATGGACTTTTTACTAAAATTCAAAGGTGCCAGGAGAAAACGCGACCTTGAAAATTTTCGCCTGCGGCGCCATTACAAAGCCACTAGTGGGCCGATATAAAAAATCGAACTCGGGCCGAAAAAAATTCCCAATCCGGCCCTGAGTATCGGGTACTCGTGTGTACACCCTGTTTTTTTTTTAGGGCCTGCATAGAGCTTGCTTAAAAATTATGGAAAACAAATGAAATACGAATAAAAAAAGCAATAGCATAAAATCGGTTTTCTTCGAATATCTTCGCAACTATTCGGAATTTTCAAAATTTAAAAACGGATCCGTGATCGCCATTTTCTGTACATTTTTGCCCATTTAACCATTTTTGTAACTCTTAAAATAAGAAAGATACGTGTATAGGACAATTAATAAGTTGCAACCCTGTATTTTTACATCAAACTTTTAGAAGAAATGACATTTCGAAATAACAGTGTTAAAATCTCTAAACATGACTAGATTCACTATAACCGCTTCTTTATCTAAAAAAATGTTTGCCCTTTTCTACTAAATTTCTTTTAAAAAACATTTATTTTTTTTAGCTCTAACATTTTTTACTCTATTTCAAACGTATTTAATTTAAGCTAATTCAAACCAACTCTAAAATACATTTTTTTTTAAATCTTATCAAATGAAGTCAAGGTCCCTATCCTACCCTATCCGAGGTACCTATCGAAGAATATTGTTCATTATCAACATTAGCTAAATAGTTTGGTTTGGTTAAAAAAAATAACTCTTTAACAATTTGTTCTTTATTGTAGCTGATAAAATACTGTTAGAGAGACAGAAAAACATCTTGAGGCTCTTCAAAAACATCAACCAGATATGCAGCTGCAAAGACGAGCTGCAGATAGCCACTACATACTCCATTGAGGAAAGAAGTAGCGACTACACAGTGAGCAAATAACACAAACAAATCTAAAACCAAATTACTAAACCATTACTATGTTCCGTTACAGAACTCTCAAGTGGTAAAACAATTCCTAACCTTCTACAAGCAAGGCCTGCTTCCTAGGGACCGAATCTTCTCGGTCCTCAACGAAGTGCACCTGAAGCAAGCTATAACCTTGTTCAAACTCTTCTACTACGCCAAAGATTGGGACACCTTCTACAAGACTGCTGTGTGGGCCAGGAACCACGTCAATGCTGGCATGTTTGTCTACTCCTTGTCCGTAGCGATGGTGTTCAGAGCTGACACTTACGGCCTCGTCGTACCAGCCATTTACGAGGTTTTACCCATGGCATTTTTCAGTAGTGAAGTCGTACAAGAAGCGGAAGTCTTCAAACAGAAGTTGAAGGACAGCAACGAAATGCAACGGCACACAATAGTGTCTAACTATTCCGGATACTATCTGAATCTACACCCTGAGCAGTCTATGTCATATTACACCGAAGATATAGGTCTCAACGCCTTTTACTACTACTGCAATGTTTATTATCCCTTCTGGATGGATGGTACGTATGTTTTGAATACTTGGCGAGGTCATATATTGATACTTAAATATCAAAAAAGGCCCGCATCCGAGCTTTGTGCAACTCACTAGGTCATTTTCTTTCAGGTGAAGAGTTCAAGCTGAAAAATGATCGTAGAGGCGAACAGTACTACTACCTTTACCAGCAGTTACTGGCAAGGTACTACCTTGAAAGGTTATCTAACGACTTTGGCGAAATAGATATGGTGTATTGGGATGAACCTGTTAAAACCGGATATTACCCATCACTTACCTACCCTAATGGCCTAGAGTTCCCATCAAGACCGAATTTCGCAAAGTTATCTGAATATTTCTACAACTATGGCCAGTCATGGTCGTTCAAGTCCAGATACGGCTACAGCTATACCTTGGTTAAGGACTACGAAAGAAGAATCAGGGACATCATTGATTGGGGATACATTCCAACAGTAAGTAATAGAAAAGAAGTAATATTATATTCAAGTTTACTATGACTTTTTTAGAAAGACGGCAAACAGATAGAGCTGTACACCCCCGAAGGCTTCGACATCCTAGGAAATATCATCGAAAGCAATCCCTGCTCCCCCAACACCAAATACTTCGGACCCTTGCAGATATACGCGCGCCACCTTCTGGGCTATGCCCCTCAATCCCTCAACAACTTGGACGTCGCGCCATCAGCTTTAGAACATTTCGAAACCGCTTCCAGAGACCCAGTCTTCTACCAGTTCTACAAAAGAATTGTACTACTTTTCCAGAGATACAAGACGAACCTCCCTCCTTATTCGTACAAAGAGATGTCCTTCCCTGGCGTGAAGGTCGAAAAAATAGACGTTGATCGTTTGACCACTTACTTCGACTACTTTGACACTGACGCTACCAACATGGTGTACCTAACCCCTGAAGAACTGGAAAAAGAGAATGTCCAGATAAGAGTTAGACAACAGAGACTTAACCACAAGCCTTTCTCTTTCAGAATCAACGTTAACTCTGAGACTGCTCAAGACGCAGTGGTGAGAGTGTATTTGGGCCCCAAATATGACGAGTTTGGAAGAAAAATCAACATGCAAGAGAACAGACTCAATTTCATGGAGCTCGATCAGTTCATATGGCAGCTTAAGGCAGGCAAGAACACGATAGAACGCAACTCCAGACAGTTCTATTGGCACATACCTGATAGGACGTCTTACAGAGACATCTATAAGAAGGTGAACGTACTTGTTGCCCTCTATTTAAATGACAATGTAAATATAAATTTTGTTTAGGTTTTGGGAGCTTTGACTGATGGAGAAGAAGTGCAACTTGACGCCAGCGAAGCTTTCTACGGCTTCCCCAACAGGCTTCTTCTACCCAAAGGCAAACCCAATGGTCAAGTCTTCCAAATGTACGTCATCGTGAACCCTTACAAGGCTCCCAGTTTCCAACAGAAGAAACAGGAAACTGACTATTACTTCCATCGTATTGGTACTGGCAACAACTACGTGGACAACTACGCTTTCGGATATCCTTTCGATAGACTTATTGACGAATACAACTTCTACGTGCCCAACTCTGCTTTCAGGGACGTGGTCATCTACCACAAAAGCCTGGACGAAGTCAACTCATCTCAAGCTCAAAACGAGCCTTGAATTGTTAACTTTTCCTGTCTATCTCGAGCATATCTCTAACATTAGATTTACCGTATGTTAACGTTTGTAACTGACCAAGCAATAAAGTTGTATGGGTATACTATTTAAAACAAATTGGGAGTTTTTTAATGTCAACTATATTTTTGTTCCCATTAATAAACGGGGTACTTGGCACTAAAATACGCTAGAAACTTCTAAAAATTAAATTCCGTTTTTCTAATTTTGAAGATAATGAGTCCACTTAAGTGCTGTTAATTTTTCGTAAATTTTTATTGAGAAATTTTCAATATTTAATCAAGGATTGTTGTAAAAATGAACGATTCGCATACATGTACAAACACTTTATTTTAAATCATTTTTTTTAACAAAACAGATCCAAAAAAATTCTAAACACAAGAAACTATTACAGCTCATCAGCGCCATTTGTATATTTCGAATTTTTCTTGTCCTTCCATCCGTAGGAAGGACACCAGCACGCCTTCTTTTGTGCATCCAGATACGCTCTACAACCCAGCGTTAGGGTACCTGTGAACAACATTTTAGCTGTCCCTTTACAAGCTGAAAAAAAGAGTTTGAAATTAAAATCAGAGCCAGTATATGAACAGAGTACCGCATTCTGACCGGCGGCCGCCATGTTTACTCCAGTGCGCTCCTAATAAGCGCGTCTCACTTCTAATCCGTTTCCAAACTTACTTTTTAGGAATTATGAAGTAAAACAAAAATGTGTTTATAAATACTAAGATTTATTAAAAACTAGTCTAGATATATAATTTATATTTATGTAAATAGTGTATACATATAAGTTCTTTGTTAAGAACAACAAACTGACAAATTTAATAGCTATAATTTAGCTATAATAAACTATAATATTAACTATATTATAACTACAACTATAATAAATATATTATCACTATATTAGACTATTATATATACATATCAATAATTATATTATACACGGTGTTTCAGGATTATGTGCAAAAATTTTAAATACGAATTGGGAATCGGAAAATAAGAAAAAAGTTCCTATGAACGTATGTCCGGAAACGATTCGTCATGGAGTTACCGCCGTTTAAAAATGGCGGTCAAAATCGAGTTTAAATTTTTTTCTCAAATTTGAAAATAGATAAAATCCTGAATTTTGGTACAGATATTATACTGATCGAGGCCCATCTAACCAGTATTTTTTCGTTAAAATAATCTTATTTGGAACGGGTGAAATCAACAACACCCTGAATATTTTTCATGAAAACATTCTCACTCGTTAGGCCTTCAATTGTTGCAATACATCTTTTGGAGAGACAGATTAATTTATAAACTTTTCCATCTCTTTCATCTTTATCATGATATAAATAGTTTTTGAGTAAAAAATAAAATAAAATTTTTGATTGTATTTCAACGACTAATCTAATTGGGTGCCTCGTCTAAATAATAAGAATGTAAGACGTAACATGAAATAAGTTCAATTTATTATAATTCTTTATTACAATCAGGTAGTAGGTCTCAGTAGATATAAATTCAGGATTTTATGTTTTCAAATATGAGAAAATAATTTCAAACTCGATTTTGACCGCCATTTTTAAACGGCCGTAACTTCTTAACGAATCGTTTCCGAACATACGTCCATAGGAACTTTTTTCTTATTTTGCGATTCCCAATTCGTATTTAAAATTTTTGCATATAATCCTGAAACACCCTGTATATCAAGCTATAATAAACTAAAAAAAATATCTACATTAAACTTTCTTTGTAGCAATTCTCATTCCAATACTCCTGCTTCCACATTTTACAGATTGTTGTGTCTTTTTAATAAGATCATCAGAACGTTTTCTTAAAAAAAAATACAACCGCGTTCTAAAAAAAATTGCAAGAATATTTGCAAAAATATTATGGCATGTAGGAAGACTGTTTACAGCAACATTTATGAATTCGTTTGTTAATCGCTTTATTGTTAAGCTTCCAGTTAATAATTTATCGCATTCTTTGCGAAATAATATTTCAGCAGTTACCATAATGTCAAAAATATACTTTGTTGGGTATAGCAGTGCATTTTCTTTATAACATTTGAGATCAACCAACTTGCTAATGTCTTTTATTGATTCATCATCATTACGTGTTATGACCGAAGATAAGCAATTATCACAATTTTTATAATCATTTTTTATTTTTAGTACGAATGACCCCAACAGGTAATAAAGTGATTGCCTTTCTGAATGAGTAAGTACTGTATGATTTGTGCTAAAGTCGATTAAACCAAGTACTAATTCTTCTTCGCATTCAATGTCATCATCTTTATTTTCCTCTGTAGTGTGTCTACTGGATTTTAAAAATTCAAGCAGTTGTTCTGAGTCGCTTACCCCGTAACTTCCATGTTTTGGAGGAGAAAAAAATTGTGACAAAGATATCAAACGCAATGCAGTTTTAAATTCTTTGGCATTCGGCACTGGATTTCTACATCTAACATTAGAAAATAAATTTTCTAATGCATCTTGAGTAAATCGACCTAACATCAGATATTTTATATTACATTCATTAATGTAAGTATTCTGTATGTCCAGGACGGTTTGTGTTGCCAACAATATTCCGGTTTGAAAAGGTTTCCAATGCCCATTTTTGCCCACTTTCATAGACTCGATTACAAGTAAGACATCTTTGAGAAAAGAAATTATGTTCAAATATTCTTCCTCCTTATCGCGGCTTATTGCCAATTTAGTGGAACGGCAATTCATCACACAGAACCATTTATGCATCATTTCAAAAAACCATGCAGTTGTGAAACAATTCTTATCAATTTTATTTTGCTCAATGTAAAATTTAATTCCTGCCGCAACATCACGATTTACTAAAGCTAATGCGTAACTTACGTTCATTTTGTCGAAATGACCTGGCTGTATAATATTTTCTTTAAGTCGAGGTGCTACCTTCAAATCGACTTTGGCATCTTCAGATATGAGTAACTTAACAGGCTCCAGATTTACAATATTAGATGGTAATTTAAAACGCTTCATAACTTCATCGGATAAGTAAAATGTATGACCATCAGTCAAAGCAAGTCTCATATTTTTAAATACGTGAGGTGCATCTGGCATAAAATACAATTTTTCAAGTTTATCGCGAAAACAGGGATGAGGACATGAATTTTTTATTTTTGAAAATCTTGAGCAAGTAATACCATGTATACGCCATAATGCTTGATTTTGAGGGCCCATGTCAGACACTACTGCACAGACATCAATCCCAATTTCGCAACACTTTTTTATTATTTCCGTAACTGTTTTACTGACTTCATTTGCGTCATAGGAGTTTTCTGTATACTCGAAGGCAATTGTTTGTTTCCACCTCGTTGTTAAACCTGCAAGCATGAAAACTAATGCATGCGTCGCGAGTTTATCACCTGAAACTTTTCCGCCTGAAGTCGGAATTGTAGGCTTACCTGTAATTTTTAAATGTTAATAGTATCGATTTACTTAATACCATGAAATACATACCCAATATCTCACCGGTAGAGTTGTCATAATCAAGACCAGGTTTCAAAGCCATTTCATCCATTAGCAAAACAGCTTGCTTTTCTTGAGGTTTCATACACTCAACTTTTGTTTTTAGTAAAGGAAACAAATCGTGTAATATACCAGACTGAAACTTAAACACTTCTATTCGCTTTTGCAGTGTTCGAATACATGGCAATGGATATTTTTGTTTTCTTAATTCTTCATATCCTGTGGTACCACATGTTAAATATAGTTTCAAACTCTTCTTAATTGTATCAGTCTGCCACTGACGTCCAGTCATCTTTCCTCTTTTTAAAAAATCGATTTGGTCGTTGTTAAAAACTACATGCACTTGTTTCTTCAACGTATTAACTTCCTCGTTCATTCTCCTCATTCTTTTTTGAGCTAAATTTATTTTCCTTTTTAATTCCAATATACGTCGATTTGTTTCTTCTTCTTGGGGAGTCTCATCTAATTCATTGAAATTTTCCACCACAGTTGCCTCTCGTATTTCACATTCTGAACCTATTAACAAATTCAAATTTAGTTTTAAAAGCCTTCAGTTTCAGTAGAATAATTTTAATAGGTACATACTTTTTCGTTTTCTATCGCATCGGATCATAGGTGGTTTTCTCTGTTTCGGAACCGTTTTATGTGAAAATATGGTAGGGACTGCATTCCAACGTAATGGCCTCTTTCCATCAGCACGATTATTTTCGAACTGATCACTTGTAAAATGCTTCTATAATACACATTAAACTATGTAATTACGAAAGTATACACTAATAAATATTCTTACCTCACAAACATAAGCACGATCGGGAAGACGATCTTTTCGGTTAATATTATTTATCCACTGTTTTCTCCTTGATTCATTTTTCGGCCCTTGAGGCAATAAAAACAATCTAGTACCTTTCTCTGATCTCTCAGAGCAATTAACCGAACAACAACACGGCATTTCTCTAAAAATTGACACAATTCTTTTATCAGAACTTGCCCGGTCCGTTGCTCTGGTCCTTTGAACTTTAACGTGCCACGACTGTAGATATACTGACTTACTGACCACTAGGAGTAAACATGGCGCCGACGGCGGCATTTGACGCGGCAAAAGAATGCGGTACTCTATACATATACTGGCTCTGATTAAAATACTCACCTCGCGCCATCTGTTGTTTTCTGCGCAAACTACATCATGCCATAAGAAAACACCAGATAGCGCTCCTAGCCTTTTCTAATTTCAAATTTAGCAGTAAAATAAAAGGTAATGGTTAATTAACATACTGGAACTTGCCTTTTATTATATTGCTGCCTGCAACAGTATCTTTATACGTGTCGCAGTACTTATACAAGCACCTCTTGAATTCTACGTCGCAAAGTTCCTTATTGCTGTTACAGGTGTCGTAGCAGATATCATGATCGTCGCAACATTTTGTCATTTCCCCTATCGGTAAGTAGTTAGTGTTAACTTTGAGGCCGAAAGACCCACAACCGTCGGCACTTGGTTTGTGACTTTTGTTTGGCTTTGGATGAGCTCCTAAAGAAATGGGAAACCTCTATAATAAAACGATATCTAAAAATTCGGGTAGTTTGTAAACTTTTTGTTTTATACGTAATACCCTTTTAGTTCTATAATGTTTAATTATTATTAAACATCAAAAATGCAGAAACATGTGTAATTTAAACTTTATTCAGTTTAAAAATAAAACCCCCTTCTATGAAAATAACATTAACAATGCAAAATGTTGAAAATTTAAATGACAAAACCCTAACAATATACCTAGATACAGGTACCTATACGTTTTGTTGTTGCAAAAATACTTATACTTAGGCGTAGAGAAAAAAAATCGATTAATTTTGTCACCTCCCCATCTCTAATTTCTATATTGAACCAGGACCGGGATAAACTTAATCTAGTGATCTCTGTTCTGGCAGTAGGATAGGATCAGTGTAAACAGTTTAAAAGTGCAATTGTTAAAAATGTCATATAATCTTTCTTTATGTGTCACAGAGCAAAATAAGAAGTCAATGATTATTTTTCAAATTCAATTACGTTGATACAAAATTACACTCTGATGGATAGCAAAGTTGTATGAAGACACCGATACAAAAATGTCGCTTCCTGCGAATGGTTAGCTAGACAACCGGCCTTAGTTCTAGACCACGTCTGCTAGATGGCTGGGACCGTAATATGTGCCGCTCCGCCGCTCATCTACATATTTTAAATATTTTGTCTTTATAGACATAACTTGGACATATTTTTTTTACCCATGCAACTTCCTTAGTAAGAGTAATGAAGTTAAGTTTCTCCCAAATTAAACATTAAACAACTGTGAAAGTATCATTGACACTCATAACCCTTTTTAGTGCCAGAAATAATCAGCAAAGCAAGACATGGCTTAATCCTATTTTCAAAATATTAATAAAAACCTTTTTCCCACACACCGGCTTGATGAGCATTATATTGATGGGAATATCAGGGAAATGTCCATTTTAAATAATTATAATAACTAAGTGAAATAACATCACCATAATGTAGGTATCAATTTTCTCTATTCATGCAAAAATACTATTGTACTGACAAAATCTTGTATGGTCTACATATTTATTTTTTATGACAGAAATAACATTTTAATTATAAACGAACAACCTTTTGATAAAATATCTGTTTTACAAATTCTTAATTTTGTTTTAAAAAATATATATTGCATTTTAATGGCAGTGAAAGTAATAAAAAAATATTTCTCAGTTTTTTGGCAGAGAACTATTATTAGAACGTACTAACTTATTATTAATACTAAGTTTAACATTTTCAAATTTATATCTCGGTAACATGGAAAACAGCCCTACAGTATTTTAAATAAACTTTAACATATATGAACATGGTGATCCAGAACGGATGGTTGCTATTTCAGGAAAACGGAAAGAGAAAATAGGAAACCGCAAATGGGGTCCTTTATGGCATTGTAAGTGCTTGGTTTTCCCAATTTCACGCACTTTTATTACATTGCATGAAATTTCTAATTTTTCTCAACAACTTTTATTAAAAAAGTTTTTCGACATCTCTCTGTTCAAAAGATATAAAAGAGAAAAAACTGGTTCGATCAAGTCTGTTACTGATATTATTATTATTGACATAAGTCATTTGTTTCTATAAAGTCGTACTGCTAATTTCAAATCTTTCCTAGTTTCCTCAAAAATCAGAATCAAATCTACTTTTTTCACTGAGTATTCATTTGTTTAAAAAAATATATGAAATTGGAAAAAATAATTTCGATGAGGTCACAGATTTTTGAACAATCAATTACTTATAAAGTTCTCAAGATGCCCACTTGCGGTTTTCTATTTGCTCTTTCCATTTTCCTGTAACGGCGGCCAGCCATCGGTTTTCGGTCACCCTGTTCAAAGAAAAAGTGAATTTTCTATAAACTCTACATAAAAACAGTTAAAATTAACAATAAAACATGAAGCTTAGACTTAATATCAAATAAAACAAACTACATTCGGATAGACTTGAAGTTCTACGAGATTCTCGAAAATTCGTGATCTACTGGGAACGTAGCTACGTACTCTAAACTAGGCACGCAGATCCTCGAATGCTCCTTCATAATATGGTACCAATTGGTAATACCATTTGTAATCTTGCAGTGAAAGTACGAACCCCACACAGTCGAGATTAAAAATTGGCAATCAGGATGCCATTTTTCTGTAAAACCGTGAGACCTCTCTGCTTCTAACTCTTCGCATACCGTCACCGTGTCACATTTACAGATAACGTTAGGTGTGTAGATGTCTTGCACGAGGTTGTCACCAACGTACAGGACATTAGGATTCTCCACTTTCGAGTGCTTTATAAGGAAATCCTTCAAGTCACACCAATTTCCGTGTGTGTACATTCCTCCTATTGTTAAATCTTTCGGAGATATGGGGCCTGTTTCAGTGAAACCGTCTAAGCCAATAAAATCTCTCTTCTGGGTGAAAAACCCGGGCTTCTTAGCGTAACATACGACTATATCGAAATAATCCCTCCAATTTGGGCCTATCGTGTTAGAAGCGGTGTGAGAGGCAAAATCTACATGCGAACCGGTTAATAGAAACAACTGCTTGCCTTTATTTTTCAGCGCTACAAGCCACTTGATCAAATCCTCGCTACATTTATAGTAATACTTTTCAGGGTAAGCTTTAATCTCGGGAAAGTACTCGCCTTCGTTTGTCTGGAAATGTTCTCGTTTAAACATGTACACCGCAGCCTCTAGTACATCAGGCCAAATGTTGTAAACCCTTTTCTCATGCTTGGCATCAGACGCTTTATCTATCGAGTCAACAGCCCTAGCAAAAATTAAGCTTATAATTATATCGTAGTAGTCCAGTAACGTCCTCATTTTTTCCGAGTACGGTCCATTCCAAGTTTGCAGAGGGTCTTCGGAAAACAGATCTGTAGCCTTCCACCTCCTATTCGGGTAATAAGTTTCGATTTCTTCCACAGTTAACCATTTTGTGCCGTGTGTGGCTTGTATTATTTTACCATCAGGTGCTATTCGTAGTAAATTTCCATTTTCATCATCTACTATTAAGCCCTTGATCAAGAAATTGTGGTCTAGGGGCTTCAGTAGGTACTCTTTGGAATAACCCTTTTTATTAACTAAATATTTCGATATTATATCATGTTCCATTTCTATCATATTTCCCACTTTGTATCTTGCGAGGGTATTGTCCAGGTCGAATCCTATACAATCATAATCTGTGAATTTAAATTTCACGTTTTCTTCCATCGCTGTTGTAGATTTTGTGTTGTGGCGAGAACATAACCTATTTTGATAATGAATCTGGTTTTTTATAAGTACGTGATTCTGACTAAATACCCTTCCATTTCCTAAACAGATAATTTCGTTGATAATATCTGATTTGAGTATTTGCCGCAGAAGTAACATATCACGTTAAATCTGTTGCCAAAAACCTGATAAAGCATATTTTAGTGCTTTTCCTGTAACGTCACGTCATCTGCAGCAATGTTGCCAGCTATAGTTTATGCCACAGACCACTTTACGCATATGCTTTGTAACAATACAAGAGAATTCTAAAATAACAATGAGAATCCGCAAAATAAATAAAAAAATGTATGTAAATGATAGTCAGTTATTAAAAAATATATAAGTAATTTGCTTTTATAAAAGAAGCAACGAAAATGAGTGACTAACATTTGATTCAAAATTTAAAATTTGCTACACAAAAAACTAACAACCTAAACCTAACCTAAAAGGTTACTTTTCTTATGTTTTAGTCAGGAAGCAATAATTTTCTCTTAAAATAAAAGTTATCTTAACAAAGAATGTATTTTTTATAAGTGCATGTATCACATCACAGTTTAACAACTAGACACGCATAATTCTTATGTCGACTTTAAAAATATATCGGTGTTTATATAATAAAAAGTGAAAAATATGAGATCTCATTTACAAATGGTATATCTGGCAACACTGGTATGCAATCAGATATCCATGCACATCACATGACACTTGACGGGATCTTTTTGACGGTAAAGCTTATACTTGGAAGAGACACCATAAGCCTGTAAGTTTTTTCACTATTAATAGTGTTTTTCCTTTTATATCACAACTTGATGTGGTTCATTGGAATGTCAGACAAAAGACCTCAACCTATTATTGGTTGTTCTAGAACAGAAAGTGTAATACTTACCACTGGTTTTCAAGATATAAGACTATAAGAGTGATGGTGATGGAAAAGTTTAAAAAAATATATCGCCATTTATAGGCTTGGGCTAATAATTTGCCTAATTAAATACAAAAATTCTCTGAATGTACGAATTAGAATTTTGTTATATATTTTTTAAACTGTATTCAACCTCACAAAATAATAGATTCGTGTTCAGCACCCTCAAGAATTAGGAGTAGGCAATATTTGAAGCGGGACCCGAAAAACAAAACTTCAACTGTCGCAAAACACGCCAGTCTTCGAAAAGTTTGCGAAAAGTTACAGTTCTGTTTTATTCGACACAAGTTTGTGTTTTGTTTTGTCCGTTTAGTGGAAAACCACCTCTATGTACACTTGCGAGTTTTGCGGTATAGTACACAATTACCCAAAAAAAATTATTTACTTTAAAAATCCATCCAAAAGTTACACATATTTCGAGGAATTTTTGAAAGCAATTTTTAGGAAGATGACTCGCAATAATTACCAGTGTCACTACCATATTGTTGCTTTACCATCCACAAACAACATTCGCATAATGGCAATCCGTCAATCCAATCAGCTGATTGAATGTTTATACAATTTTGATATAGGATTAATTTAATTTATACGAAACAGCACTTTATTACCGATAATTTGAATAACATTTTTCTTTTATTTGCAAAGTCTTTATTATCTCCTTTTTAGTTACACTTACCATTCGGACATTTGAAAACGCAATCCTCTTCAACTGCGGCATCGAAAACATCGTGCATTGTTCTAAATTTTTGTGCGACGTTGATAACGTTTTTCATTACATCCCCAAACACGTTTTCTGCGGCCAAAACTGCATCCCGCAGATTGTATATCAGACCGGAACCAAAGCCAGAGTAAATGTATCCCAGAAATGTTAATAAATATATAGCAATCTTGCCGTAAGGTATATCCATTATTTCGAGACGGTATCACAAGAAAGCACTAACAAAACGTTTATTACACTTACATATGCACTAAACCGCAGAAAATTACGTCCTGTATAGGTTAGGAAGTTAGACTACCCCATATACTATATTTAGACAATGAAAATGAATTACGTGTTTCTGAAAGATTTGCCAGGGTTTACGCAAATATCCACAAATAGTAGGCTGTGGACAGTATAGCCAAAACTCTAATTATTTTTATATTCATTAGAAATTAGAAGGTATTTGTCAAGTACCTACTTCCATACTTGTTTTTTTTTAATTATTGGTACTGTAATGTTATGCAATTAACACAGTTACAGTTAGCGCTTAAATGGTAAATATGCACTTACAAGGTCTACTGTACAGGTTGATAAGATATATCTACATATATGTAAATGCAGCCATAATGAGGCTTATTCTGTAAATTTCTTATACCTACCTACCAATTAAATGTATTTTATCTACTGCTTATTAATTGCTATTTTTTTTGCTCTTATTAGTTTGTTTATCATAAGTGATACATTAATGATAGAATAAATAACATATAGTAAAAATGCCATTCAGAAAAAGATAAGAAAACTAGCATTTTGTGATAAAATGTATGCAATCTCATTGTATCTACTTGTATATAACTTAAAAGCATTTTTTTCTGGTTTTAAAACTACACAAACTTTTTGATTGTGGCATTATTTCGAAATTGTTTGAAATACATAATTAGATAAATGAAAATTGAATTTTTCAAGCTTGTATTTAAAATATTAAATCATACATAAAATTTAACAACATGCAAATAAGTATAGTCAAAGTACAGGAAATATTTAACATTTTTCATCATAAGTACTGCATTATTGGAATATTGAAATACACTAAGAAAGTACCAAATTAAGTAGCTATTAATTTCTGCAAATCACCTTTCTCATATAATGTTTTAACATCAGAACCTCCTCCTACACAATTTTCCTTAATAAAAACTCTCGGAACCTACAGAAACATGTATTAATATATCTTTCACAACGAAATATTTTTACTTACAGTTCTAGCCCCAGTAATTTCACCCAGAATACCCTGAATCTCTTCTCCATCATCTCTACCATCCAACTCGATGGCTGTGTACTTTTCCTTCATTTTATCAAAGACCTACGAGATTATTTGGTTTAGAAAATTTTGAATGTATATATTTAGAAAACTAACCTCTTTTGCCAGTTTGCAGTAAGGGCAATATGACTTGGAAAAGATCACAATTTTATCGCTCTTGATGAGATCCTTGACAAACACTGCCTTGGGAGAAGAAAGATCCACAGCCATTCTTTTAGAACTGAAAACACCCGTTAGATTAAGAATAAAACTAATTGTATCCACTATTCGCCAATAAATATAATCAAAAATCGACATTTCACAACATGGGATAAAATTAGAACAGTGAAAACCAATGTAAATACTAAGAACACAAATTATGTTTTAAATTATTATTAACCTTCGATCCACGCATACTAACCTTACGTTAATTCAATACCTAAATCGGACAATTACGTGTACTATAGGAATTTGTTTTTGCTACTGGAACTTGACTGGATGAGTTAAGAGTTGTTAAAGTATCCTGAGGAAGAATGGAATTTGTTTAACTTTGGGATATTCAAGGTTATCTTATCTTCGAGTTCTTTCAATTTGATTGAATTGAAACTATAAAATGAAAAAATCCCTAGATATAAAGTACCGAGATGCCATTTTGGTGGAAAATCTGTATTGCCAACCTTGAACTTGAAATATAAATTTAAACTCAATATATTGTTATACAATTTTGAATTACATGTTTATTATACAATAACTTAATGTTTTCATCTAATATATTACAATTAAATTTTGAGTACAAATTGATATATCAAACAGTCAATGTCATTATGGGTAAACACGATCATTTGCGGTACGCGTTTAATCTTTATTTAGGACTTGAAGCTCAAATAATACTTATCCAAACCATGGGAGTTATTATATAACGTATCATTAACTGGCAATTGGCAAAGCATTACCATGGCAAATATAATATCTCTAGAGGTAAGGATAAGGATATATAAAAAATAGACTCCCGTGGTAGGTATGTGGTTTATTTTATTGTCAACAAAAGGTGCTTAAGCACCTTTTGATTTTTCGTTTTTTTTTTTTTTTTTTTTCATTTAAGGATAATTGCATAATTCCTTTCAAGTTACAGTTAGAAAAAATTAAAACCCAGAAATCAATGCAGATATGTGCTGCAGTTGTCTTGAAATAAATACTTTTAAAAAATTATTTCTTGTATTTTCTTATTTATAAATTGCTTATTTAGATGTTTTATGAAAAGTTAAATGTCTACGAATGTTTAGGCTTACCTCATTTTATATAAATAAAACTGTCAGGTAGCTTTAAAATAACTGCAAATTTTGATTAACTATTTTATATGTATTTTGCAATAACGATGGAGGTATTTAAAATGACATAAAATTCATGCTCATGTTTCATGACTGAAAATTGCAAATGTCAGATTTTTCTAATAAGTTGGCTGCAACGAGTTAGAATTCGTTGGTTGGCTGACTAAAAACTAGATCTATCAATTACTAGCTACCTATCAGTAGTAATAGTAAATCAATTTAATATTTTACGAAACATGAAATGGTACTCATACATATTAAGTTGCTTTCTTTCGGTTGCAGGTTTCGGGTTTAAGCGCGTTGTGATCCCATCAACATCATGTTCGTAGTTGTTTTCTTGTTTCCGGGTCATATCAGATTATATGATCAGGATCGGTAATGCCCTTAAAAATCTCAAAAATGTTTAAATATAGAGATGTGCCGCGGACATGTCAGTTGGACATGTCGTGAAAAGTGGACATGTCCTGAGAACATTTTTCAAGATTGGAAAGTTGTATGCGCATGCGCGGAATTATTTGTTGCATTCATTGCATTTGCAACCCGCAAAAAATTTTTGAGTTTGGGACATATAAAATTAAAGATATTTAGCCATTTTCTTGTAATTTTGTTGGTAACTGTTTAACTGAAACTGACATTTTAAAAATATAACCTTTATATGTACATATTTTATTATTTTTGGCAAAGTTAAGGATTAGTAAATAACAATCAGTTGATTCTTAATTTAATATTTAATACACAAACAGTTCATAAATGAAGTATGACGTCAAAATCAACAGTTTGGTTATATTTTTCTGAATTGAGTAAAAATCATTATAAATGTAACTTCTGCTCAAAAACAATTTTTAAGAACACTAATAGGATGGAAAAACATTTAAATAAGTGTAATGGCTGTCCAGTGAAAATTAGAAACCAGTTTATAAAAAAGTCTATAAAGGTAGGTACCTAATAAGTAAAATATATCGACACATATTCATTAGAATAAAATATTTTGCTTTGTGTACCCTCGAGCAGTGACCTGTGAAAACATGACGTCACTCATAGGTGTCTTATTAGATTCAAGATCAAAAGTACTTTTTCTGACATGTCTGGACATTTCATCAACATGTCTAACGGACATGTCCGTGACATAAGTTTCCAAAAAATGCCCATCTCTATTTAAAAATAATAAGTCCTGGAAGTGAACTAAAACAAACACTGGTTCATGTCAAGTTAAAGTTAGAATTTCGTATTGGTTTTTTAAATTTTTTATTTTACTTTTATTTACTTTTTCAATTTTAAATTAAAACGAAGGTAACTTACTTTCTATGATTTATTAAATATTTTATAATAATTATAGAATTCAATAGGAGGCAAGTTCTATAAAAAAAATCACAAATTACAATGTTAAAAAATTTCATAAAATGCTATAAAAGTCAACATAGACGCCTGCACAATATTACTCAAACCCTATAGATAAATAAATAACTCGATTTATAACAAAAACAGATATAAATAAATAGTAGTAAGCATAAACCTAACGCAGTTTTGTACTGATCTGATCGATGAGAATGTCAATCCTCTCACTAGTGCCCTTGAACGAATTTGGATCGGGTCCGATCATCTGGATTAATTGAGGAACCTCCTGTGTCGATACTTGCACAAACTTCGCCAACGCTTTCATACACCTGAATAATTGTTCTTCAGAAGGTTTCGAGTTGAAGTATTGAAGCAGGGCCATCGTCAACTCAACCGCTATGTCGTCAAAGACCTAAAAGCCATAATTTTTTCTCTCTCATTGGTTCGGGTCCTAATTTAACTGATTTTTTATATGTTTACAAACAGAATATGCGATATTTAACAACTCAAATTAATTTTTGGCAACGAAGTATTATTTTGCGACGTATTATTATTTATCAGTTAATATCGTGAACTATTTTCCATTATGTAAACATATCTCCAAACAATTATCATTAAACAACATCTAATGACACAATCCGTCATTTTCTCCAAGCTAAAAACAAATAAATGTGCGTAATAACGATAAAAAGAGTTAATTTAAACACCAAACCGATTGTGTCATTTGAAGATTATCCTAATTTTTCAACATTTGACACTGTCACAAATTAGTTAAAACAAACGGAAAAGATGAGCGATGAACAATGTGTGCATTATTGCTGAAAATATATATAATTTTAGTTAAATGGTGCAGATTAAATTCAATATAGATTTTTATGTGACTATCCGTAGAGTAGAAATTAAATTTTACACGCTACATTGGAAGGATTGATTTTTTCTTATTTCATAGAGCAATTTTAGTGTTTGAAAAATTTTGTATTAGTCTGCGTGAAGAAACATTAGAGGGCAAGCCACATTGCAAATAATTTGACCGGCAATAAAGACTAAAGTGCACAAAGTTTAAATTAAAAACAGTGTGTTCAATTACTCACTTGCTAATATTTAAGGGGGATAAAAAAAAATAGTGTGTTGAAGCTGAAAAATTAAAATTATTCCAAGTATATCTCAGAAGCTCATTAAGCAAATTTTGAAAGTTGTAACGTTAACCTTTTACTTAAATGTGTTGAATTATAATACTGGGGGATTTTATCACAATTTTGCTGGCCACTGATCATTTTATATGAAATTTGCATTGTCAAATTTGAAAAAAATTGCTTGGTGTTTTCGAGATAGGCCTGAAAATAGTCTTTTAGTAACTGAACACCCCATATAGCATGATTATAAACGATGAGAGTTATAAAATCAATATCTTTGAAATGTGGAAACAATTGAACTTAAGAAAAAGTTCAATGTGGCTTGCATACGATCACATCTTAGAATACAAATAGAACACTTCATTCAACTATAACCATTCTCTTTTTATTGGAAAGTATCATTTGACCATATACAGGGTGTTTACGAAAACGGCACCACAAATTTGGGACCTATCGTCTTTTGTTTCTGATAGTTTCAAAGAAAATTTTTTTAAATAAAATTTTAGATATATTTTTCCAAAAAATAATCTATAACAAATTAGTACAATTAAGTTTTGGAGGGTGCAATATGACAGTGTTGTTATTTTTTCACCATCTGATAAGAGATCGTTGGCCACGATCGTTCACAGTGACAATTTTATGACAACTTTTTTGAGGTTAGGTTTTCTATTGTGTTAAAATTGCTGCAAATGCAAAGCTTTTGAGAAAAGCGCAATTGACTGTTCCAAGGTCGAACAAAATTTCCATTGCTTAATATACAGGTTGTTCAGAAAAGAATGAACCATACTACAAGCATAGCCTCCTTGGATGAAAATAAAACAAGTTAAATCGAGTTATCTTGGTACCATTCAAAAAATTTTTTTAATTCATTTTAATACTCACTGCCATAATTTTTTAATGAAGCTAATTGTGCTAAGGTATAAATCGATTTATTTATTTTTTTTTTTCAAGGGATATTACAGAGTAGGTGCTGATTGACTTTGGGACAGTCAATCGAATTTTTATCAAAAAACCATGTGTTTTTGGTGGTTCCAATAAAAGTACCCTTTTCAAGAAAAAATGAAATTTTATACAAAAAAAAATACAATAAAAAAAATGTTTTGTATCTTTCCTAGCACTTTTTTGTTAATTTTTGCTATTTTTGACCTGTTTTTTGAGGTTAGGAAATTTCTGTGATGTGATAGCTCAATTCTGACACCGGATTTATGATCAGGAGGCAAAAATACTACAGATAACATTATTAATATTATTTTAAAATTAAGCTATCTAAAATCAAATTTAAACATTTTTTTCCAAAATATTTTATCTGGAGTATGTTAAAGATGTATGTCTAACCCCGCAGACAAAAACTCCTAAAATCTGGAGAACCAATTACTCTGTCGACTATATCCCCTAACTAGCATTGAATTATACCAACAATACCTAGTAAACAGCTACATAGCATTTATCAATTTTATTCTAGATAATTAGTTATTACTAGCTGTTTACTGGTTATTGAGGGTATAATTCAATGCCACTTGAGACATGTAGCACGTACAGTAGTTACAAGTATTTTCTGCAATATCAGCAATGAAGAATCTTGTTTGTGGAGTTAGATATCTTTGTATACCTAGATTCTTGATATTGAAAAACAAGAATTAGTTGAAAAAATATAGAAAAAAAATATATGTTAAAAAGTCATATTCTGGTAATTTTCTCCGAAACACCCTGTATACACCATAGGATATGGCCGTCAGCGTACACCCGAATCGCTTCTAAGTCGTGATGCAGAATTAATATGAATGTGCAAGATTACATGACAGCCGATGAGTGGTTAGGCAGACTGCAATAATTTGTCACATAAAGCTAACCTTTGACAAGCTGCCTTTTGGGAAAAACTGGCGAATCCGAAAATTTCTGAATTTCTGAAAATACAAATCTGAACAGAGTACCTGTCTCAACAACAATTCCACAAATAAAAACGACTCTCGTCGCCAACGCATGAACGTACGATAAGTGAAACAGAAAAAAAACAGGAAAGCAACACAAAGAGGTTAGTTGCTTTTTAGGACGAGTAACGGAAAGAATGATTCACAGTGTCACGTTTCTTAATCTAAACTAAATCATTAGTACGGAGAGATACAGACCACGGTTTTTACCTCCTTGCAAGCGAGGTTGTGGATGATCGCGGAGCCCCGCTCCTGGAGGACGGGCAGGTCAGAAAGGAGGCTGTGCACCGCCACTTTCGTCGTAACCCGAATGTTGCTCGTCTGTTGGTTGCTGTACGTCCATTCTGAGATGTATAACAACCATTCGGAAGAGCTGAGGTTCTCGAACATATTCACCATCTGAAAATGATCAGTAGAATGTCCCACTGGACCACAGAATTTAGCTATACTTACGAATAGAGCGATGGCTTCTTGTTCTTGGGGAGTTAGCCTGTCAATTTCGTAGGCATAATTCATCAAAACGTGGTCCTTCCTGTCTTGATGCAACACCAGAATCACGTCGTCCTTTAAAGCAGCCATCGCTAAGATGTTGATTAATCTAACTCTAACGTCTACGGGAAGGTCTCTGTCGTTGAGCAGTCTACCTATAAGAATTTAGATTAGGAATAGATAGATAGAATATAATCAAATAATATTGCGGGCTACATGCCTTGTCCAGCATTGAATTACATCCCATTATCCAGTAAATAGCTCTAGGGTTATTCGTCAGCAGAACCACCAGACATAGACTGGCTTTGAGCCTATTATCATTAGTGTGCTCTACGTGAAACAAGATTTAAATGTCTATCTACATGTTTTGAGTGTATATGTATATGTTTGATGATTCTGCTGACAAACAACCTTATCTCTTTTTAGATATTGGGGATATAACTCAATGCTCAAGGGGACAGAGTAGTGGTTCACCTCAATATTAACAGTTAAGAAGTTTATTTCACCTAGTTCGGCTCTACAAATGTTTCCATGGTTCATAGCTTTCATATCAATGCTTTCTACCAGTAGGTACAATGTAATGCTTTCTGCCAGTAGGTACAATGCAATACTTTGCGCTAGTAGGTACAATGTAGTGCTTTGTGTCAGTAGGTACAAAGCAATACTTTGAATTACAGCAAAATAGCCACTGTACTACTTGTCTTTGAATCAGTAGGCACTGAGGAGCAATGACATTTGAGATATGACATATATTAAATAGGTTATATTTCACCTACATTATAATAAAAAGAATTTATCACAATAAATTTAAGAAAACTAGAAATGGACACTACAGTAAATTTCCAGGGTTTCATTAAAATTAAGGTGAATGTAACATATGACAATTATCTTACGATGATAATCTGGGCGAATTAGACCAAACACATGAACGTTTCAAAAATCGTGCCTAACTCGAATTTTATGGGTTTAAAATTAAGTAAAAAATATACAGAACAAAAGCTTAAATGTATGTATTTGTAGAAGTCATATTGTTTATAACAAAATAAAAAAAATAGAATTGCTTTTTTTGAGTTTTTCGCTTTTATCTCAGAAAATAAGCCTCTAATCGACATGAGGTATACTTATCGATTTTGTCCCTGAGGAAATTTGCTACGAGGGTAGGCTTTTGCAAAAGCTCGCAATTTTTTTTTACATTGCAAAATTAGCGGTAAATAAGAAATATGCAAAATTTTCAGCATTAAATAAAAATAATGAATTTGACTGAAATTGGATGAAAGTACAGGAAGTCATAACGTTGGGGTGCTCAACAGATAGCCGCAATCCGGATCCCCAATTTTAAAATGGCGGCCTACTGCAAAATTAAAGTAAAAAATACGAGTGGGTATATCTTATGCTCAAGTCAAGATACCGAATTTCCATAAAAAAGGATAGAAAGGTAATTACATTGTCTCCTGTTTGAGTAAATTTCAGACTTAAGTTGCAAAATAAAAAAATATTAACAAACTTAAAAAAAGTAACTACATCAAATAGTGCTTAAAAAAATATGAATAAAAAAAAATTGTCTCGATCCGACCAATAGCAGTCGATATATATTTTTTTCTAAAAAACGGTATTCTGGCTGTTCTATTTAATATTTTGTAATAAACTTAGGCTCGTAAAGTAGAAGATTTCCTTTATACGCTGAATTTTTTTTTAATGGATTCAATCAAGAAATGACCATGTAAACGTTTGTTAAAGACAGTAATTCGCGTGAAGGCCCACGTGGCTGAGCGGAGAATTAGTTATAATTCTGTGCCCTCGGCTTCTCAAAATTGTTACTTAACAAATGGATTGTAGCACTTAGAAAGCAGCTACAGGAATGCTTTTTTTTAAATCAACATATTTTTTTCCGCTCTTTCGAATGGTGTAAGTAAAAGTCTGTGAAAGTCGTCGCCAGACACCAAAAAATACATTTTTATTGACTTTTCACGTTCTGTTTTGTATTTTCATTATGCTTTCGATATTTTAAAAAGTAAGAAGGTCTTTTAGGTATTTAAAAACAAAAGTCGATTATTTCTTTGCAAAAAATGATCAATATTCTATTTACCGTGCTTAGACGTATAAAATGTCGTCTTAAAATTAACTGTTACAGTTATTGCATAAATTGTGTCTAGAATATTATTGAATGTTACAATATCAACATCTGTGTGCGGAGCAGAAAATAAAGAAAAAAAGAAAAAGTTAAACACAGACCAAAATGATTGACTGTTTAAAAAGTATAGTTAGGTACTTAAAATAAATGTATAACACTGTTTATTATGTAAATAATAAATGTTTCCATCATCCGTGTTTTTTAATTATCCATAATTATAGATAAAAAGAGTAATTAACCGGTAACGAGTAATTAACCGGTAATCGGTAATTAACCAGTAACTGGTAATTGACCGGTAATGGGTAAGTAACTCATACAGGCCACTTGCTTACGAGCGCTAGACACTAAATTTCTATCGAGTATCCGTTGGTATTCCTATATAAATCTAATTGCGTTATCAGCCAATATTCTGATGATGCTTACCTACAAAGTCTAAAAACCCGTCACTAAGCGCCCAGCTGCCTTCATCGCCGAGCATGTATTGGTGCAGCTCTTCAGTAGACCGCTGCTCTTCGGGCGACAATTTCCCATCAATCAATCCGATAAGAGCGTCGAACTCTGCTTTAACCTAAAATAAAATCCAATTAAAACGAGAGAAAATTGGCCGTATTAGCGACGTACGTCTATCAATTCTTTGTACACGATAGGCGGATCCCTCGCTTTTTTCTTCTCTTCTTCCTCCCGCCTTTCTTCCTCTTCCAGAGCCAAGGCTTGGTCTGAAGGAAGCTGCGCTTCCTCACCGTTTACAGTCTCTATGTCAGCCATTGCTAGGTCCTGCGTAAAAAATTATATGTAGTTTCTTAAATGATTCTCCGGTGAATAATGCACCTCTCTTAGTTCTGCAGGGACTATGCCTCCTTCTTTGAGGATCTTCTTGCGTTTCTTTTCCTTTTTACGCTCCTTTTTGGCCAACTTCTCCCTTAGTGTCTTCCGACGTTGGGCAAGCAAGAAAGAGTTGTATCTGAGTGTGAAATGCTACGTTACGAATTGAATTTGTAATTAAGGGAATATTCGTAAATAATAAGTATGTTATAAAGTTTTGGCGTACATAATACAGTATAATAGTCAGCTTTTAAATAACTTGGAAAGTTTATACTTACATTTGTCTGACTTTCTAAGAGTAGTTTTAAACAAAAATTCAAATAAAAACTCAAATCTAGAGAGAAATTGCTTTATTTTATGTAAATTAATTAATAAAGGGTTTACATAGCATTGACTAGATAATATCTACAGTGAACTGTTTTTTTTTAAATTACAATTTCTCATTATTCTCTCTAAAAAATATTTTTATTTCGTTAAGTAGGTATTCAAGCAAAACTACTTCGAAATGTAGGTGCAACTTGCAATAAACATCAATTGGTGTTATATATTTATTTACAGAAGTGTGTGCATATTTTTCGTAAAAATAATAAAAAAACGTACACTAACCTGTGTTTAACCGATAGAATTTTTAACTAAATCTACGAAAATGAAGGAAAAAGACTACGATATGATGTGTTCTGTTCCCAAAGATTTATAAAACAGACAGTACTTTAAAGAAATCCATTCACTATTTTGTTCATAAGAAATGAGTATAGTAAAAAAGCAACAACAGGGTGTTTGGAAAAGAATAGGCCGTACCTAAACGGTAAACTTCCTACAAATACCTTCGTACATTTTTTTTTGTTTAATTGTTACAGAAATCGTTTAGTTCTGTTCTGTTTTTTTTTTTTTTTTCAAAAAACTGTTTTGCTTTACTTTATATTCATCCAATAACTGAAACACATTTTTCTCTGAAACGATGCATTTTGAGTGACCTGTAAGAGGTACATCTTTCTTTACAATAAATAAAGCAATGTTTCGTAAGACAATCCTTTTCCCAAAATATGTACAGGGTGTCCCGAAATTCATGCAACAAAATTTGGTCACAGATTCTGAAGACAAATTTAGGGGACCCATATTTTTATTTTTGCCAAGTAGCCCTCTCTTAGAGTTACAGCCCCCCGAAGTCCGCCCCTAAGAATAATCTTTTTTTATATCTCAGAACCCTGTTGTACCAGAATCACTAAATTTGGTACACAGGGTACACATGTGAAATCTGATGGTGCTACGTTTTTTGGCGGGGAACCCCCTTAAGACAATTTTTCGTGGGCCCCCTTGTCTTTGAAGCCAAAAAAATTTGATCGCATATTTAAATTTCTTAAAAATTATCAGTCCACTAGAAAGCCATTAAAATTAGAAACTTTTTCTCTCTTTATACTGTTTTGGTAAAACGCAATGTTTTCGAGAAAAATGTCAAAATGTGATCGAATGCATATCGTGATTCGCCATTTTCCTCAAAAACATTGCGTTTTACGAAACAAATGTCAAAAGACAAAAAAGCGTCTAAATTCAATGGCTTTCTAATTAACTAATAACTTTTAAAAAAATCAAATTTGCAACCAAATTTTTCTGGTTCCAAAGACAAGGGGGCCCACGAAAAAGTGTCTAAAGAGGGTTTCTCGCCAAAAAGCGTATAGCACTGTGAGATTCCACATGTCATAAAACCCCTGTGTACCATAATTAGTGATTCTCGTACAACATGGTTTTGAGAAATAAAAAAGACTTCTTAGGGGAAGATTTCAGGGGGCTGTAAATCCGAAAGAGGGGACAGTTGGCAAAAAGAAAAAACACGGGTCCCCTAAATTTGTCTTAAGAATCTATGACCAAATTTTGTTGGACACCCTGTATAGCTAAGAATAAAAATACTGTTTCTAGTAGTTTTAGCGATTTCTATGTTTTGGATAACAAATAAGTCAATGTTTCTCTTGCACATCGAAAAAGTCCTCTACCAAATTTAATCGAAATATTTCAGATGGAATTATATTTAAAAAATTACTCAAATTGTTTAAAGGGCTGTAAATCTTTAAAAAAGTAAAATTGTATTGTAGGTAATTTTTTCGAAACAATTTTGTAATAGCGTCAATTTATACAAGTTTAACCCCAAAATACACAGAAGTTGATCAAATTAAGTTTCCAGAGAGATTTGTATCACATAATTTCAATTTATTGCCAAATGAATAACATTTTATAATCGATATTTGACTATAATTCCATCTCGCATAGACATTTTAAAAAGTGGAAAAACGCGAACCCTCTTTTTGTTGTTTTTTTTTTGTGAAGTAATTTAAAAATGAAACATAATTTTATTTAAAAATATGTTACTCTGTGACAAATTTTATTGTATGTTGAATTAAAAATTTTGATATCTTCAGCACACTCCATATTAAAAAAAAAAAAATACTATCACTGTGACTATCACTGTGGATTTAAGCCGACTAAACTATGCCCTGCATCAACAACAAACACTGGCGGTCCCATTAGTAAAGCTAATTACTCAATAACAATTTATATATTCAATCAACCAATGAACGTCATAAAAGTGCTGTTAAAGTTAAAACGCCAGCAAAACTCATTCTTTCTTATCCTTTTTCACACTGTTAACTCTAACATCTGACCTTGCCTCCTCGATCTGTGAATTGAGCTGCTCGAAATCGGGGCTCTGTTCTCTATGAGAGAACCTCTCTTGTTCTTCAGCGATGGGTCGCGCGCTCTTCTCCAACTGAGCTACTAAGGCGGGTAGAGCCGCACCTAGACTGGTGTTAAGCACTTCGTTGGGAAGTTCTAAGATGTATTTTGGTATGCTCACGCCGCACAGAAACTGAGCGATGTCTTGGGAGAAGTTGTTGCAATTGTGCTTGAAGAGGTTGTAAGTTGAGCCCCTGAAAGGGTTTCCCATAACGTGGATATTAATAAAACATGTAACTGTCTAATTTGAAGAAACGATGTTTAGTCTAGTTTTTTAGTTTTAATCGTACTTACGCGTACGTCGATTCTGACAAGCCGTTCACATAATCTATAAAGACAGAATAAGGAACTTGTGTTTCTCCCAACACTTGAGCTTTTAGTGGTGGTCCTATCAAAGTTGCCCCCTGAAAACAATAAATGCCAACAAATCCCCGGAACAACATAACAAAATATTAACCACATTAGTTTTGTTCAAATTTTATCTCGAAAAATTTTCATTTGCCGATTAAAAACAAAGTAAATAATCTGCATTTTTATTATGGGGCAGCCAGAAAAAATGTTTATTTTTAGAATTACATCCAACCCAATTAGCGGCTGTAGAAGTTAGCCAAGGAAAAGTGAACAACCTCTGTTTAATTCTAATGATCACGAACTGACGAAATTTTTCATCTTAACGTAAACGCAAAAAAGTTGAAATTGTATATTTCGATAATTATTATAAACTAGATCTTCCGAAATACCAAGGAATTCTCTACTTACAGGATTGTTCAAAATCGAAATTTCACACACAATAAAAAGGCCTTTCAAATCCAAAATGAAGCTCGTAACTGCCTACACTAAAAACAGACGGGACTTTGAGTTATTTATAGAGCCATTCCAAATTTAGACTTTTCTTCTCACAAATAAAAAGGTTCTGCATGCAGAAGAGCCAACATGTCTGACACTGCCATCTAACAGTTGTAACCCTACTCTACGCATTAAATCTAAAATTAGACGCCACACATTTTTGGGCAAATTATGATATACAAATGTAAGTCAAGTGATGCAACAGCCTAATAAAAACAAAAACACAGTACACATTTATATATAGTCTCTTTGTCATTAATACAGATATGTGGCAGATGTAGGCAGTTCGTGAAATATTAGGTCTATTTTCAAATTTGGCAAAGCGTTTTTCAATAATCAATTGTGGCAATGCCAATTTTTGTTTTTTGAGTTTACGTAACTTTGTAAAATTTTTTGTACTTACCGGATTACAGCTTTCAACTCCTCTCGAGCCAAAGAAGTATTCTCTATTGTACACTACGATGGAGGTGTGCCAAATTCCGTCTATTTTCTTTCCTAAAAAATATATTGAATTGCAAAGAAACAACCTAACCTTTAAAGATATTTGAAAAATTTGTTTCTGTAAAAATATATTTTACCTATTAACATTGGCGACACCGCAGCTGCCATCCCTCTGGATAAATCATAAATATATAATTCCACTACCTGTGAAGTCATTTTAATTTTTGAATTTTGAATAATTTTTAACCCCCAAAAATGCTCAGTCAACTTTCAACTTTCAACTCAGCTCAGCTGATAACTGTCAAGCAGTCAATCTTATCAAATTACCAGTGTTGCTAATTAAATAAAAATAAATTTAAATCAGCACTAGACTTCACTTTTGCCTTTTTTGGACTGATTATTTTTCAAATATTAGTATGAGTCACTATTAACTTTGAATATGAGCGCACACTTCTGCAGAATATTCTAGAATAAGCGATTTTGCATTTCTAGTTTTTGTTCGTTGGATATACGCCACAATCCCATAAAATTCAAAATATTTCTTAGAATGTGGAAAATCGAAATAAACTCAAATATTTCCGCATAAACAAACTGCTTTCCCACTTGAAACTATTTTGGTGAAATCACATTCTAAACGTTTTACCTGGTGCATGTAGGTACGAAACCTCTCTAATTTATTATTAGAAATTTCATTTATATGTTGCTCAAGCCAATTAGAATTCAAAATTACCTACTATATGAATTGCACATTTTAATCTCTTCAGTATCAGAGATATAGAATTATTTTGCCAAGTTGCAAATCATGCTGATGGTAGGCTGGCATAATGCATAATATATTCCCGAGTGCATACTCTTCCTATTATTCTCGAAGCATCTGGTAGTTTAATAGATTATGAATCATTTTTATTTTTAGCAAGATTGAAATTATGAAAAATGATTTATAGCAAAGAAAATGTTTTGAATGTATGGTGATTTTCGCTTTTAGAGTTTCTTCTAAGGCCAACCTGCAATTTTGACACTTCACTTCAAATTGTACTGACGAAGCTATAAAAATATACATGGGGAGTATTTCACTATGTCCAAAGAAAAAGCAATAGTAAGATTTTTTACGTTATTTTATGTTTAATAATTATATTCTTTTATAGAACCTCTAAGTTAACACTTTTGTGGAATTTTCCAACCTAACCTCAATTTTTGAAATATCTTTGTGGCAATGACAAAGGCTTATTTTTAAATGATTTTCAGTTATTGAGAGTACAATCTCCTGAAGGCACCAAAAGAATTGAAGTTAGCGCGTCTGCTTCAACATGCCAGCTTTTTGAAACCATACATGATGTTTTCGATTTGAACAGCTTCGCTTTCACACTGTATAAAGAGAAGAACAAGAAAAATGAAATTGCCAGCAGTAAATCAAAGACTGTACGTTCTCTGGGTCTGCGACATGGAGATATGATATATCTAGCTCCTGTAAATGGAGCGGTTCTATTCGTAAGTATAAGAAACATATACAGATCGTAGTTTGCTATTAATTTGGTAATTTTTTAGACTAATAACACCCCATCTGGGGAGCCAATTGATGAATCGGCACCATCTACTAGCTCTGTGGTTGCCGTTTCAAGACCTGCTAGTACTAGTGCGTATATTAGACCAAATACTAACATAAAGGAAGATGAGGTGGATCTACAGTTATACAAAATGGATGGAAAGATTGAGAGACAAAGTGACGAAAAACTGTAAGTTGAAAATGAATTTATTTACCAGAAACCTTAATCTCTTTCGTAACAGGTGTCGCCATAACGCCAACTCACGCTGTGTTCACTGTTCACCGCTGGAGCCCTTCGACGAAGCTTACCTGCGTGAACATAATATAAAACATTTATCTTTCCACTCTTATTTGCACAAGATGATGTCCGGCGTGGATCGCGGTAAATTCTTAGCTTTGGAGGACATCTCTTGCCGCATTAAGAACGGTTGCAAGGACCATCCTCCATGGCCAAAGGGCATCTGCTCCAAGTGCCAACCCAACGCCATCACGCTCAATATGCAGGTAAGGGAAACGATTGAAATTTTTACAGTCTATATTTTGTCAACCATAGTTTGTTTGTGTATTTATTCCGTTTATGCAAGTTATACAATTTTTTAATGGAGAATATTTTTTTAAAACATTGCATTTTGCTATTTGGTATGAGTGATTGTCACAAGAAAACTTTATTTGTACGAAGGATCGTCAAGTGTTTGTCACATTGAATGAAGCTGGATTAAATTATTAAAACGATAATTTGGAACCTGTTTTATCAGTGCCAGGAAAGCAATAACATGTGTTTGTACTCTCAGAAGCTTCATTCTATCTTCATTTTGTTGTTTCAGTTTCTTTGGTAAGTGTTCTTTTGCCTTGCTCCTTTTTCTTCTCTTTTTTGGCCTCATCCGTCGTGTTATAATCTTTAAACATATGCTTCCTCCATTTTTCAATAATAATTTTGCTCTTCCTGTGTCATTGTCACAGCAGAAATCTCTTCTTTGTATCTACGTTTTTTATTTTTGATAGGAATTTCATGCCAATGCATGCATTTTAAGAGCTGAGATGGTCTTATTTAAATAAATAAAAGGGTTTCTTTTAAATATTACATTCGTCTTCACAATTTCATTATGCAACTGATCGAATTATCACTTTTTTGACCTAATAATAGGCAGTAGTTTGTAAAATCAGTAGATCCGATTTATTTGTGATAAGTTAACAATACAAACATTATGTTTTATTGGAGTTTCAGTAGGTCTTAATATTCGTCGCAATTTTCTCAAATTGTATCATAAACATTGTTTTTCTTTAACCTTTCTTTGGTAATTATTAGATATATATCACCACTGGACAAGCTAGTGTTATCTTAATCAATTGTAGCTTTTACTCATTCGGGAGCTACGGTATGGATTTGTGTCAAATCTCATCTTTCTTGACTGTATACATGTTTTTTCAAACCGAAATTTAACAATGAAGACACACAAACACACTGTGCCGTTACTAAACGTTGAAATAAGTAACTTTATACACACTTACACTTTACAAAATATTTCACTAGACTTTTTTTGTAAAACTAAGCTTATTAAAACAATACTGCATATATTTTATTTCAATTTCAGTAAAACCTACTAAGCACGGATAGTCGTGAAATTACCTTACGTATTACAAACACCTAAACTAATAAACAAACTAAAATAAGTGAAATAAAATGAAGCAGTGACATATTTGGCTATTCTTCTTTCACCGAATTAACGTTGCCCGATTGTTTTTTGCCATCTCTAGCGCCCTGTTGTCATATCACATCAGGTAGATTGACATTATGTAGTTCACCTAAAGCATGCTAATATGAGAGGTCGTTGACATTGAGATTCACGAACTGAACACAGTGCATTAAAAACAATAAATGATTTAAAAATCCCCAATATTAAAGAAAGTGTATTTAATCTGACGATTCCACCTTGCACTTGTTTCGCAGGCGTACAGACACGTGGATAACGTCGCTTTCGAAAACACCAACTTGGTGGAGCGTTTTCTGAATTATTGGCGCGTCACCGGACATCAAAGAATCGGATTCCTTTACGGGACTTACGAAATTCATGCGGATGTGCCATTAGGTATGAACCAACAGCGCCATTCGGAAAAACGAACCGAACTTAAAATTGAACCTAAAACTTTCAGGTACAAGAGCGAACGTGGTGGCGATCTATGAACCGCCGCAGGAGAGCTCTCGCGACTCGGTTCGCCTGCTACCCGACGAAAAGGAGGAGGTCGTGGAGCAAATAGCGACTTCCCTGGGTCTTAGACGCGTGGGATGGATCTTCACCGATCTCTTAGCCAAGGACGTGCAAAAGGGCACCGTCAAGCACACCAGGAACATCGAGAGCCACTTCTTGTCAGCCCAGGAGTGCATCATGGCCGGTCACTATCAGAACCTACATCCCAACGCTTGCCGATACGCCTCCAAGGGCTATTTCGGCTCTAAGTTTGTCACCGTTTGCGTCACAGGTCCGTTTTATGAGCGACAAGGCGGTGCGTGTTGCTAACGTAAATTTTTTGGACCGTTTCAGGCGACAAAACTAATCAGGTTCACATGGAGGGCTATCAAGTGTCGAATCAGTGCATGGCGTTGGTGAGGGACAACTGCCTGTTGCCGACGAAAGATTGCCCAGAGCTGGGGTACGTTCGTGAGTCTTCCGACAAGCAGTACGTTCCCGATGTCTACTATAAGGTGAGTCACTCTTTTTTTAATTGTTTGATGAACGAAATTTTCAAGGGAATAACAAAAAATAAAAATTAGGAGGCGGATTTAAATATTCAAGGGAAATTCATTTGTTTTTGTTAATCAAGCTTGATTCTACTTCTTCTTCTAAAAATTGTTCTGTACTCAGGGATTATATTATCAATTTCTTATTCTTCTTCTAAAAGTAGCTATGTGTCTTAATTTCTACATTTTGTTGTTCTCACTGTCTATAATATTCATATTAGAAATGGAAAGCTGGACATTTTTCCTAAATTTCCGCTTATATCCTTCATAGCCATTTACAAAGACATTGACTAACAAAAACAAATATTTAACAAGGGATTAACAATGGATTAACTATAGGTTATTCAAGTGTGAAACATAAACTAATATTATTGTAAAAAAACTTGTGCTTTTACTTCTGCATAGTAAATACAGGTCAAACAAGGTTCCAATGAGTATAAAATAAAGTTTATCTAAATTTTATATTAATATATAATCAGATCATGTCTATAAAATCAGTGAAATTTGGTCTACGACTATGACTATTAGGCTATTGATTATATCCAGAAAACAGAGTTAAAAGGTACTGTGACGTTCAAGCCATTTTATTAGTTAAGGTTTTTAATTGTAGCTCGAGAACGAGTTCATAGGAAAAATTATTTAGAGAATTGAATTTCCCATCGAAATAGCTTATTTAAAAAATTTAAAAGAAAAGTTTTATGCAAAAAAATCGTTAATAAACAATTTGAAAAAAAAATTCGAGTTTTTTTACTTTTTGCCTCTATTTTTTTTTTTTGAGTAAAAATAGGTATAGGCATTGCTTCATAGACAAAAAAGTAGATAAAATTTCCTTCAAAACAAGAGGTTGCAGAGTATTTTTTATGAAAATTTACCGATATATGGCCGTTCAAACTTTGCCAATTTTTCGATTTTCGTCGCGTTTATCCTTACACGTTTTAATTCTCATTTTTTGCAAAAAAGGAAGGAAATAAGACGTTCAAGGATTTTCATCACATGACTTGTTCGAAGAGTAATTAAAAATGAAAAAACTGTGGGGTGCTATTAAATTAGAGGGTTGAAATTGAAGATAGGGGCGAAGAATCACTTTTGCAGTTTTTTAAATATAGCACGAAAACGAAGCAAAATTTCGGTATAGTTCATATGAAAAATTTTGTATAGAACTGAATTTCTCATCGAAATGGCTTATTTAAAATATGTAAAAGGAAAATTTTATGCAAAAAATCGTTAATAAACAATTTTAACGAAAGCAAAAAATATTTTTTGATTTTGTTTTTTAATAAAATAATTTAGTGAAAACTTGAGAATTTAAGTACAATAAAGTTTATTAATAATGTATATACAGTGTGTCCACGGATGGAGTTGACAAGAGGAGAAACTCTTTTGTTTTTGACTTTATCGAAAAATGTCACTCTTTATAAAAAGTTCTGCCCCTTGAAAAAATGAGGCTGTCATACAAACATCTTAGATTAGATATACAGGGTGCTCATAAATTAAAAGAACACAAAAATGCTCAAGCGAGAAGTGCCATTATTTATTATTTTACACATTTTTATAAAACAAATATGTTTATAACCTCAAACAATGCCCTAATACAAATTTTAAAATAAAAAGTGCTTTTTCACCCCTATCTTCAATTTCAACCGTCTAATTTAATAGCACCCGCGGTTTTATAATTTTTAATGACCCTTCGAACAACTCATGTGATGGAAATCCTTGAAGGTCTTATTTCCTTCCTTTTCTGCAAAAAAATGAGAATTAAAACGTATAAGGGTAAACCCGACAAAAATAAAAAAATTGGCTAAGTTTGAGCGACCATATATCAGTCAATTTTCATTCAAAAATATACTTTACAACCTCTTGTTTTGAAGGAAATTTTATCTACTTTTTTTTCTACGAAGCAATGCCTATACCTTTTTTTACTTAAAAAAGTACTACAGGCAAAAAAGTAAAAAAAATCCGAAAATCGAATTTTTTGCATAAAATTTTTCTTTTAAATTTTTTAAATAAGCTATTTCGATGGGAAATTCAATTCTCTAAATAGTTTTTCCTATGAACCAAAGCGAAATTTTGCTTCGTTTTCGAGCTACAATTAAAAAACTGAGAGGGGTGCATTTTCACCCCTATCTCCAATTTCCACCCTCTAATTTAATAGCACTCCGCGGTGTTTTCGTCTAAATTGACCGTTTGAACGATTCATGTAATAAAATATGTGAAAGCAAAAGAAAACGGCTACTATCTGCATATTATTATTGTTGTGAGTTGCATTGTAGGAAGTGACATTGACATATCGCTTTTATCTCCACTTTTCAACTAATCAGTTTGTAAATTGTCACTGCAAATGATAAATTGGATGTAATAACGTTTTAATTAACGTTTTGGTAAAATCTGATCAATAGCCTCAGGTTATGGTTTAATTATCAAATTGGTTGCCTTCTGTATCAGCTTATTTTTCAAATTGTGGCGTAAAACAGTTATGTTTATGCCCTGTTATCAGCTTTAAAGGATGTTTACATTGCCAAGTTGTTTATCCAAAAATGATTGCTGAAAAACAAACATTGTGCATATGTCGATTTTGAATTTTTAACCTTTGCTAGATATACAGGGTGTATCTCTAAATGGAGGTCGGTTTTTTAGGGGTAATCATAATGTGTTCCCCACGAAACTAATCAGAAATAATTTTTTATAAATCAAATAATGGAGTCATGATTAGTTTTTAAACTCCACTGAAACTTTTGTATACACTGTCACCAGGCGGCTCCCAAATTCGGATGTAACTATGTACACTTATCACTGTCTGTTGTTATCTTTTGAACACAACCGTATGAAATTAATGGAGTAGCAGAAAGCGGAACTGCAATGGAAAATAATTTTAACAAAACAGATTACTTTCGCTATGTGTTTTTTTAGTGATCATATTTTTCTTTCAAAATAATGTGGATGAGGTACTTACCAAACATTAAAACTATAGTTTTTGTGTTTTTGGAAAAATTATATTTTTTGCATAATCCAACATTAGTATGTTGAATGTTGATAGACATACGTTACTAATAATTGTAAGTAAAATTAATTTGTTTTAAAATAATTACATTTGCTGTATTATAAAGCGCACATAATAAAAAACAAAAAGATACTGATCAATGGGACTGAAATATTTGCTTTAAGTCATTTTAAGTTTTTAATAAAAAAATCTTTGATTTAAAGCACTGTGTTTAGTTTGTGAATCTCAGTGTCAATGACCTCTCGCTGACAGTGATCTAGTTTAAGTTAACTTCATAATATCAATCTACCTGATGTGATATGATAACAGGGCAGTAGGTGGCCAAAAACTTTAATTGAACGAAAAGGGAATGGCTAAATACATATGTCGTCGTTTAATGTTATTAAATATATTTTAGTTTGCAGTTTACGAGGTGTTCGTTAGTTTTTGTGAGAATTATTAGTTATCAGAGTTTTTTACTTATATCTTGGCACCTATGCATTTTGGAAGAATATTGAAGAGGAAAAAAAGTTTTAGCATTGAATTTTTAACAATATACAGGGAGTTAAAAATGTTTAAATTTATTACCGATGTTGCAAAATTGCAATAATTAATGAAAAAAGGCAAAATAATAAAATCTTTTGGATATTTTTTAAATATTTTAATTGCTCCGAGGGCATTCTGATTTTGGTAAAAAAATTTTTAGTATAATAAAATAACATACCAAATTTCATTAAAATCGGTGCAATAGTTTTCGCAAAATAATTTTTTGAAAAAAGTTTGGAAAAAAATTTTTCGAATTTTCAAAATGTTGCTCAACCTCAAATAAAGCATCTAGATACTTGAAAATTTTTTCACATAGAAAAGACCACCCAACCTTTCAAATGGTGTTTGAAAAATTGAAATAGGTTGATTGGGACAGCCACAGTAATTTTTTAAAGCTAACACTCTTTTTTTTTATTTTTAAACAATTAGATTACATTTATCAATTTGCAATTTAGTTTTTTCAAAAATTATAATTTTTGTGCATGTTTCTTGTAGTTAATAGTAAAATGTTACGAACAGCACTTTTATAAATTAACCATACACTTTCCTTATGTGAAAAACATTTAGGGGGAACATTTTTAAGTTATTATAAGCTTCACTTTAAAAATGGACACTGACAAAGACACATTCTTTGGAGTTTTTCTAATGGATAGGCGGGGGAGCGGGTGGCGAAATAAAACTCGGATTACAGATGCGGAAAGTCATTTATTTGAAATCTAACGTGAGGTGGTAGGTACTCAGTTATCACAAATATTAGTCGGGTAACAAGGCACAAAAACACTGGCTGCTACATTGAGTTCGCGATAAGAAAGGGGTTCTTTAATATATATAAAATGCTTTATACAGATATGACCAACACACATGACATGTTGACGTGGACGAAAAAACGGGAGCCAACGAGACTGGAGGGATCCTTATTCATCAGTTCCAAATTAAACGCGAAACGAATCAATTTTTTGACAAGTATTATTGGCGCAGGGAAAGAATTGGAAGAATTTTAGGAAATATCCTTATCTAATCCTGAACTGATTATAAGTAAAGCAAATAGTACAACTTTGCTATACAACTTTATCTCCGATACTATTTTAAGATTCTCAACAGTATTTTTTCATTGTTAAATAAATATTAGGGTGATTGACACATGAGAAACTTGCAAAACAAATTAAAATATCACTTTCTCTATACATGTTTGTCTCAAATTTAAAATGTATGCTGAAAGTTTTAAAATTTTAGTATGGTCCAGTCTTCCTAGCTTTCCCCATACTGCACCGAACTACCGTGTAATTATCTACTAGCCGCTCGGGTTACATTTAGTGCCGTTCAGACTATACGATACGCTACAAATTGGTCATGTCTGCTTCCACAGTCGAGATCAGAGATAGCATGGAGTGTTTACGAATATATATATTATAAGCTCTATGAGAGGACAACATCGTATTAACTACATTCCGGTTCAACGTACTCCATTTTATATGTGATCTCCCTAAATTTAGACACGTATAACGTTTTTTTTTCTAAAGCTAATGAAATTTACAACGATTCTATCAACTATTACGTTTTTTTTTCTGCACACATAATATGCTTTACATCTATTTATTATCTAGCGATAGAGTAGAATCTAGCTATGGATGGTTCATGATCAAATTATCTGTCACTATAATCTAACGGAAAATGTTACATAACAAGGCGGACAATGTAAGGAACTTAAATGGTTTTATTGGCCTTTTTTTCTATTATTTTGGATTAGTTTATTACTTTAGTTAGTCGTTTTTATTTTTTTAAACTATTTTTAAAGTTACTAAACTTTATGGCCTTGTTTAGAAATGAAGTAGATAACGGGTCACAAAAAATATATAGTCCACAGTACAGGCCCCCCCCTGGAAAGTTGATTACCACATACTTTATAATTCGTGAGGAGCTTCGTTTTGACGAGTCTACCACACATTTCCTTCTTCGACTTTTCTCGATTCTTCCACTTTTCCACTCAAAAAAGTCCAAAAACATGGCAATTTCCCGGTGTCTTGAAAAGTCAACACCACATCTTTTTTTTTTAGCTCAAGTTACTGAAAATTTTGTTGCAAATGCCGATTTAAGTTTGTTCGACAGAAATTCTTCTGACATTGCCAAAATGACAGAGTATTGAAAATCAATTATCACGTAGGTAATTTTTAGTAAAATTAATTGTAAATAATTAATTCAGTCAAAAAGTATTGTTGTCCGACAAATTTCAAGCCGTGTTTTTTCAGTCCGACAGCTGGAAATCAGAATTTTCACGGGTATGATAAATCGATTACCACATATCTAATTTTCATTTTTTCTACTTTTAAATTTATTGTACAAAATAGTGATATAACTGTCCAACGATTTAATGTCCGCAAATTATTAAAAAATCAATAAATCAATAATCGTGATGAACTTAATTTTTTCACTCCAAAAATTTCATATTTATAAATGGTTATTAATTATTATTATGTAAATTATTATTTGTTTCAAATAAATAATTATATATTTTATGCTTAAAAATTTAAAAGTTATAAACAAATGAAGTTATTTTTGAGACGATTAATAAATACAAAATTCAACGTATTCAAACTATTTTCTCCTATAATACTTTAAAAGTTCCCGCCTCATGTTATTTTCATAAGTAGTAGCAGGTAATTAACTTACATACTATCTTCGTGCATAATGCACTATTTCTAAATAAATTACTATTATACTTGATATAAAAATCGTTTTTTCATTTTCAAGTCTTCATTCGCGTTTATTTTTCTTTACAAAAATTTTCTTATTTTTCTAAAACAAAATCCCAAAACTTTTGTGCATAATTTTTTTACACCATGCATACTTTTTCAAATCGTTTAATTCTTTTCTCGATATTTATTTGGATAAATTAGGCATAAGAGATTTACAATTATAAGAATAAAACGAAAAAATATATTTATTAGAAATTATAAATACGTGCACATTTTTTATGAAATTTTTTTCATCTTCTTTTGTCGGACTGACGGTTTGCGGATATATTTTTGTCGGACGGACATTACAATCTTTGCTTATAAAAAACACTTTTCTATCGTGTGTTATTTTTGTCCGACATGTGGTAATCGATTTATCATGCCCCGTGAAAATTCCGATTTCCAGCTGTCGGACTGAAAAAACGCGGCTTGAAATTTATCGGACAATACTTTTTGACTGAATTAATTATTTACAATTAATTTTACTAAAAATTACCTATGTGGTAATTGATTTTCAATACCCTGTCATTTTGGCATGTTTCGGCCGGTAGACACGTCAATGTCGGAAGAATTTCTGTCGGACAAATTTAAATTGGCATTTGCAATAAAATTTCCAGTAACTTAAGCTTCCGAGTGGAAAAGCGGAGGAATCGAGAAAAGTCGCAGAGGAAACGTGTGGTAGACTTGTCAAAACGAAGCTCCTCACGAGTTACAAAGTATGTGGTAATCAACTTTCCAGGGGGGGCCTGTGTTGTGGACTAATATATGTCCACCTTGTAGAAAATGGACAAATTAAACGAAAAGTGGAACTATTTTGATAAGAAAACATCTTAATTATTGTCTATTGCAGTGTCATGCACATCCTTGGCTGTTAACGAGCCAAACACGAACGACTATAACTGAAAACTTGTCACAAAAGTATGTGGATGATTACGATATTGCACGGGCAACCCATGCCTCCTTATCTATTAAATAGCACATGAAAATATACCTCTTTTCGACCGTTTTTTTTACGATATATATTCCCTTGAAAAAACACGTTTATTACACCGATCTACATTTAGACAGTTATGCAAAGGGTTGAATCGCTGATACAGATGTTGTATTATAGGCTCACATTTAGGCTACATTTATCTTGGTACTTATAACTAGATTTTAGTAGCTGATTTTTTTGTCCTGGGTCCTACCTACTTTTTGTACTCTTAGAAAACATCGCCTGAGCAAACTGAAATGGCTTATTTACACCGAGAAAGACAGTTCGCCACACTAAAGTTCCGAAACTAAGGATTAGCCAACTGAACGGCCAGATCCGACACTAATTGACTCTAGGTAAAAGTGTGTTTGGGGCAAATGCAGCTTTACTTTTTTTTCTCAAAACGTCTTTCTCGATGGCTAGGTCTTAAAAATGTCTAGTTGTCTTTTGATATCCGTTTCATAGTCTTAAAGTTTGTGGAATCAGTGCCATGTTTTCCTACACAACCGAAATTATTCTACGTATTATAAGGCACAAAAAAATTCAGCACAGAAAATCAAGACAGAATTGAAAAATGATATGCACCTTTTCTGCTCCATTTTTTTTTTCTCGCTTTAAAATTTTCGTTGTCAGGTTCAACTGAAGGACTGTTAGTTCGACACGTTGGACTGTTAGTAAACGAAATAAATTCAAGAACATAAAAATAAAGTTTTTTATTGTAGTTTCACTAATATAACATTCACAAGTGCTATATTTCAGCTCTTTTTTTTTAGCAAATTTTTATCATTCCGATAATCATGTACCCGATTGAGACTATTAATTGTCTTAGCTAATAATATAAACTTTAATATAGGTTTAACAATGTACCGTTTTACCGTGCTTACAAACTACACACTTTCATGTTACACATTCCATTACAGAAGTTACGACAAAGAATAAACCCTAAAGTAATAAGACTTTGGTTAATTTCTCTTCTACTTGTACGCCAAAACAATCGTCCCGAATAAAATATCCCTAGGTTCTAATGAGGTGTTTAAACGCGTCAAATAATACGATGGAAACCGATCGGTTGTTAAACGTGATTATCATGTTTTAACGTACTGCGTAGAATCCTAGGCTAACATAAAGAGAAAATGCGTTACATTTCCTACGTAATATATTATAAATAAGTGCAACTCTCCAGCATTGCACTGTACAACTAACGCTATAAGGTACATTATGATTTAAAAACAATATATAAATAAGGGGAAGCATCATCAATAAAAAAGTATAAAGACCAACGTATTGGAATAAAGAGACGTTACCGCTGAAACGAAACAATTGTGGAAAAAAAAACACATTCGTAACTCGACTTTTTTGTTTGTTGGAAAAATCGTGTGTTCCCTACCGCTTCGAAAACTCCGATTTTTAAACTCTGATTACCTTTAACACCACGTTCTCGCCCCTTCAAACAAACATAACAAATGACACTTATAAGCTATACAATGTTCCACCATAAGCTAAAAATCGACAACAATAAAAAATATCTATCCTTTTGCTTTTTTACGATATTTATCATACGATATGAAAATATAGTTATTTCGGAATTCGATAGTTTCATTTTAAGCTAAGACGGTTTTTCTTACGTGTTTTCATTTTTTTTTTTTAAATTCATGTACAGACTACGCAGTTTTACCCAAGCTACACATATAAAACATCTAGATATATATTTTTTGTACAGTTATATTTGTTTTCTAGTTGTTTGATTTTTAACATCGATTAGACAAGATCTCTCGCTTCTCTTCTCCTTTCGGACCGGCCCTCCCCCCCAGAAAACCACGTCGGACTCGCACCGTCTCTGAAGTATCTGCCGCTCTACTCGTCTCGAAAACTATTAATTCGCTTTCCGTATTATTCGCCCTAACCTAACGCTGAAGTTCACAAAATTAATAACCTACGCAATGTTGGCGCTGCCGATATGGAAATTTCCTAAATTGATATAAAACATTTCAGGAAACAAGTTTTTTTCTCAAAAACTCGGATAAAAGCAATTTTACCCTTTTCGAAAAAATAAGTGTCGATTCCTACGATGTCGTCATTAAAAAAAAATTGTTGTATCCTCAAATCACAACCTAATAATATTTAAATGAGAAAGAAAATGAATTTCCAATTGAATGGATATAAGCCGCGTACACGATCGAGGCGAAAATTTTAGTTTTTGAAAATCCAACAATTTTTTTAGTTCGCTTTAAGACTGAAATAATTATTGCGTCTCCTTGTCGTCTTTAAATCTAACGCGTGTACAAGGGGTCAAAACAAAAAAAACAGACGTAATTAACAACGTTATATAAATGAAAGCCGTGCTCGAATTGCCGAACATCCCAGGAAACTTCCAAATCGAATTCCGCCGTTAAAACTAAAGTAAATAGCAAGAAAAAATTCCTCGATTCGGACACGTCGAGTAAAAAAGGCGAAAAACGACCGTACCTCGCCCCCCTCACCGTCCGATTACAGTTTCCCGCATTTCACTATCAAGATATTCTTGGTGGGCTTACCAGCGGTGTCGCCGTACGTGCTGATCTTCTCCACCAGTTCCAGCCCCTCCACCACGTGCCCGAATATGCCCGTGAAACCCCGCATCTCCTGCAGGATGATGCGGAACTGCGATCCCACCATGCCGAGGTTGTCGTGTCGCTTCTGGGTCCTGCGCATGCCCACGGTGCCTCGGACCGCCATCAGCTTGGTGTCATCGGGGAGGAAGAAGGAGTCCTCGAATATGGAACGTCCCCCGCGTCCGTTGTTCAGTTCGAAGTCGCCCGTTATCACGCTCTCGCCCTCCCAGCACTGGAATATCTGGCAGCCCTTGTAGCCCATGCCGGCCTCTCCTGTGGTTAGTAAGCCGAAGTTCTTCGCCATTTTGGGGGCCACGTCGGCCCGTACCTCGATCACTATGCGTCCTAGGTGGGCCCCGTTCACTTCGATGTTGAAGTAGTACAGCGGGCACATGTTGGCCGGGTTCCGGATCTGGGGGGAGTGGATGATGTTCTGCATCATCAGGTTGTTCTCCTGGTAAATATTCTTGGGCGCGGGCATCACCAGGTGCTGCGGGGGGTTGTGCGCCAAGTAATTTATAGGAGGAAGGGAGTTGTGGTTGTGGTAGTCCAAGCTGCCGTTCACGTTTTGCTTGGACAACATGTGCCGGGAGTACAGCTGCGACATGCAGTAGTTGGCAAGGAATAGAATCGGGTTCTGCTGCGACGGGGGCAAAACCCGCGAATTTCCGGGGTAGACGGGATCGCCGTTGTGGATGTTACTGAGCGCCTGCTTCAGCAACTGGAAATCGAATATGACACTAGAGTTTCGGATCAGGTCGTCCAGCTGGCATTGCAGGTACATCTCTTGGTAACGTAGCTGGAGACGTTGCTTCTCTACGTTTACGCTCGAATACAAATTATGGACGTCGGATAAGTTCTCCGCCATGGACAGGTTCAGTCGCAGCTTGGCTAGAGTGTCGCGGGTCTCGGTCAGTTCGAAGTGCGAGGCGTTATTCGTCAGGTCGGCCTCGACGTGCGTCTTAAGCGTGACGCAGGCCTCCAGTATCTTAAGCAGGAATTCGCGCTGTTGCATGGCCAGTCTTTGGATCTCAGATAGCATCTTGTTCATGGAGGCCAGGTCGATCTGTAATTCGGCAATTAGTTGGTCCTTGGCCTCATTCTGGGACTTTATCTGGTGAGAGGAGTGGTCGGTGGTGGTGGCGCAGGCCCGGCACACCGGCGAGCAGCAGGTGTGGCACCACAGCGCCAGCGGCATGGCGTGCGTGTGGCAGTTCTCTGATATGACCTTCTGGGCGGGTTTGTCGGGTGCCTTGACACCAAGCTTCAGCTGGGAGAAGTTCTTGGTGAGGCAGAGCACCGGCGCGTATGTCGGCAAGGACTCTGGCCCCAGATCGCCTATCTCGGTCCGTTTCCAGCAGTAGACGCAGTACAACTCCTGGCCCTTATTCAAATTGGTGCGCATGCATTGCAGGCAGAAGTAGTGCTTGCACGAGAGCAGCTTGGGACTCTGGTCCGTCTCGTTGAACTTTTGCTTGCAGTAGCCGCACAGCATTAATTCCTCAAATTCTGGTACTACGGATTCCATTTCTGCAAACGATCATCACATTACCAATTCTGAATTATTGACAACATTAAAAATGCTTCGCAAAAAGAAAAACAAAATTACATTCTTCACATTTTTACAGAAATGCGGTGGATATGTTTTCTAGATGCATTTGAGCTTAAAAGTTCAAAAAAAAAAAATGTTAAATATTGCATTAAAAACTTATTTTTTATAAAATTTAGGCTAATTACATAATTCAGTTTCAATTAATTAAGTGCAAAATTTTAAAATTAATGATCATGTAAGCATCACAATGTATGTAAAAGACCTTGGATTTTGGTCAAGATTTTTCACTCAGGTATTCGCTTAAGTGAAATTGCCAATTACCACCTATTTTTGGCACATTAGTCGTTTTCCTAAATGAAAATCCGAGTTTAACTCCCTAAAAAGTGGTAAAAGCAAGCCTAAATTTATCTCTAAACGAATTTTCCTCTGATTTATACCCGACCCAAAGATAATATTTACATTACAGAGCCATTAAAATATTATTTGCCAGTCTCTATTTAATCTGTTTCCTTTCCGATTAACCGCCGCTGATTTTTTCATTGGCTTTGTTGTATTAGAGAGCGAAGTATATATTTTAACGTAAAAAAAAAAAAATGACAAAAGTCGGCATAAGAAATTGCATACTTTCACTAATTAACTTTACTGAGCTCTGTGTGCCAGGTTTACTTAACAAGCATTTTTCAGTCAGGTATCAGTGAGGTGATAAAAATATAGATATGATGGGGAAAATTACACTTTTTTAAAAGTAATTAGGAACGTTAATTCGGGTTAGAGAGATAGCAAAAGTTTGTTTGTTGGAGGACGCAAACACAAGCCCATATTTACATCCTGCGATTGATCGATCATACTATTTTTAAAATATAACTAATTTGCCGTAGGCTTCAGTAGGTGGAATTCCAGGTTTATTGCCAGACAGCCAGCACTAGCACGTAGTGCCGTTCGCGCCAAAGTGGCCGTTCGAAAAAATCGACAATCGACAAGTGGCTTTTGCGTCGTGCCAGGGAACGTCAAACACACAACCACCTAAATTAACGAGATGTATGTTTTGGCCAATTCCGGGGCGTTAGATACGGATGTTGGCTAATGTAAATACATGAACTTGGCTTACCGTTTATATTTTACGATGTGTAACACAGCCTTTAAGTAAATCCGATTAGACGATACGGTTTTTGGTCGTTTATTAAAAACTCGAGTTTCGGCAACGGGTTTCTTCGCGATTTTGTACTATTTGCGTTTTTACGGTACGGCAGACGATATATTTACTATGCGATTTTAATATTACATAATTATTTTATGCCGAGAAAATCGGCAAATTTACGAAAAAACTTAAAATTATTGTGGCCGCTTCACGATGTGCCACATCATGTTGACGACTGACATTCCCGTTAAGTTTGCGGCGATGCGCCCGTGTTTGACCTTGAATCCGATGGTGCGTCTCACTTCGCACCGTTACGATCGCGGCGCCAAATTCAAATCAAGATCGATACCGTTATGCTACACCATAACGTCTGAAACCCGTATAAGTTACAAAAAACGTGTAGTAATACAGCATGAGGAACCAATATGGAAGAATTAAAACAGTTAAAATTAATTATTTTACTAATGTGACAAATTCGTTTTGAAAATTAAATTATATATACTTCTAAAGTATGAGGATACGATTTTAAAGTTGCATTTTCCCAGATATTTGATACTGCGTAGGCGTTGGATGCAATGCAATAAATGGGACTTAGAAAATATAATATCAGATAAGTCTGATTTACAGTACGGTATATAATGCTTTTTTTAATGATGCTTCATGGTATAGGTATTTATTTTTAGGGATTCGGTCATCATCGAAATTTTTGTAGTCCGTTGAGACTATGCTCTTGATTTTTTTGTTTACTATTTTTGGGAAGGAAAATGGTTGAGAATCATTTAACATCTATCGATATAGTAGTTATTCTTAGTAATTGTTTCAAATTATAGAGCGGTCTGAAATAGACTAATTAGGAATTACTGTGAAACAAATTAATAATATTGTACGTTGTGGTGTGGATGCTGAAGTTATAAAAATTGTTTTATTAAAAAATTGCAACTTCCGTATTGTAGTCGATTGTAGACCTGTATATATATTATTTTTATTTTTTTTTCTATGTTACATAATAAGAATTATAATATCTGTTTTTCAAATAACTGTATATTATTTAAACAATGATGTAAATGTTTTAAAATGATAAAATATAGACCATATGACGCCAAAATTACATCTAGTGATTTTCTTTGTGGCCACGCCAATAGCAATACCAACCTAACGCTAGCGGCAAATTTAAAATTTCTCCGTACTACGTCTAAAGTAGTAGGCAATTCTCAACATGTTGACCGTATGGAAAATGTATTTCCATAGGTGTATCATTTTAGAAGGTTCCAAAATTTGTTAAATACCTATCGTACATTTTATTTAAAAAATTGTAAAGTATGTCAAGGTCATTTTAAATATAAAATTGAGAATATTGATCTTTTATATTTTAAACAAGAATTTAAAATAAATAGATGTCGATTTTGGTAATAGGTAACTAGTTATTCTTACTAATCTACACTCACTTTGGTAGATCCAAATAGTCAATGGGCAGACAAGTTATACTAATGTGTGTAAAATGTACACTTATTTTCTTTTTTTAATATTGAGATATGGATTTAGATATAGCCAAAATAGTCTCTGCAAAAAGTGAATTTCACAAAATCGATAAAACTACTAAATGTACAAACATCACTTATAAGAGTTGGTCCCAATTTAAGGGTTATTATTTCATGCCACATAGGTTTTTTATATTCGTCCAGGTTAGTTCAATGGAGTTCATCTCGTAGTGGTTTAATGGCAATTAAAGAAGTTTATATTATATGTGGCGATTTCTTTTTATGCAATCAATAATTTCTCCTTTTTTCATGCATATGTTAACAATTTTTCTTTTTGTCATTATGGCAGGACGCATTATCCACTGCAATCGCTGCAACGTGTGAGGCAAAATAAATGTAAACCATTTCTCAATCTCAAGATAATACATTTTCTTTTAGGATCTGCTATACTATTATTTTTCCAAAGTACTTTCTCTGCGATACTACAATTTCATCCTTTTATTTGCAGGAAAAAGACAGTTATGGTAATGAAGTATCCCGCCTGGCAAGGCCTCTCCCGGTGGAATACCTCCTGGTGGACGTGCCGGCCTCCACGCCTGTCACCCCGCAATACACCTTCAACAGCGACCCATCCAAGCAGCCGTTCCCAGTTGAGAACCGCATGGTGGACGGCCACATCCAGGATTTCAACGCCCTGTCTACCTACCTATCACAGTTCGCCTTTAATGAATTCTTTACCGCGATCAACGACTTCCATCTTATCCTCTACATAGCCACAATGGACATGCTGCCGATGCGGGAATTCATGGGACCCTTACTGGAGGCCTTAAAGAACAAGAACAGGGAGGCGGCTAACGAATGGTCCAGGTCGGAGCACTGGGCGACCGTGGAGCAGCTGATCGCGGCGAGTTCTCCGCCACCGTCAAGGTATGTTTTATGGTGCAGTGAGATCATGAACTCCAATGTTTTTTTCACACTCAAGTCGGTTTGAAATCTCAAAAACTCGTTTCAAAAGAAAAATTATTTTTAAATTACACCCAGTTCTGAGTTCTGACACAAATCTACGAAATTTGTAAGAAAGTTGAAATAATTTAAACCAAAATTTGTACCTCCCTCCATTTTTTTTTTCACTACCAATTTTGTATCTATTACTAAACGTTTACCACCTTGTTTCGGAAAGAGGTTAGAGATTTGACATTGATGGTAGGAATTGAGGTTATAAAATTTGACAATCTACGTTCATGGATGACTAAAAAAATTCCGACTATGATTTCAACTTCAATTGTCCCGCAGGCCTGGCAGCGTGGCCTCGGGCAGCATTACCGCTTCCACGGGAACACCCAGCGGACCAAAATGGACGTGCCCGTTTTGCACCTACCTGAACAACGCCGACGTCCAGAACTGCGAGATGTGCAACCTGCCCAGGTCCAGCAGGCCACACTAAGGTATTTATCTAGCCTTAGCTCTTAAGGTGCGTACCCGTGTATATTTATTTCGATTCCAAGGATTCTGCGCGACGGGTACTTGTTATGTTCTCGCACAAAGTCGGAGTATCGAAGGGGTTCGTTCAATTGTCTTTTAAGTGATTTATTAACCGATCATCAAATTACGAATTGAAAAAGGAAACTCGCCCTATTTTTTTACATTAATACCAGTTTTTAGGTTAGGAACTCAGGATAGGAAATATTAATGTCTTTTAGTTTAGTTTTCATTAATTCCTTAATAGAATTAATACAGTTATTTGAATATTATGGATAAGTTGTTTCCTGAGGTAGCTTATAAATATTGGTTATTCTGGGCCCAGAATAGGTCCTCGGGGTACCTCTTGGTTAGAATGTATCGGGTTCAGAGTTTCTTTGAAAGCATTTTAGAAATATTAGAATTATTGGCTGAAATTATTAACTTATCAAAGGAAACAGCAAACTGGCTAAAATCAACTGTCACGTTTATGATTTTAGCTTTTAACGAATGAAACTTGTAGATTGTAAATACGTTAGAATGTTCGTTTGCGTAGCAGTTAATAGATAGTCCTAGTAGATTTACAGAGTAACTTTGTTTCCTTATTGTTCTGAATCTGATTTACAGACCTTTTCCAGAGTAGCACGATGAGGAGAGGCGGTAAAATGTTTGTGATTAAACAGAAAATAAACTAAACTGTAATAGTTTCCTTCTTTTTTTTAATATATAAAACTGCTTAAGTTTCCCCATAAATGTCGCATCGATTAAAATTTTTGAAAAGGACTTCATGGAGTTTCAGCATCTCTAAGACGAGCGATATTTTTCTAAATTGTTGTTACGAGTTTTTGCGTTAACGGTAAATTTCAGATTGTACTGTAAATAGTATGTCAGTTTAATTTAATTTGTGTTGATTAAGTTGTGTTTTATTTAACTTATAGTGTATGGTGAAATGAATAAAAAAAATGTTAAAATGGGCCGTGCGATTGTTTCTCCCCTACCGCGGGTCGCTGGTTATAAATGTCGCTCCCCCTTGACTAAACTTATAATGTTTTAAAAGTTGTAGTTTCTCTAATCTTAAAAATAAGAGAATTAAGCTAGGGTGATATTTAAAACCAATAACCTGGTACATCTCCCAAAAAATACATACAAGGTGTTTCTTAAAAGTATGCCATATGTTCAGGGGCTTGTAGATCAAAAAATAAAATGATTGCTTTCCATATGTCATCATGATGCAACACAATTTATAGATTTATAGATACATCTAATTCACATATGGTTCTATTTTACTCAAGAAAGTACTACTGAAAATGCACCATTTTCGAAAAAAAATGCAATTGTGGTAATTACCATCAATAAAAACGGAGTTCTTTGGAAGTTATCTAAAATAAGGAAAGACTTGATTCCTCAGGTCTTTGTAGCAAGAACACTTCATATATATATTCTAAAATATTTGATTTGTGATATGAAGTTGAAAATTTTAATTTTGTGATATATACCTGATAAACACTGATTTTCTTATCTAAAATTTCGTGCCACCATGAGGCGTAACGTGCAAAAATTTAGAAAACAAATTTTACTCATTTAATACTGGCAAAAAGTCTCGGTATTTTTTCGTTTCAGACTTAATTTCAAAAAAAAAACATGGTTTTGGGTTGTTTGCACCATTAGTACTTAAATTTTAAGTTATGCTTAAACTTCATTGCTTTGCAGTCAAAAAAAATACAGTAAAAACTTAAATAAAAGGGACACTCTAATAATAGGTTACAAAGCAGTTCCTGAAACTTATAAAAAGAGTTAATTTGCAACTTAAGCACAGCTAAATTTAAGTACTGCTGGTGCAAGTCGGGCCCTAATTAGGTCAGGCACATAAAAGAATTATGAGTGAGATATAACCTATAAAGTATATGTCATATCTTCGCTCCCCAACGCCTACTGGCAGAAAGCATTGCTTTGTGTCTACTGGAACAGTGACCTACTAATATGGAAGTATAATTAGTGTCACATTGGGTGAAATAAATGTTTTTTAACCAATAAATAATTTATAGGATTGGAATTTCAAGTGAAGTTGTGTAAATAATAAATTTACGTTTAGTTAATCAAACCTGCAACAGGGTTTATCTCAACTTCAACAGAATGTAGTATAAAAAAAAATCTACATTTAGAGAATGACTTTAGTAGTCAATTGCGTTTTTTCGAGAAATATTAACGAGTATCTGTTTCTTGTAAAATGAAATGTTTCAGCATACAACGCATAACACCTAGCCTCAGAAAATTTATATCGACCGCTACAAGGTAGTCGAAAACTAACGATATCGACATATTTAGCAACTTCAAAAATTTACAAGTACCAAATTTCTGTATAATTCATTGTTTTTTGAAGGTAACCAAAATTTGACTTACAATTATGGCATCTTTTTTTAAAACATCCTGTACATCATAAATCTGAAATATTACAAAAAACCATTGGTTTTGTAAGCTACTCTACCCAGAAAATGATAGTAACTCAAGGTAAGTAAATATTAAAATTAACTGAATCACACCATATTCCGTATTGCTGCACTGCACTGCTGGGCAATTTGTCAACAGCTGAGATTTATTGCCCAGTGGCCCAAGGCAACTGTGTTTGTATTTCGTTTGCCCGCGCTCATCTTCAACTGGGCGTATACATTTCTACCACCTCCACGTTTAGTTCGACCAGACAAACATGTATATGGGTAGGTATGGCTAAATAAATATGGGAACAAGTTTTTCAAATATTTCAATGTCGAATTGCTGCATCAGCGACCGAACCTGGTACAGACTGTCAACCTTTTGGTTCTTCAATTGATATCGGAGAGACTATAAATTATCATGTTTTGAATAGTTCGCTGAAAGGGCACCAGTAAATTCCCCATTTGATTATTCGAGAACGGTTCAAATAAATTGGTCATATAATAATTTCTCCAAGACATGTTTTCGGATTGGTAAGGAATTAGATAAAACAGGCATTGGTATATGAATAGTTACATTTTCCTCGTCTTCCTCCTTCATTGAAAAATCTAATAAATACTTTTATCTCTTTGACGTTTGGATGAGAAATTACACATTTTGAATAATTATGCAGGTACTCTGGTACTCTACTAAGTTTAATGCAATTCATACTTTTCTTAAAAGATTAACAAAATTTGATTAAAAAACACATTTGGGCATTGCAAAAACGTTCAAAGAGGAAAAAATTACAAAATCAGTTCTAGAGATTATGAAATTTTGTATTAAATGAATCTAGAACACCAATGCAAAAAAGTGTTATTGGTTTTATAAGCTACACCATTCCAAAATCTACGACAGTAGTAAATTGGTCATAGTCCATTGAAAGAGCACTAGTAAATTGCTCATATATTCCTTTCGCTGAGACAAACGTTTTCAGGTTGCCGAGGGGTCAAATAAAAAAGCCTACAATGGTATGAGTAGTTATATTTTCCATTCATTCTGGTACAAATATCCTAGCTTGTACAAAAACTGCAGCTTCTCAAAGAAAAACGAACTGATTCCAAGACTGCCCTAATGAAAATTTTAAATACTTAAAACTAATATTTACAAAGCACAATGTGCGCAAAATAACTTAAAATAGTTAAATGTAAAGTCCGAAAAACTTCCCCTCGATGACGGAAACCAGGAACGAAACTAGGGAGTAATAAATAAATGTCACTGCGGCTACTGAATATATAAAAAAAAAACAATCACAAAACATTTAAAACACTTATTTCTGCGCACGTTCCAACAGGACGCAACGTCGTGTGAAACTGATTAAACACTGGAACGGCTCATCTCTCCGATAGGCCAAAACAGCAGTCTTTCAGCCTAACATTAACTATTTTAACTAAATTCAACCTATAACATTATATACATCAATGTTATCCTTTATTTATTAAAATAATTGAACTAAATTTACAATTATGGCTCTCGACAGCGAATAAAGACACACAAAGCCAATCGGTTCCATGAAAACTTTACTAAAATTGCACTAACAGAGGAACTTGGTTGAAACGACACGTATCTGTATTTGATGTTAAGTGAAACGAAAGGTTGTATCATTTCGGTGTAACAAAACCAGACCGTCATATAAAAGCAGCAAAAGATAGTCCCTTCTATATATTCGCTGTCGATTTTTAAAATAGTGCAAAAAATCACTTCTAACTTGGAATTTTTTACACGGTAATTATTTGTCATCGCATCATAAAAAAAGAAACCACTCATACAGGGTGATTCATAACAGAGAAGTATCAAATATAGCTCTGGTCTAGACTGAAAAAAAGTCAATGTATAAATTTCCGAAAAACGCCTTAAATTTAGAATTAGGTTCAGTGAAATTTCTGTAAAAAGTCAAGTTCTTTATATCCTTGACGTTTGGGTAAGAAATTAAATTTGAACAATTCTTTGTGTATTCGGACACTTTAAAGCTAATCACAGTACGATTTGCACTGAACGTTATAAAATTTACAACCGTTGAAGTTTTTTTTAAACAAATATCGACACTTCAACGATCCACCCGATCACCTTCTATTTGCATGAACCACCCTTCCCAAGAAAATTAAAAATTTTTTCCCGGATTTCACCACTTGCATCTTTAATCAGACTTTTTTATTATAGGAATTCCGTACTAAAAGTTACTTAAAAAAATAAAATGTATATTTTTTGCCTTTGTTTAGTTTTTCGATTGTTTTTTTTTTTGTTTGTATTTTTGCTATTTATTACCATACAACATAAAACATTTACCTACTTAGATAACGTCTACTACCTTATGACGATGTATATTGATATGATATTTTTCTGATTTTTTAGTGTCCGCGACGGACTTTTGGTGGTTAATTAAAAGTAAATGTACTTAATGCGAAAGAATAATTAACCTAGGGAGGTGATCTTTTAAAATAACCAACGAACCGCACGCATCCTCAACTGTAGTGTACTATTGAATCGAATCAGGAGTGGGATAAAGATAAAAGTCTCAAAAACGTTTAAAAAGCTAACATTTCGGGATTTTGGCATATATAAATCGTAGACCAATAAACCTCAATTATCACACACTTTATAATATTTTAAAAATAATGTAATTCCGTGACTATTTAAATTCTAGCCGCTTAAATATAACAAACACTAAAATCTGCCACGGCAGGAGTAACTGTTTCAGTTTCTGTTTAATTTTCTGTTCTACAAATGAGATCAACGTTGAAAATCGAAGAAAATTAGCCTCGAACGGAATGGTCTTAATCCCATCGTAGCAGATCTCGCACAAACATGAGTCAAATAACATTTAAAGCTTTTTACACCTTGAGCACCATACTTTCCTTGGTCGACAAACGTCGACCCTCAATTATGTCCGGCATTACAGAATCAGGAATTCTGTTATGATTCCGACATAGAACATTGAGGGTCAACGACCGGAACAGGCAACACCAAGTTATACGACTGAGGAGTGTCTCTCCTCGGAAACGTCACTCATTCTCGCATATTTTTTTCAAAAATAACATTCTGGTACCATAGATTTAATGAGACATAAACTGAAAACATGTGAATTTAGCTGGGGAAGCCGAAGACCGAGGATATAAAGTCCTCGATCAGGCAGACGACCAGGTTGATGAGGATAACCGACATACAGGTGAGTTGCATCCTTTCCTTGTGGGTGAGCGCCAGTAGATCGATCTCGAAAAGCCAGTAGGGTTGGTCTCAGTCGGAGCTCTGGGTTAAAGGCGGGTACTCTTGCTCGTCGGTGAACTGAAAAGCACCTTTTGGTGGTGATTCGGTTGCGGCCGCCATCTCTCTTAACTTGTCCGACTCTAAACAAAAATGTCATGATTCTCTGGACTTGGACACGATTTGGGAGGGTCGGCATCAGTTTATTAATTCAAGCCTATTAAATCGTTTGTTCCCTTGAGCCATACTTAAATACATATTTGCCCATATTAAATTTAAATTAAAAACTACCAGAGTCGGCCACCATTACAGAAAAACAGGAAACTGCAAGCAAATATCTTTATGCAAGTTTACCGTGCTAAAGACTGTGATTGACATCAAAATTATTTCTCCTAATTTCACACATTCAATAACTTTTATTAAAAAAATTTGTAGATATTTTTTATCCTTCAAAAGATATAAAAACACTAGTTCGATCGGGTCTGTTACTGATTTTATCAGCATTGCTGTGGAAAATAAGATACATACTTTCAATTTTATATTCAATAGCGACATGTTCTAATATTTTTTTTGTAAATTTACAGCATTTATAGAAAATAATATTCAATAAAAAAGTTGATATAAATTTGATTTTTGGAATTCGGATTTTTGAGAAACGAGAAAATTCAAAATTAGCAGTTGCTTTATAAAAACAAATGATTTACGTCAATAGTGAACATAAATATTGAAGGTATCTTTTTCCAAGCTGATGCAAAGCAAAATCAGTAACAGACTTGATTGAACCAGTGTTTTTTCACTTTGCAAGTCATTTTGTAATTTGTGAGCGAGAAGAAATATCGTAAAACTTTTTAATAACTTATTGAACAAAATCACAACTTTCATATGAAGTAAAATATCCATGAAACTGGAAAAATAATTTTGATGGCATCACAGTCCTTAGCAGTCAAAAATTTATATTGTGCCGTATAGATCGCCACTTGCAGTTTCCCATTGTGTGTTTGATATTCATTTGTTTATTATAACGGGTCTAAAAAGGGGATACCATGGGAAAAGGTCAGAAACTGTTAGATATAATACTATCTATAATTCTTATAATAAACTGTCTTCAGCGTGAAAAATAAATGAAAATCTTGCACATTATTTAAATAAGTTGTGTCAAATGAAAAAACAAATACATTCTCTTAAAAAATATTCAATTCTCTATCACTTATACACTGTTTTATTATGTACAAGATGCTAGCATCAAATTTAAAAAAAATTAACACAATTCCGTATTATTTGATACTCCAGAGATGGTAACAATAACATTTAGTCTGCAAGAAACAAGACCAATCACTTTTACTCACCTTTTGATTTAAAAATTCACAGAAGCAAAAATAAATTTCAACAAGTTAACGAAAAATCAATAGAGCAAAGGCTTCTGGGTAGGCTGGGTTGTGGAGGGAGATTCAAGTTTCAAATGTAACCGCCAATGGCACCAGTGCATACAGTGTGTTTAATTTATCAGATCCGAGACAATTGCCACCAGTTTACCTAGGCATGTGTTCATTGTAAAACAGAATTTGGAAAACGTTTGTGAAAAGCTTAGAATACATTTTATTACACATTTTAAAATTATATCTGAATAAATATCGCTTAGCGACAGGGAACAAACGATTTCTTTAAGACATTTGAAAAATAGTTACGATATTTAATATAAAAGAGAATACTGTTGTGAGTAAACGAATAATAATAAATAATATAGGGACAGAAATTAGAAAAGGTACTACAACGTGCAGAGAGAAAATTGAAAGTGCTGAGAGGTGTAAGAGGTTACAAAAGGTATTACATATTCATTTGTTATCCCAGATGTCGCACTGGCCCTGTAGTATCTACATCTCTTATAAGAAATGAATATCGCTTGTTTGGGAGGGAGGAGTTAAAGGACATAATCTCGCTCATTTGTTTTAAGTAAGGTTATGATTGCTTAGAATTTCCTCAACCTCATTTTAACAGCAGAAGAGAAGCTTCAGAATACAGAAACCTGTACTATTTAGGACCCCGTATCCTACACAGGGTGTAACTTTAAGTGGGGGTCGATTTTTTATATATTTTTTTCAAACCAATTACAGGGTGTTACAAGTTTGACTGCCTTAATTTTAATAGATGATAAAATACATTAAAATAAACAACAAAACCTTATATGACATGTGTCCTAAACTCAACTATTTCCGAGAAAAAAAAAATCAAAATCTCCAACTCTGTTGAAGAAAATATGTTTCTGTGGACTTTTAACTTAATTACTTTGGATTTGAGGTTAGGTTTGCAGGTTTCCTGGTCAGCTTCCTATGAATTTATGTTGACAGGTTTAGAAAGAATTGAATATGTTCGTTTTAGGTTAAGATTTATAAATTTGAGGTTATGTTTTGCGTCTAGATTCATGATTTAGGAATATGTTTAATGTTTCTGATTTTTTTTTTGTTTGGCAGCCTTTAGTACATAATTTACCTTTTTTTTTCATTTTTAGCTACCGAATATGTCAAACTTCGTATGATCGAGTTTGAGGCTAGAGATTAATCGGTCATTTTGAAAAAATTCTAGGCACATATTTCAATTACCTCACCGGAACTTTATAGTACAGGTAATTTCGGAGAGAATAAAAAAAACGTCAGTACTATTTGATTAGTTTTGACGCGTAGCTTGAATTTTTTCCAATATTTCTCACTGTGCGACGCGGCGAATAACACGAGGTGTACTAAGCTGTCCAGCAATATGCAATTCAGTTGGTATCTGGAATTGGACCGTGTTTGAGTGGTTTTTGCATACCACTATTTCTTTTTCTTGAGGCGTTTTCCAGCGAATGCGCGCAAATTGGTTTCGAAGGTGTCGTGCTTGCATCGAAAATGGTGGTGGACATTTTAAGCATATGTTGTAGTTTGTTTTGTACTTGTGCGTTTAACCCTTTCGCTGCGCAATACGTCTGAACGTAGCTACCGCGCCGTGCGCAATTGTTTATCGCGTGCGAATATATACGTCTGGAGCAGTTAGACCACTTATAGTTTTACATTATGTTGTGTTAAATTACGATTTACGATAAATTTTACGATTTTATTTTGAATAAAATACAGTATATGTACTAAATAGAAACTGAAAGAAACATGAACAATCTTGGTACTATTACCAGTACCTCTTTCCATAAAAATATTTGTCACAATCGGTATAAGCTCGCCCGCAAAAATTCGCCTTACCAATTGCAATAACCGAGTCACTATGCGCACGGTTGCGAATATATACGGTTTGAGCAGCCTGATCCAATTTAACTATTCATGCGAATTTATCCGTCTGGAGCAGTTTGAGCCCTATAAATTTTTAGCGAATATATACGTCTGGAGCAGTGAAAGGGTTAAAAATTACTGAATTTTCCTTTTTCGTAAGTACCCAAATTAGTTTTAATATGTATGATTATTTAGATGATGTGAACAGTAGGGTACTTTAATTACATATTTTTCAAATTCATAATTTGATTAAGTTAAATTCCTGTTTTAAGAGATTCATAATCACTAAAATTCGGGCTAAAATTTAAGCACAACACTATCTTCGTACTACTAAATCGATACATTTTATTTTTTTTATTTAAAAACTGGAAAACGATTGTCTTGAAATTTATTAAATGTTTCACAATAATAGTTGTTTACATTTTTTCCGTAGGACAAGTGTGGCAGTCAAACTTCTTACTCCCTGTATATAAAACTAACAGAGTGGCAGAGTCGAAACTGCAATGAAAAATTTAAAAATAATATTGTAAAACCATATTGTTTTTGTAAGAGTTTGCGACGTGTTACTTAATTCAAGGTAACACCCTGCATGATAATGAAAGCACCTTTAAGGGACATAAAAGCATTAATGTGCTGTTAAAACAAAGTTTCTTGCGATTCGTTGACATAAAACAAAAACGTTCCTATAATTTGATGCGACTTGTGACCGGTTCAGTCCCAAAGTCCACCGTAATCGTTTTAAATCAAGAAATCAATGAAGAGCGAATCGGGTGGGTTAGGAGGCTAGGTGGCGGGTGTGACAGTTTAAATCTGACGTAATCTCTTAATAATGACTATTATTATACTGACCAGTACCTGACATTTGGCCCACTGGATTGCCCTTGACGATGCCAGCGTAGCTACCTAGTATGCCTTGCACGGAACAGAGAAAATCATAATGATGGGTCGGGTTACAGCTTACTACAGGTGTGTGGTGGGATGTTAAAAAATGCAGGAGCAGCATCTAAGCTCAATCTCAATTCTTTTTTTAATGAGAAAACTGGTTTTAGTATTTTTTTTTAATTTCAATGTTTTTTTGGCACACCATTGCGTATCTGTGTGGAATTTGTGCCAACGGCAAGTCAGCAAAATTAACATTTCGCAAAGAAATTTTAACTGAACGATTCCCAACTAACAATTATTTCTCGAGATCAGAAAAGGGTAATTGAAGTGATAAAAAATTAAGTATTCAAATAAAATCTGCCGCTAACTCTTCGGGCGGGAAATAAAAGAAAAAACAATTGAAACTCAGTCTTTATGCTTTCAAAGTCTTAAAACGTGAATCCTTACAAAACTAAACTACATCAAAGAACTAAATTCTTATCGAAAACACGAAAACTATCACATACTTAAAAATATTAACAATAAAAAAAAAATAATTCCACACACATACAAGGGTGGCATTACGTGGACGCCTCGACAGTTCACGACATACAGCCATGCGAGTCGCACGTCTAATCGCGAAGCGATCCTAATTGCACCTAAATGGAAACCTCTTCGACTGACATGAGATCCGCACGAAAACTTGGTGGTTGGTCGTCTTTTTCGCACGAAATTTTTATATTTTAAACCAACCTGACGCGACATTCCGAACAAAGCGACCGACCTGAAAAAGAGCGTATTTGATTTTCAGTAAAACGTTCCTATCCTACCTACAGATCTACCAGAAAAAAAGGGGGTTAGTAGAAATTTGTTTAGAGTTGATCTAAAAATAAAATACGATACACGAGACTATGATTCTTTTTAGTTTGATACTTTCTCAATCTTAAGAAATTTAAGGAATCTTAAAAGATAGACGAAAGATCAAATTAAAAAAGTCAGTATGAGTTACGTGTTACACTAGAGAGTTAATCCAACATTATCTCAAACTACACTAGGCACAGAAATTAAGGGATGTTAAAAAAATCACGACATTTTTGGTGATTTTCAAAGAGCTCTAACTTGGAAGGAAATGGTCGTAGAGAGAATCAAAAAAAGGAAATTGAAGTTTCAAGTGTCTAGTTTTCAAATCTGCAGTTTAAAATTTTTTAGCGTCAGCAGTTTTTGAGTAGTCATAAGAAAATCAACAGAAAAAAAATTGTAAAGTTTTGCTTTTTTTTAAAAAAGGCTTATGGACTTAAAAAAATTTTTTTGAGCGTTTCCAGATCTTTGTACGATTATTTGTCGCTAAGTTAACGTCGATCAAAGCAAAAAAAAACATTTTTGATTTTGGCAATCAATTACTCGGGAAATAATGGTCGTACAGAAAATCCAAGCAGGGTTTGGAAAACTGCAAAGTATTCTCTACAAGTTGTAATTATGGGTTTTTGTTAAAAAAAATTTTTCAAAGTGAAAATGTTGGTTAGAAAAAAGGTAAAAAATTGCATAATTAGGGATATTTGAATAACTTGGCATAACTTCACAATTAATGAATAAGCTTTTCAACCTCAAAGTGTCCTAAAGAAACTCCGATCATTTCATAACGCTGCGATTTTTTTTTCCTAGTGCCCGGAATGTTTAAATTTGTCGTTCTTGCTGAAAATCAATGTAATAAGTAATTTTTCATTTTTTATTAATTTTTTTGAGTTAAAAATGTTTTTCTAGCAATAATCCATATTTTCTTCATCAAAAAACGTTCATGATTCAAAAAAAAAAAATTATTACAAAAATTATTTTTTCGAAATTTTTTTTAACAAGGGATTACGCAATGAGATATCCAGCGGTGCATTAATATGCAGGACCGCTTAGAATCGGTGATCAGAAAGAGAGGCTGCAATACCCGATATTAAATTGTGCAACATCAAATCAACCAAATTTTTTTTGATGTTTGTGAAGCTTGTGAATATGTTAAAAAAATAGAAAAAAATAAATTTTGAAATAACTAAATTTTTTTTTTAGAATTATGAACGATTTCTGATGAAAAAATATGGAATATTGCTAAAAAACAATAAATTTAAACATTCTGGGCACTAAGAAAAAAAAATCGCAGCGCTTTGAAATTATCAGGGCTTCTTTAGGACACTTTGAGGTTGAAAAGTTAGTCAATATCCTGAGTTTATTCATTATTTGTAAATTTATGCCAAGTTATTCAAATATCTCTAATTATGTAATTTTTTACCTTTTTTCTAACCAACATTTTCACATTGAAATTTTTTTTTATCAAAAACCCATAATTACGACTTGTAAAGAATACTTTGTAGTTTTCAAAACCCTACTTGGATTTTCTGTACGCCCTTTATTTCCAGAGTAATTGATTGCCAAAGTCAAAAATCATTTTGTTGCTTTGATCGACGATAACTCGGCGACAAATAATCGTACAAGGCTCCGGAACCGCCCAAATTGAAGAGAATTAAATAATCTAAGACCTTTATGATGAAATTACCAAAACATTTTTTTGAAGTCCATAGGCCTTTTTTAAAAAAAGCAAAAATTTACAAATTTTTTTTTTCGTTGATTTTCATGATACTCAAAAACTGCTGACGCTAAAAAATTTTAAACAGCAGATCTGAAAACTAGACACCAGAAGCTTCAATTTCCTTTTTTTTTATTCTCTCTACGACCATTTCCCTCCAAGTTACAATTACAATTACAAAGTTGAAAATCACCCAACATTTTGTGATATTTTTAATATCCCTTAATTTCTGTGCCTAGTGTATATCAAGAGTTCGTCTTCAGCTGCGATTTATACAACTAGTCTTAAGTGTATAAATTAGTACAAAAGAAACTACTATGATGAGCATTTCCCACATATTTTCTAATTTGGTGTTATTTTTCCACAATTTTAAGTGACTAGAAAGTATTTATGAAAATATGTAGTTTAAAAAATTCAAGGTATTATATTTTACTCGCCTTGATTGCGGTAGTCAACCGAATAAAAGACCTACAACATCTATTTTACTTCCGTTATTTAGCGTGTTCGCCTAACTTCCGTCAACCGTCATTACCAAACCCTAACCTAACATTTCCGTCAACTGACATAAACATGAGGTTTTCAAAACTTTTGTTCTTTCAGCATATTTCAGGCAAAGCTTGGAGTATTTTCTGTATATATTTGATGACTAATGTGTTATTTTTACCAGAATATTTTTTTTGTGTTATTTTTACTTTACCGACAATTGATTTCAGTTTTGTCAAAATTGATATTGCCAATGTATACAGCATAAAATAATTTTGATTTTTTATCAGTGAAACAAAGTTGTGGCAATTTTGAACCACCCGAAAACTTAAAATTAAAATCAATTGTGAATTCTCAATACAGGGCGCAACTTTTAGTTGAGTTTTTAGAGATACATGATCACAGAATAGTAATTTTCGAGTTACAATTCGTTTTTAAATTGCAATGAAACTCCCAAACTCAGAAATGATCAGTGTTGCCGCTATTGCCTTTTTGAAGCAAATGTATGATAGTAAGGGACTAAGCAAATCTGCATTAGAACATAACTTTGTAAATCTGTTTCGGTGTCATTTTAAAGTCACCATATTCTTTTATGTCAATATGGGTCAAGTGCCAAACCAAAAGTTTTTCAAGAGTTTTCAAAAATTTAATATTTTTTCATGATTTATTAAATATTTAATAATATTAACTTGCGTTGCATACATTACTAATTTCAGCTAAAACTAATTTATGATTTAGAAGAATTATTTTTGCTGCTTAATAATAATCGGATAGTTTCTAAATATTTGTTAGTCATTTCAAGTTCTGAAAAAATATATATTTGTTACTATTTCCGTAAAGCACTGTGTTTAGTTTGCGAGTCTCAACGACCAATTTTAATTCGATGAATTGGTACCACTGAATACGTCACTGTTTTATTAAGTTTAATTTCATTTTAAAATTTAAAGTGGTGTATAAATGTATAAAGTTATTTATTTCACTGTTTTGTGACAATACAGTGTGTTTGTGTGTCTTCATTGTTAATCTCCTTGAAAGTTTAAAGATAATCCTATTCCAAAAAATTTGACATTTGTAAAAAAGTTAAAGTAGTATGTAACATTTTTTTAACCGATGTTAAAACTGAATCCTGTTTTGATACGATTTGACGTTTGACATACATGGCTGTATAACGAGTTATACTAAACTTTTTCTACCTTCAGACTAAGGTTTGGTTAATCCACTAAAGAAGTAAGTTAATTTTATGGGATTTTGCATGCACAAAACAAAATCGTCTCTTCTGGGTCCTGGGGAAGGTGAAAACAAATTCATCAAACAATAAAAAAAAAGGAAACTAAACACAAGGTTTGTCGGCATTCTTTTCAACACGAGAGCATCAGATGTACGATCGTTCTCGCTTTTTCAAATGCCTTTTTGCTTTGGCAAGACTCGGTATGGAACAGAAAAACATCTAATCCTAAACTTTGTGTAAACAGGTACTAAATCTAAAAAAAATTAACTATCGCCTACAGACACTAACAAAAAAAATGATAGTAGAGGTGAATGATAGAGGAATAGAGCTAGTTATTACCTCCTTCTACGCGTTGCGGGGAGGAACGCTTAGCGGCGTCCGTGGAATCGGCGCCCGTGCTCGCGTTGGGGATATCATCGAGGCGGTGCTGCTTGTAAAGCACCAGGTCGCCGCCTTCGTTACGGTCTATGTTATAGATGTAGAGGACCCCGTCTTCCGTCGCAACCAGCAGTCTCAACTGTTGCTGAATGCTGTAATTCCGACAAAATTAACATTTAGAACTTCCAGGAGAAACCTATACTCACGTTGCGATGGAAATGACATTTTTCAAGCCGTAGAAAGGCAAATGGGCAGTGGCGAAAGCACGACCCTGGGTAAAAACATCGGTAACTTGAGTGGGGAGGTACGTCGACAGATATCCCATCCAAGTGCTCTCGTCCACGCTCCTTCTCGGGCTGAAAACAAATCTACAACATTTCCGACAATTGTGGCACTAAAAAACCCGTCTCACCTGTCCTTGGGGTCCTCTAACCTGAAAACGTGGACAGTCTCAGTGTTACTGCTACAACTGAGAAACTGCCCGCATAGACTGAAAGCCAGACACGAGATGGCGACACACCGTTTTACACCCCTCCTAAACTCGTACAGTCTCGACGCATCCATAACAGAGAAAACCCTTATCACGGTACCTTTTTCCGAAGCCGTGGCTATTCTAGTGCCACTGGGGCTGAAGGCAATGGCCGCCAACGGGCTATCGTGCGCGTGGATCATCGTCTTAGCATGCTACAAAGAGAGTGACTTTAATATTTTTTTATTAGCATCACATTTTTACGTACCAGATGTATAGCATCGAATATTTGCACTTCGCCTATCGTAGACGAACCAGGATAGGCTAAGAGACAGTTTTCCTTGTCAATGCTGAGGGCGCACAGCCCCAGCGGGTTCGGAGGCGTGTCTCTTATCGTATGCAACACCTTCATATCCCTTATGTTGTGGATGTACAAACTCTCTTCCAGACACACCACCAATCTTGCCCTATGACGAACACGAAACAGAATTGACATTCTCACAAAATAACCCTCTTTTGTTTGGTAACAGTGCAGATTTCTGACTTACCTGTTGAGTTTCACAGCTAAAATCGTATTCGAATACGAATAGTTGCATATTTCCGTACCCTTCCTGAAGTGGCACACTTTTAGCTTCCTGGGGGACGACAGGGACACGACGGCCACAAGACTGCTGCTGAAGAGCCTCTCCACGAGGCAGCAGTCGTCCATCCCATGGCTGTAGATCTGTTCTAAGTTGTCGACGTTGTTTAGAGAGTAGAGTGTGTATCCTGATTTACTTCCAACTGCTAGTGATCTGGAAAATTTTTAAAAAAAGTGCAAAAAGATGATGACAAAGGTCATCCAGCTCTTTTAACTGGAACATTTTTAGTCACTGATTCAAAAAGACATTCATATTTATTTTAGACGTTATATTTTAACCTTGTCTACGATATTGTAGATGCTATGAAATTTTTTATAAATGTTTTATAGTATTTCTTATCAGAACAGGGGTCAGGAAAGTCAGTAAATAGTAAACATCCAAAAACGTAAACGAAGCAGACAGTCACGACAAAAAATTGCGGCAAAGGAAACAGACTAAGATAACTCCAAGAGATTAGCTATAGTGACCTACTTTTGATGTTAAATTAACAAAACCATTTTATAATAAACTTAAAAACATTTTTATGTTTTTTCATCAGACAAATATTTAAAAAGGACTTTCGAAAATTAATTTAACAATACACCTGTACAGGTAAATCCAAAGGTCTAATATTTCATACCTGGGTTTATTGCCCATTCATTGTACATTTATTAACAAAGAGCTTATGGGGATCATCGAATGGTCAACAGATTTACAAGAAGCAAAACCCAAGTATCTGAAAGGAACTATGGGATTTGCCATATCAAAACTGTATTTACTAACAGGTAGATACCTTTGTTGCAAGAGATGTTCATTTGGTGCCTAATCTTTCAATATTTGTATTTTTTCAAAAAAGAATAACTTTTTTTTATCTCTTTTGTAGATTGTATGTTTTCTTTATTAATGAGATGTTATCTCAAATAATAAATTTGAAGCAGAAGCCTTTATTCTCAGATTGCAAACTTATAATCTCCACATGGCAAAATTCAACAGGCCACAGATGAAACAACAATGACAAAATTTCCTAGAAATATATTTGGATACTATTCTGAGGTCATTAGCTTAGTACATGTATTTTACTGGAAGTTCATGATATGAATTGTTTAAATGTATGAAATGTATATTCAAATTTTTAAATTGGCTCATACATTTAATTTGTAATTATATTATTTATATTGTCCATCTAAAACTTGTATATTTCAAAATATCTGGGTGTTTTTATGAAAGTAAGCGCCATCTAGTAACGTTTTTAGCCACGACACCCTTTTTTTAGAATCAAATTATGTTCACTCAGTTAGGACATTTAGGATTAGAAATTATTGAAATTAAGCAAAATCATTTATGTAACATAGAAATCGCGGGACAGGATTTATTCATTTTTATTCAGCAAGTGCAAGCACCTATAATAGGCATCGCCTTTACCAATAATGATGACAAAAAGTGAAACATGATGAAATGAATTGGAAGTATTTGTGACATCACCTCCCTCAATGTCACTGGATAAATTAAAACACCTCCGGAGGTGTTATGTTATAAAAATGTAATACCAAAACAAACAATATTTTATAAGTAAAATCAAACAAGGGGAGAGTCGGACGCAACAGCTGATCCTCGCAGCGATATATTTGTTTATTTCTAGTGGGCAAATTTATTTGCGAAACGATTAATTACAACAAAATTTTGCAAGCCGTGCAAACTGAATTTATGTAATTTGAGTAACGACATTGAAAAATCCTTTCTCTTCTGATCCACCCATATTACGACATTTCCAAAACCAGTGGTAAATAAAAATCTCAGCGATTCTTTGTTCGTTTCGAACGCGACGATTTCGCAAAACAAGACGCGTAAATAAGATTGCTGCCGTCACTCCTGCGCATTTTCAAACCCCTGTCGTTTTTAATTACCAAACGTTATATCACAAAATTACGCACAACGAAAATAGCGATGTTTTCAAAACTTACGTGCAGTCCTGATTGAAATTTACAAAATATTTGTTGCTTCCATTAGAGTTGGAGGAATTTGTGCTATTCATGAGTTCGAGGGATCAAGACACTTTTACACTTTTTTACACTCGGGGTACTTAACTAGAATTTTAAGGAAAACACCTATCTTTTTTAACAGATTTCTTGTCGTTCGCACAAAGACTGACCTTGCCAAACTACATATACAAACACTACACCACTTCCATATTGTATTGAACAGCTGATGCGTGGAGGGTCAATGCGCAAGTTTGCGCGAATCGCCGACTGAAATTTGAAAATGTGCGCAATAAATTATTTTCAAATTTATGGAAACCTAACACGAAAGCACCAGCAATAACCTGTTATCAACAATCGAACAAGATTTTAAATTTTAATTGATAGGACCTCTTTATTTTCTTATCTTTATCGATAAAATACTCCTGTAAACTATGTACATACAGAACAAAATAATTTCATCTATCTAACTAAAACCTTGTTTTAAAAATGTAATACTCTTTAGATAGTTTTTATATAGTAAACAATTACTATGATTTGTGTAAACAGTGAATAATTAATGACTAATGATAAACTAATGACAAATTAACGATTAGTAAATTAGGCAAGTTTTGGCGAACAAATATTATGGACCAAGTAGGTATACACTACACAGTAGATATTCACGAAAATAAGAAATCAAAAAAATAGGACTATTTGATTCTTTTCATAGGGAATTCAGGAAATATTTCACTACAAGAAAGAGGGAAAACTGCAGTGCCCAGTGGCTTTAACGTTTAAGAAAATAAGTCATAATTTTAAATATGGTTGATGAGATTTGTATTTTATTAATTCGTTATTGGATTTTACATTTGCTTTATTGTTGTATTTTATATTCTACCTACTATACATTTTTCAGGTATTTAACATACTTACTTATATATACAGCATATAAATCATGTCTGATTAAAAATGTAAATGTTCCAATTGTATTTAACTCAGCTATTATAAAAACGATAAACGAATTGCTACAGAAGTGGATGTGTGTTTGTAGTTATAAAATAGGTCAGTATCTATTCTGCAATAATGTTAGAGCCACTTGGACACTATATTATTATATTTGCTCACAGTCTTTATCTTGATCTACTCAGATATATTTCTAACTTTTCCCTCGGTAGTACTGAACAATATTTTTTAACTTGCTACCATTGGACATTGGACTTATAAAATCAATGTTGCTACCTGCCCTATATTAAATAATAAGTTTTCTCTGAGGTAGTTAAAGTATACTGCCACATAAATTTAAAATCAATTTAATATAAACTGAAAATGCTGAGAGATACCCTATGGACAGTTTTAAATTAAATATATTCGTTCTGGCGAATAGCTCTGAAAACTCTTTCTATGCCGTCATAGATTAAATTTGGCAATTGCCTTTGTTAACCGTTCGACCGACAAAAATGTTCTAAGTGGTTGTCCAAGTCCAAGAAAATTTCTGAAAATTAAAAAATAAACATAGGTTATTTAACCTTCAGTTTGTAATTGCTCTTTGGGAATTAGGGGAAGTACTTATTTTCAGTTGTGAAATTGAAAAAAAGGTGAGCAACATACCGTTTTCAAAATGTAGTTCGTACGTATTATTTTGTATGTAATGATAAGATAAAGAATAAATGGGTAGTACAAGTAGAACATACAGTCGATGTGATTCAGAATATTTGTGTGAGTTTTTAGTAGGAAATCTTGAGGAAACCCTGATGATGGAGAGAAGAAATAGTATGCCACCTCTCGAATTGTCCTCCTATTTTGAGGCACGTACAAGTAAGAATGTTTTGTATACATCTGTTAGCAATTCAAATATTGTAAAACTGGGCAAAGAAGAGAAAGCCAAACGGACCAGGAGGTCCAGAAAGAACAAAACACCAAAGCAGGCTCCTGACAACGTGACAAACATGACACCGGTTATAAAAAAATTTCACAATGTGTCACAATCAAATTTCGAAACTACCCCGCAGAAACAGAAACCTTTAACAAATAAATGTACAGTGCAGACGCCAGTTGCACCAAAACAGAAACATATTGTTAAACAGCCAGCTGAGCAAGTAGAAATTAAAGCCAGTTTTACGGTTAAGCCTGTAGAAAGTCCCGAAACCGGTTATTTCTTAAGAAGACGAAATTCAAGGTATAAATACATTAATCTGAAGTCTTTCACAAGGAACATTAACAAGACACCATGTGTTTTTGTGTCTAACCTGACAACTCCCACGGACTTGGCTGCTAAATGTGAAAAATTATCCATATACGGTAAAAAGGACATGACAAAAGCTCAATTGAAGAGGTTCCCTCAAGGTTTGCGGCAGAATGAACCTACCCCTTCAACATCGGCAAAGCCTGTAAAGAGAAAAAAGAAAGAAAAGAAACCGATTACCTTCGAAGAGTATATAGATGCTGTTGCAGTCACTGAAAGGTTGAAAAAAGGTGAATTAGTAAAAGGTATTGTAAGAATTAACCCTAAGAATTTCAAAGACGCTTACGTTAGCAATGAAGATACTAGCCTGTCTGATTATTACTTAACTTCTGTTGTGGACAGAAATAGAGCTTTGGAGGGAGACGAGGTTATTCTGAAGATCAAGCCGAAAGATCAGTGGATGGATGGAAAGAAAACCGCCGCAGTCGTGTACATATCAAAATTGGTAAGTTTTTTGTATGCAATATCTGTGGCTCCTAACAGATCAGGACTCGGTTTACAAAAAATGTGTCACAATTTAATACTAAATAATAAAGCTAAATATAAAAGTTAAGAAAATACATAAATATGGTTTTAGTCATATTTTCTATGATTGTACTGAAAAGTGACGTTACTAAGAAAGAAGTTTTCTGTTGTTGAGGTGTGAAATATATTATATTAAGTATTATGATGCACTTTTGGTAAAAAATAACTTATGCTGACGAAACGTTTAGCAGATAATCTTCAGGACTACTATCACTTTTAAATTAATTCTCGTTTTTTTTGTCATTTTAAATCCTCAAGCTTTCAACTGAGTTAGTGTAAATTAATTAATTATTTATATTTCAACGGTGACTACAATTTACAATAGTTTATGGAGACACAAAATAAATACATAGAACAGCCGACTGACGGTTATGAACGAGATCTAGTGAACAGCTGAAATGAAAACAGGTACAATGAACTGAGCACAACTCTGTTACGAGCTGCATGTTCCAAACTGTAGTTATAATCCTATAACTTCTTTAAACACAGGTTCATCCCAGAATAAGCATCGGCGTATTAAAACCGTTGGAGAAAAAAAATTCAGAATTTGCCATGTTCTACCCAAGGGACAAACGAATACCACTTTTAAGGATACCGGCCATAAGTTGGCCCAATGGCTTCCAAGCGAATCCCAAGCAGTACGAAAAGATATTATTCGTAGCTAAAATTGTTGAGTGGAAGGTACCTACCCATGCCATAGGAATGCTTACGGAAAACCTTGGTGCCATGGGTGACTTGGGCGTGGAAACGATGTCAATTTTACGAGAATTCGACTTAGACATCACCCCGTTCAGCCCTTACGTGCTCGAGTGCTTGCCGAAATCGGACGAAATACCACAGAAAGAATTTGAGTATAGAGAAGACATCAGAAAGCAGTGTGCTTTTACTATCGACCCGGCCACAGCGAGGGATCTGGATGATGCTGTTTCGGTACGGGAATTACCTAACGGCAACTATGAGGTTGGCGTTCACATATCTGACGCTTCGTTTTACTTAGAAGAAGGTACAGAATTAGACCAAATGGTCAGTAAGAAGGCTACGACGGTCTATATGGTGCAGAAGGCATACCACATGTTGCCCATCGAACTATGTCTTATATATTCTCTCTTGCCGGGTCAAGACCGGCTTTCTTTCTCAGTATTTTGGGAAATGACGCAGAACGGCGACATTATCAGTAAACGGTTCACCAGAAGTATTATGAATTCTTGTACCCAGTTAGCATACGAGCACGCGCAGATGATTATCGAGAATCCAAACAAAGAATTCAAAGAGGAAAACTTCCCCACCATTCACAACGGATTTACGGTAGACGACTTAAGAAAAACCATAAACGTCCTACAAAATATCGCGGTCAAGCTAAGGGAACGTAGGATGCGGAATGGAACACTCAAAATCGATCAGGTTAAGTTATCGTTCAACTTGGATCCAAAAACTGGCGAGCCGCTCGATTTTTGGATATACGAGAACAAGGAATCACATAGATTGATAGAAGAGTTCATGTTGCTGGCTAATATTACAGTTGCACAGCGGATAAACGAGTATTTTCCGGATATAGCGTTTTTGAGATGCCACGAACCCCCTAAACAGACTATGTTGGTCGAGCTACAGAATAATTTAGCCACTTGTGGAATACACATTGATATCTCCTCATCGGGAGGAATTAACGCGTCAATGAAGAAGTATATCACGGATGACTATCCAGGTAAAAAACTTTTAAATATAATTTATTTGAATATATAATTTTTTTCCCGCATAAGCTATATTGAACACATTAAGAACATTAAAATCTGATTATTAACACCCTGTGGCCAGGAAAGTTGAGTTAAATATTTATTTTTCACAGTGAGAACATTCACCTTAACCACTCAATTATTCTTATACCAAGAATGTTTATAAACATACATTATTGTTTATGTTATATGTTTTAAAGCCTTGCTAAGTCAAAGTACTTGTATGTAAACAATATTTAGTTAGCCATGACTTCAAAACAAATGACTAACAAACACATTTTGAGTCTCCCTTGTTTTAGCATGGCATGACTTGATGTCGCACAAATAGTTTCAGAATTACAATAAAAATTACGTATATTGTTTATAGTATAAGGCAGACAAACTTTTTCCCTCAATTCACTACATTAAACTTAATTGGTTGTCGAACTATAAATATATATTAATTACATTAACTATTAGTGATTTTTCGCTATCAATATCTCCTTTATTAAACAGGGCAGTGCCGAGCAGCCGTTCTAAACCACATAACGGCCAAAGCCATGACGAGGGCACGTTACTTCTGCGCCGCCACGATGGAATCCGAGCTAGATTACAAACATTATGCTCTAAGCATCCCTATTTACACACATTTCACTTCTCCCATCCGACGCTACGCCGACATAATGGCACACCGTCTGTTGGCAGCTTCTTTAAGTACGACCGTTTATTTTCCTTAAAATTTCAAGATAAAACATATTTTTCTTTAGATTACTGCGAAAAACCTGCTTGGGATGCTGACTACGTCAAGGCCATTGCGGCAAATTGCAACGCACAAAAATACAATGCGAAAAGGGCGGGCGAAGCGAGTTGTGACTTGTACCTCGCTCACTACGTGGAGAAACATCAACCGTTCGAGCAGGATTGCGTCGTTGTTGATGTTAAAGAAAGATCCTTTGACGTTATCGTCTTGAAAACGGGCAGCATCGTACGGATTTATCAAAACGTAAGAGGAGTTTAATTTTATTTCAGGTGTGGACTAACGTTTTTAATTGTAGAGCTGCGAGGAAGGAACCACTTGGCAAACAGAGGTTATATCTAGCATGACCTCTGAGGTCAACGCAAGGAATGGTGAGAAGTCAAAGGGGGAATCTGAGAAGAGACTGTATAGGTTGAGGATTACTTTCCCGAAGACGAAACACTTTCCAGAATATGTACTTATCGTCGAGCTGTTTACTTCGGTGAAAGTAAATTTGATGCGGCAGAATTCTTATAAACTGGAAGGTACTTTACTGCGGCCAATAATGTCGCAGTCGTTTGCAAGGCAATAAGTAACTTTTAAGAACGGAATAAGACGGATTTTGATTATCATGTATAAAAAACGCTGTGTAAATAAATATTGATTTTATACATTTGATATACTTTATTTTCGGAAGAAAAAATATTGGGAAATAAATACTATTAAAATTATTTTTTATATTTTAAACCCCTGTTGGTCTTCATTTTTTTTTTTGCTAGAAGTGTAGAGAATTTGGTGGATATTTACAATAAAAAATAAATTTTAGTTTACTTGGTTTTTTCATGAAACATTTTTTTTTTACTTTTTCTTTGTAATTTTTATTTTTTACCTTTGTATCATACCCTTGTCATATCGTCTCAGGTGTAGAATCAACTGCAATATTTCAATCGGCACAATGATCAAGCATGTGCTGCTGCAAAACTATTGGTCACGCTTTTATACAGAACCCAACGTCGTATCCCATTTTCATTTGTTTCGCATCATTCACAGTTTAGTTTTGTGAAATTTGGCCATATTAGTCGTCGTGTTTTTTTTTTAACTACCTAGCCTTATGTTGCCAAATCACTTCAGGTGTGTGTAGTTAATCTAAGCCTACATCAATATTGAAGGTCACCGATATTCACGAACTAAACACGGTGCTTTAAAAATTTGAACGTTTTTACACATTTCAAATTGACGAGATTAGTAAGTATTTTTATTTATTTTTTATTATGTCCAATTTAGAAACGAATAAAAATAATTTTTTTAAACCTAAATAGTAACTTATGCCTATCCACATTCTAATTTTAGTTAAAATTTAATAAATCGTGCAAAAAATATTATTTTTTTTTAAATTCTCAGAAAACTTTTTAACGTTTGATGACTTTATCGCATATCGCAAATTCACACAAAAGCAACCTGTTTCAATGAAATTATTTTCCATTCTTTTCAGTTTTGCCCACTGCCACTCAGTTTTATGCAGTTAGTTTAAAGAGATCACGATAAAAGGCAACACTGGTAAGCTTGCACATTCAACAGAGTTCAGATGGTACAGACAAGTACCATTGAATTCAAAAAATGATTTATAACTTGTACTATTTGTGAAAACTGATCCCCGCTTAAGGTTGTTCCCTGTATATTTAATGAATTTATATAATTGGCTCAACATTTCTTATTTTGATTCGTTTAATTTGGTTGGGACGGAAAACTCAAAATCGCAACTAATTCAGTTTTAAAAACTTATAATAAATAATTTTTACAGCACCTAACTTTAAAATATACAGTTTAATTAAAAAAAATTCAATACAAACTTAAAAATCATTCTCTCAGGATATTACAAGCTATTTTTACCGCGTTGTTGTTACGACTTATACCTAAACTTTGAAGATAATTTCTGAATCGATTCCTTCGTTTCGTGTTATTTGCAGCTCTACGACTTTCCGACCTGGATATGTCCCTCAAGAAAGGCATGTAATCTGCTGCAATCGATCTTCTTTCGATATACGTTGACGGAGGTAAGGCTTCTAGGAAGACGTCTTCACATACATGCATTTTTGCTCTCCACCTGAAATTAAGCAAAATATTTATATATTGGCCAACTTCAGTATTTCTTTTAATTAGATGTAGGCAGGGTGTATACCAAATTTTCATCAAAATATTTTTTCAAGTAAAAAGTTAAAATTTCCCAGGTTAAATTCTATACCAATTTAATTACCTTATTCCAATAGTTTTTGCTTCTAATACCAAATAATTGCACGCTAAAAATACTTAGTGATTTTTTGTTTGGGGTAAATAGCATTGTTTTAATCAATCAAATTTAAAGTATAAAAATTTTGAAAAATTTTAATTTCTGTCTAAATTCTAATAGTATTAATTTAGATTTCTAAATGAAATCAAATCAGTATTAAAAGAAATTAAAAAGTAGAAACAATGTCGGTCTTTTTGTTTCAGTTTTCCATATGCTTTTATTTGTAACATGCGTTTTCCTTTATTATTTTAATTAGAACGCACATTTTTTATATGATAAATGTTGTTAGACTTTTTCCAATAGTAGTTCTTAATAATTTAACTGATACGACATCTACAAATTTTGCAGTTTTGGCATTATTTACCAAAAATTGTTACCTTTTAACTAACAATATTGTGGGGAATAACTGCTTTGCGTGTTACAAGTCCTTGTCACCGTTAAATTATACCCCTAATCCCCAATATCTAAATATTTGTCAGGAGAATTAGCAGATAATTTGATTTGGATGAGCATAATAACCTATAAAGTATATGTCAAATATTAAATGTCATTATAACTTCAAACCTACTCTGTGCCAGTAGATACAAAACAATGCATTGTGTTAGTAGGCTTCATGGCACAGACTAAAAGTAGGCGTTGTGTAACAATGACATTCTAGTTGTGACGTATATTTTGTGGGTTACGTTACGTTTCACCCATATAAATGGGAAATGGGCAACTTGCATTATATTTTTTTAAATATCTAGAAATAATCTGTAACCTTATTTAATTATGTAGTGTAAATATTATAAATTTATTAGATTAAGTTTAGCGTGTAAAAAGTTTCAAACCGGCATTTGCTACCGCGCTAATTCGTGACGTCATTTAGTGTGATCGATAATCAAGATAAATGATAGGGACAGGGACACACCGACAGCATAAACATAGTAAGTAACAAAAAAAACAGCCAGATTCACTTTTTGCGTTTCTTTAGATTACGTGTTCTTGATCAAATTTTTGCATAGTATTAAACATCTATAATTAAATTGTGGCATTAAAGAAATAAAATTTTTTACTACTATTAGCTGTTGGTTATAGATTACAAATTAATGTAGATTTAAAAGAAATTAAATTTTTATACAAGTTGCCTCTTTTTACTTTTTAATTTTACTTTACATATACTTTGTTTAATCAGAATTTTAGTCAAAAAACAAGAAACAACAATAGAAAAATCAGTAAATAGCTTTGTCTGGTCAAATTATTGCAAACTTAATTATAAGAAAAAATATATATTTTTTTTAGAAAATATAAAATGCTAAAACGTATGTACCTTCTTTCTGCTTTTTCAGGCATTGCAATATCCAACACAGGTTCGGTTTTCTCAATATTATTAAATTCCTCCACATAACCGTTCATTAAACTGTGAGTGATTTCGTGCACAAAGTCCTTGTAACCATCGTAACCGTCCAAAACTTCACCCAACTCTAGACTGTCTTTAACTGTTGCACTAAAATTTTTCACATCGGGCTCCAAATTTGAATGGTGAGTCACAGTCCTAAACAAAACATCTGTATATGCTAAAGAATCGTAGAGTTTCGATAACGAGTCTAGCTTTGTTTTCTCGATCGAACTTAATTTTTTACTTCGAATCTCAGTTACCGCTTTTTCGTCACCCTTGTCAAGTTCAAAGTGGTTTTCTTTGAATTTCTTAATCCGATCTTCGGAAAAGCTTGGGATGTGGAGGATATTCGGTATATTCCACCACAACAAACCTAAATTTATATAATAAGGCACTGTGTATGGCTTATGATGCTTGAAGACTTCAAAACTTCTAATACAGTCTGAGTGAACAAAAATTTGTTGAGTTTCTTTGCCATTCTCTTCCAAGCAAGGTTCTTCCTCGTCATCTGCTAATTTTCCTTCCATGGATACGACTTCGGCTTTCGTTTTTATTGGTAATTTGTCTCGAATAATTTGACCACCGGATTGTACCCAAAACTGCAATTGGAGCAATGTTTTTCTGATGTCTCCCTTGTTAAACTCCAAAAGACTGCCGACGTCACCTTGATTTACGAAGAGGCCTTCCACCAAACATACTATTTGCAACCACGTGGCGAGGGATTGTGATGAAAGCGGTAAAAACGAAATATACTGGTACTGGCTTATGAATTTCTGAATGTACACGGAACTAGTGTCGGTTGTAGTAAGAATTACCGGCCTTTTGCTGCTACCAACCAATTGACTAAGAGCTGAAATAAAACCGTCGTCTTGTTCGAAAACTACGTCCACATCTTCTATGAGTAGCACACACATCTTCTTGTAGGTTTGTTCTTTGTCTTCCTTCGACTCGAAAATGTGCTTTTTCTTGCGCACTTGGTGAGACTGCGTTGCTTCTTGCAGCTCCTGAAGTAAACGTTTGCCCGTTCGCTTACTTGAAGCATTCAGCTCGATAACATTAAATCCTAGTTCGTTGCATATCGCGTAGATGGCGGTGCTTTTTCCGCTTCCACAAGGTCCTCCTACCACGATGGTGTTGTCAGGTAATTTCGTGCTGTCCCTGCTGTCACAGTCTGTCGTATCAAACTCGGAATCACTGCAGTACTCCTTTCGTTTCTTTTTCTTAGAGTTGATTTCCTCACTGAAGTTTTTCCAGTATTCCAGCCACTTTTTCAGGGTTTTTACGCCTTCCATGTTGCCAATGATGTCTTCTGAACAGCTCGGTTTGTATTTATCAGTCCACATTGCGTGTTCGGTGGAATCGCTTTCTGGTTTAACGTCGTTGATGATTTCAATACTTTTATCTAATTTTTTACCATGACCCTTTTTAGTTTTTTTGAGTTCTAACACACTTTTCTCTTTTTTCTCGCTTTTTTTACCACTTTTCTCGTAAATTAGTCTAAAAGACTTGTACACGGGGTAGTTGGGATTGTCCAGTTTAATTTTGTTCAACAGCGCTTTAAGTTTATCGATCTTTTCCACTTCTTTTTGGATATTTACTGAACTGGTGATGCGGCTGTTCGTTAAACTAGCACACATTACTACCTTTCCTATCTTTAAAGGCGAACAAACTTTTAAGTCTAATTGAGGCGATGAAAGGTCCCAAAATGAATGTGTTTCACACCTCTGTTGAACGTGGCTTATGGAAGGAAAAACATCGTACTCTTTTTCTTCGACACTGCAACGTTTATATATATTATTTACAACTAAATATAAACAAAGCAAAAACTTTGCTTACCTTTGCTGTTTTTCTATAGTTCTCTTCAGGGAATCCGGAATACCACTCATTAAAAACTTCTTTCGCGCTTCGACAATTTCAGGGGCAAGCTTAGGTTTAGGGGTTGCTTTGGTAAATACTGGGGCTACTTTAATTGGCTTTGGTGTCTCTTTCTTCTTATTATTTGAATCTTCATCCAAGCATACAACTTCATTGTCTTCTGATGTTTTGTTCAGTTTTTTTCTTTGAGAATGAATCAATTCTCCTTAAAATACATTCTTATAGCATTATTAATTAAAAAAATTATATATTACTTACCCTCACTGGAACTTTCGTCTGCAAAAAGCTGTCCGTAACCGGATATTCTTTTAGATCTTTGAGGTCTTTTTTGTTTAGGATCTTCTTCATGGTGATCGTTTTCATTATTTTGGTTATTCATTTTTATCTTAATTTTCCATGATTTCAAAGAACGAGGTGTGAAACTACCATCTCCATCATTTTTAGTTCCATCTTTAGGAATTTTAGGCGATTTTGAATTTTTTGACGATTCTTTAATACACCTCTGTTGCTTTTTCTTTTTTGACCTCTTATGTACCTCATTGCTACTTTCCTCTGCAATACTATTTTTTAAAGATTTATCTACTGTTTTTTCAGTATTTAAATTTGACTTTATTTTCTTCTTTACCTTAGATTTGTTTAATTTTATTTTAACCACCTCTTTCTCTGTGACATTTTCAACTCCATCTACAGTCGACGAATTCTTTGATTTATTCACAACACCAAAAAAGTTTAACAGGCCTTGTTTAGATTCTCTCCTTTTTGATTCATTGAGAACCTTATCTTGAACATTTTCTTCAATAACTTCTAGAATTGAATTAGTTAAAATTTCATTCGAATCTTGAATTATCACGGAATCTTTAGTATCCTCAGAGGAGCTAGTTGAAATTCTTCTGGATCTCTTTCTTCTCTTTTTTCCAACATCGTTCTCGACATCTTTTAACTCATCAATTTTCAGTAACTGTTTCATTCGTTTTGCACGTTTTTGTAATTTATAACTGATCATCTCTTCCTTTTCTTCTTCCTCTCTCTTTCTTTTTATAGCACCCTTCTTATTTGACCAATTTTCAAAGACTCTTTTTCTAGCTGAAAGCACTTCTTTATGTTCCATTTCGTCACTTGTTTCGAGGTCATCTACCGATTTGTCCTTTCCAGATGAATTCTGACCTATACTCTTGTTTCTGCTTTCCATCATGAACTGAAATGCGTTTACCTTCTTCTGCGAAATTTGATTTCTCGGCAAGTTGCAAAAACTTTTATCCTCAACAATTACAATCTCACCAAATTCTGCAGTTACATTATTTTTATCAATTTCCTCCATTACGACTTTTTGTTTTTGTTCAAAGTTTTCTGTTTGTAATTCTGACTGAACAGTGAAACTAGTATTCGGAGAAACTATACACAAACTATTAGAAAGCAACTCCACTATATTTTTCACCGCAGGATCAGAAGGTTTATGCTTATTTTTCTTCTTTCTGTTTTTCTTCCCATTTTGAACATTTATAGGATCAGAATTTTTTACTTTTTTCTCACTGTCACTGCTTTTACTTATTTTGCTTTTTAGGGCTACCGAATCTGGATCTTCCGAGGTTGTATTAGTAGTTGTAGTACAAAGATAATCGGAAAGATCCTTCATTATGTTGTTAACATACTACATTCACGATATTGTCGAGTTATTTCTTGAAAATATAAAAAATAAATAGTATTTATTAATAATACGATTTATGGCGCCAATACTTCTTATTTAAGTTAGGTTAAATGGAAGTGGCAAAAATTCCATAAAAAATGTGTAAAGGATTATGGGATTCGTACAAAAATTTGCCAATTAATTATTATTAATTACTGACATCATCAGATCAGATTCTTGTAAATACTTGTCATAAACATTGCTTTTTTTACACAAAATGTTTTTCCTTCTAATTATATAGGTAGTTAGAATTGATACTTTAAGCACTATCACTTCCAAATTCAGTAACATTTCACGGTGTTAGGTTGAACAAAAATCGTCCATTTTAGAAACGTCAAATTAGTGTCAAAACACATAAGATTTTTAGCCTGTTTTTTTACGGTACTTTTTTGCTAAAAAGAGTACATTGAAAATGTGTTACAGTGTTTGTGAAACAACGATTCATCCTGTGAATTGGTGATGTTATTATTTGTGGTATACAACCATTATTTAATGGTCAAAGATCTGGATTAAACGTCTACAGTTAGCTGAAGGTAAATCAAAAATCACTAAAGTCCGTGAGTAAATCGTACATTTCAGGTTCGTACTTTGTTTCGACATCCACACGGCTTTGTGAAAATTAGGCATTTTTACGGAAGTATAATCTAAGTAAAACAGCAAAATGTAAAAAAAAATTATCATCAAAAAGTCAAGGTTAAAATACAAGGTGTTATTTTACCCTGGTTGTAATCACATTTACCTCAATTCCTAGTCCTATTTGCCCTTGTGCTAAGTGTTCAAGTGGTTGATTAAATTGGCGAGCGACACAGGCAGAGCAAAGGACCGCTGAATTGCGTAGTTTTGTTGGTTGTTGTATAGTTTGATCTGACCAAAAATGTCGCGTAAACTTCCTACGCGCACCACAGTAGAAAAGTGGATTCACGATTTTCCCGAACTAGAATTCAACGGCATCGATTTACATTGCAAGGTATGTCAAACGGTGTTGTCTTGGAACGTTAAAACACGCATTAAGGAACACATCGCTACTGAAAAACATAAAGCTCACATACAAGGTAACCGAAGTGTGAGAGAAAGTCAAAAACAATTTAATACTGACTTGGTGAAAATGATGGTAAGCTGCAACATGCCGTGGAACACCCTGGACAATCCAGTGTTCAGAGAGTTTTTACAAAACTGCATTGAGGGAAAATACAACAATGTTAGTGTGCCCGCGGAAGGAACTGTAAGAACACGTTATCTATCACCGGCCTGCGAGGAAATTCAAGCAGAGGTTTTATCTGAACTGCGTGACAAAAACGTGTGGGTTACCGTTGATGAAATAGTTGATGCGGCTGATAGGAATACTGTACACGTATTAGTTGGTGGGATGCAAGAAACTGGGCCGATGTCGGCACGGTTAGTTGCCTCAAAAGTTCTGGATGAGGCGAGTCCAGAGACAATATCTGAATGTGTCCATAGCGGTCTACGAAAAATATGGGGCAACGACTTGGATAAAAATCGGGGAAGTGTGTTACTTTACATTACTGACTCCTCTCCCTATATGAAGGTATCTGCAGATTACTTAAAAAATGTATATAAGTACGAAAATTTATTACATGTAACTTGTTTAGCACACGAACTCCACCGTATTGCAAAAACAATTAGGAGCTGCTACCCTACGATAGATAAATTAATAGCCAGTATGAAGAAGACGTTTTTAAAAGAGCAGTCTCGAAGGAAACTGTTTCAAGAAGAACTCCCGCATATACCGTTACCACCAGAGCCTGAGGATGTGCGTTGGAGCACCTGGTTAGAGGCGGCAAGTTACTATTATGTTAATTTTGACGATATAAAGCGGATGATTGACACATTAAATGCAAACAACACACTTTCTCTTTCACACACTCAGCAGGTATTTAGTGATCCAACTGTTCGTGAAGATCTGAAGTATATCCACAGTCATTTTTCGAGAGTGTATTTGTCAATGAAAACTCTTGAGAATACAACTACCTCGCCTGGGTATTCGCTGGTTAACGCACTAAATGTTATATTTGACTTACGGCACTTTGTTTGTCAGTTATCAGGACCTGTTGCCGAACGCGTCAGAAACAAATTTGAAACTGTTTTGGAAAGTAATTCTGGATTCCCTACACTGTGTGCTATCGTTAATCTCCTAACAGGTAAAGAAGTGGACTTTTCTCAACCTGGTATAAATGTGCCTTCATTGAAAAACTTCACGTATTTTAAATATGCTCCTATTGCCTCTGTGGGAGTCGAAAGGTTGTTTTCCTCCTACAAATATGTTTTTAATGAAAAGCGGCAAAATATAAAGCCCGAACATCTAGAACTCTTGCTCTCGATTTTTTTTAACTCGAGAAATGACTAGTGTGTGGTGCTGCGCATCCACTGTTCTTGTTTGGATATTACACATTTTTTAATTAGAGGTAATGCATCGTTTCCACAGCGTACGATTTACTCTCAGGCACATAGTTTATTTGTACAAGTAACCTTGTACTTTTTTCCTACAGCGTAAAATCAAACGATGGATACAGAAGTGTCAAATGCCGACATATGCAGAGTCTGCAGATCGGAGGGCGTAGCGGACCGTCCGCTCTTCCATCCTTGCATATGCACAGGAAGTATAAAATGGATTCACCAGGAGTGCTTGATGCAGTGGATGCGCTATTCCCGGAAAGAGTACTGCGAACTGTGCGGGCACAGGTTCTCTTTCACGCCCATATATTCGCCCGACATGCCGCGTAGGCTGCCCCTCAGGGACTTGACCGCCGGGCTTTTATCCTCCATAGCAACCGCCGTGAAGTACTGGTTGCATTATACCCTGGTCGCCACCGCCTGGCTCGGGCTGGTACCCCTGACGGCGTGCAGAATTTACAGGTGAGTAAAAAGTAACAAATGTTTTTGACTGTTCCTGAAAATTTTCGAATTTAATCTCATAAATGTGTATAATTTATTGGTAAATAAAAAAAAGTGTTTCACTGTTTCCATTTGTAACGTTTATTGGAATAACTAAACTGAAAATTGTAACGTGTTAATCCTACTTGTACGCTTATGACACTCACTGAGACGACTAGAAACTTACACATGGTGAGATGTCAAGTAGCCGCTTTTTGTACAAAATATGCAAAAATCTGTTTGTAACAATAAAGCACTATGCGAAATGAACAACACATTCCAGTTTTCGTGCAGAAGATACATAAAAGTATTTCATCAAATTCAGAACTATTAAAAATAGTGCAAAATTTACAGATGAAATAAAAATGTGCTTTTGACAGAGGAAGATGTGAAAATAACCCACAACTTCTTGTTTTCAGAGCGCTTTTCACCGGCACTCTAGATGCGATCCTAACGTTGCCTTTCAACATCCTTTCGACGGAAAACATAGCCGCCGACATTTTTCAAGGTTGTTTTGTGGTGACTTGTACACTTTTTGCTTTCGCCGGTTTGGTGTGGTTGAGGGAGCAGATCTTACACGGTGGGGGCCCGGATTGGATGCAGAGGGATAATATCGTGCCTCAAGCGGAGGATCCGCCTCGGGTCCTAGATAATATACCGGAAGAGGGTGTGGACGATGCCGATGGGGATAATGTGCCAAGAGCGGGTGAGTTATTCCAACGTGAAAGTAATACTATGTCAAGCTTTTAGTGAGTCACCAATATAAATGTTCTAATACGTGTAATTTTTGTAATTTGTAGAATTTGATATAGTTTATATTGTGCGACAGTTTGGCGCAAAAGCAATAATACATTTTTAGTGGTATTTTGAATTCAATATCACGATAATTTTTATCTGTTTTTGTAAATACTTTTTTCGGATATTTCTTTTTTTCTAATTTCAAAAATCAATTTCAAATTCCGTTGTAAATTTTTCATTGTCTTTCTTTGTGCTTTTGTTTTTTTCGTTTTATTTATCTCTTTTCACGAGATGTGGTTAGTCATACTTTTTTTGTGTGTACATTTCCATCTTTTTGTTTTCTCTTTTGCCGTGTTAAATAATCACAGTTTTTCAAGAAACTTTTTGGAATCATTGTTTTCATTATATAGTAATTATATCCACTCTAAATGTTCGCCTGTAATACAGGGTGTTTGGTGAGTATCTACTAACCTCTTAGGAACGTATAGAAGGTTTCAAAATGGTGCTAGAGCATCCTATAATATTTTTCCTAGTGATCCTATTGACGGAGGTATCAAGCTGCAAAAGGGTACCTAGAAATTTTAAACCACCTTCTAATTTAAAGGGAAAAAAAATTATAAAGGAAAGTAGTGTTATTTTAACCTTCCCTGTACGCTCCCGAGAAATTAGTAAATACTTATCGCACGCCCTGTAGACTAAAAAAAAATTGTTATCGATTCCAAAGTTTACGTGAGGGTGGATATTTCACGAACGGTCGTTACAACACCACCTCAATCACTTTCCTTTGCTTCGTATAGAATGGTTGAGGGAACAGGGCCCCGAGTGGTTGGCAGGCAACAACGCTGCGGCACAGGCCCAAAATAACGTGCAGCCGCAGGAGCGTGGCGATTACGCTAATGTCCAGGCGGACGTGGCGGGGAGATGGGCTGGCGAGGGCCACGATTGGCTGCAAGGTGATAACGCTGCCCCCCAGGCTGCCGAGGGCCCCCCTAACATTCCGCCGGAGCGTGGGGATTATGTGGAACATGAATTGCCAGGTGCAGGTGCGTTACGTTGCATTATTGGTTTTTATATTTGGTTACGGGTAAAGCGAGGTGTATATTTTCGGTGCTCGGGAATAGGGTTTCGTTTTATTATTAGAGTTTGGCCTGTAATCGTAATAGATATTGAATTCTTGAAAAATTTATATTTTCCACGAGGTGTTTGAGATTAATTGGCTAAACTTAGAATTTGACTTTGGGCGGTGAAAATGAGAAATATTCTGCAAAGAACATCGCTGATAAGGCTCTTTTTTCAAAAAATAGAAGAAATCTACATAAAAATTTGTTTATTTATGGAGCTTTGCTGCTTTTTACCTTTAACTGTTGATTATATCTGGATTTAATGAATTTTTAATTTAAAATACATAAATAATTAGCTTAAAAGGTTGCAAGTTTGTCTATTAAAAAAACTTTTTTATATAAAATTTGGTATTGTTTCGACTATACATTTAATCTTTCACATCATTATTCCGTAATAAAGAATAATCTTAAATTGGTAAAGATAATAAAATTGCATGTTTATTAGACTGGGCCAAAAAAATCGCCAATTTTTTTTTTGAAAGATATATCGAGAATATCATTCAGAATGACGAAAAAAAATATTGCGAGAGTTTGAGCTCTTATTAGTCTATCATCCACAGTTTCGATTTTTTATTCCTGATCCCATTTTTACGTCAAAACTGCCAAATCATCGAGGTAAAAAAATGTATGCCGAAAATTTTCAATCAGATCTTTTTTGTAGGGCATTCAATTTTCTTCAAAAATATAAGTAGATAATTTTTTTTGCCTTGATGGTTTGGCAGTTTTGACACAAAATGGGATCAGGAATAAAAAATCGAAACTAGCGATGATAGACCTCTTAAAACTAATATTAAGAACTCAAACTCTCACGATATATTTTTTTTGTCATTCTGAATGATATTCTCGATATATCTTTAAAAAAACTAGTCGATTTTTTTGACCCAGTCTAATGTTTAGAGTAAAAATCAAAGTATAGTTTTTATTTTACTGATAAGATTTTCTTTATTATGGAATAGTTTCAATAAAGGCTAAATATACAGACTTTGAATGGGGGTGATATTTATATCGAGGCGACCTTTAATCTTTAGAAACACTTATAAGTTTGTTTTCTCAAATGTCGAAAAAGTCTTGTTTTTATGAATTGTTTTAAACCCACAAATTTTGGGACTCACATTTAAGGAGATGACACAATGCTAAATAATTATCCCAAGTTTCATCTCTTTTTCCTCAAATATCTTCAGAAAATGTAATTAATTTTTTTCAAATTTCAATGTCCCGAAAGCATTTTTGAACATTTCTTTGCATCTTTTTTCTTATTTTGACCACTCAAATTCAGTTTAGCCACTGAAACACTCGATATGTTAGATCCAGGAATAATTTGTTTAAATACGAGTAATATTGCAGCCGGCGCGCCACTGGAAGACCACCAGGGCCAAGTGGAAGGCGACGCCAACGTGGGCGAAGACAACAACTGGATCCCGATGGAATGGGACCGCGCCGCCGAAGAAATAACCTGGGAACGCCTCCTAGGCTTGGACGGCTCCCTTATGTTCTTAGAACACGTCTTCTGGGTCATTTCCCTGAACACCCTCTTCATCCTAATATTCGCCTACTCCCCCTACCACATGGGCCTGCTAACTTTATCGCTATTCAGCATGAGAGAGACGGCCTCTGCGAGCCATTTCGAGGGTCTCCTCACTACCCTCGTCGGCTATTGCTCCGTCGGTATATGGTTCGTGGTGTTGCACAGGATCGCCGGCTGGCTAGGCTTCAACAAAGCGAAGAGGGTCCTCGGGTTGTGCTACGTGGTGGTGAAAGTATCCCTGTTGAGCGTCGTAGAGATAGGAATCATACCGTTGGTGTGCGGTTGGTGGCTGGACATCTGTTCCTTGGCGATGTTCGACGCCTCGCTGAAGGATCGAGAGGCGAGTTTCAGTTCCGCTCCCGGCACCTCGATATTCATCCATTGGCTCATCGGGATGGTCTACGTTTATTATTTCGCTTCGTTTATCTTGCTTCTGCGTGAGATTCTACGTCCGGGCGTGCTATGGTTCCTGAGGAACTTCAACGATCCGGATTTCAGCCCCATCCAGGAGATGATCCACCTGCCCATCTTGGAGCACATCCGGAAACTGCTCATATCCGCTGTGATCTTCGGCAGCGCCGTCTTGCTCATGCTCTGGCTGCCCATTCGCATCCTGAAGATGATTTTGCCCAGCTTCCTGCCGTACACGGTCTCTCTCAACAACGACACGCAGGTTAACGAGTTGTCGTTGGAGTTGCTTCTTCTCCAGGTGATCCTGCCCGCTTTGCTCGAACAGTCGCACACTAGGATCTGGCTGAAGGGTTTGGTGAGGAACTGGTGTAAGGTGGTGGCGTGGATCTTGAACATCCATTCGTACCTTCTCGGCGACGGCGACGGGAAGCAGAACAGGGAAGAGGGGCAGAATGGTAACGGAGCGGGCGGGAACGCCCCCGAGGCCGGTGCTGGGTTGGGGGCAGTGCATCAGGCGCTTTTGATGATGGAACCGCCTACGGGTAAGCGTATTATGTTTTCTTTTTTTTTTTTCAGTTGAGTTTTTTATATTTTTTAAGCAAATAATTTTTCAGTATGTTTGAAAACAGTATTTTCCAAAATTTTTGGGGAAAACGGGAGAAATTCTGCAAAAAGCTAAATTTCAATTGTATTTTTGCTGTAATTAATTTTTTTTTAACATTTGTTGATATGGACGCTTTTAATTATATATACAGGGTGTGTACCAATCTGGAAAACAGGGAATTGTCGAAAAATTTTCTAATCTTGGGAAGTTCGGGGATTCCTCAAAATTTCATGGAATTTTTTTTTATATTCCAGCTGTAATTAATTCTTGTTTATGAGTTAGCCAAAGCCAATATGAATAATAATGCATTTTTTTAAATATACAGAGTAGGCTGATTTAAATAAAATCGACTATTTTTTTTTAAATCCCCTCCGAAATAGATTCAGGGAGGTGAGAAGAGATGCCTGTAGAAATCGAAACGCTTAATATTAATATTTGAAGGTCGTGCGTCATGATTTTCTATTTTCTAGTTAAATAACGTGGGAAAAATTATTTTTCATCAACCACGGATTTAAATGACCGAAACGTATTCTTGAACGTTTTACAAAAAATTTCCCTTATCATTTTTTGATAAACCTACTGGTACAAAAGTTATTCTAATTCAAAGTTAAATTTACCTTATAATTACACTTTTTTCTCCAGTTTCAGGTAAAATGATTAAAGTTATCATGAAATATTATTAAAAAAAAGCATTTAAAAGTCAAAATTGATAAGATTATCAAGTCTTTGAAATTAATATCACTGAAAAACTCACCATTTCTGGGAAGAATCAATTAAAATACTTTTTATTGTATTAAATAATATTTGAAATTTTTTAAAATTATTTCTTTATTAATGATAAATGACTTTTCGGTTCTGATTGTTTAAAATTTTCCACTATGGATGGATATTATAATATTTAATGTACAATGATTTTTCTGACTATTATGCCATTGCTTATGTACCAGGTCGCCCCTATTTGCAGGCTTAGTTAGGAATCTTTGATCAGTTCTTGTTCTCGGGTTAGGCTATGTGGGGGCAGACTCGCTATCATAACCCAAAGGTCCGCCCCGATATTCATTTCAGTTTTTATTCTAAAGAGGTAAAAGCTTCACTGCGACTGCAATTGAAAAAATTCAAGTATCATTTGGGAAAGCTTTAAGAAAATTACTAATTTAAAAGATCAATATCAAGATAATAATTTTGTAACAAATGAAAAAATAATTGATGATATTTTAATGAACATTATATTGAAAAACTACAGAAATTAAGGATTATATGATAAGGCTGTAAACAAAAGAGCACCAGAAATAGATGACATTAGAACTGAAATTATAAAAGATATTATATTGTTGATGAAATTATCCTCTTACATGTTCTGGTAATTTTAAAATTGCGACATCCATTAGAATATAATATATGTGTAAGTATATCAGGAACACTTGTCAAACCAATAATATTAACTAACTACAGTTGCAAAGCTTCTGTGAGGATTATTGTTAGGGATCGACCAATATACGATTTTTGGCCGATACCGATAACACAGCCACAGACAAAAAAAAGTTGTCAGTACTTTTCTGTGACACATGTTACCTTTAGTATTTTTGTCTCCTGATCACGAATCCGGTGTCAAAATTGAGCTATCATATCACAGGAATTTCCTAACCTCAAAAAACAGGTCAAAAATAGCAAAAATTCACGAAAACGTGATAGGAAAAATACAAAAAAATTTTTTTTCTATATTCAAATGTTCATTTATATGGTTAAGGCTCTGCCGGCCGAGACTCCGCGGTCAAAATTGATGGTTGTTTTTCTAACCTCAAAAAAACAGTACAATTAAGGCCAGATATCACGAATTTTCAAAAAATAACAGATTCGCGCTAAATTTGGAATATGGGGGTTTCGGGGTCGCTGATCACGAATCCGAGGCCAATTTTGCAAAATTCAAGATGGCGGATCCAAGATGGCAGATCAAATTTTCAAAAAATAACCCATCCGCGCTAAATTTGGTATACGGGGGTTTTCGGGGTCGCTGATCACAGATTCCAGGTCAATTTTGCAAAGTTCAAGATGGCGGATCCAAGATGGCAAAACAAATTTTCAAAAAATAACATTCGTGCCAAATTTGGTATATGGGGGTTTTTGTGGGGTCGCTGGTCACAGATCCGAGGTCAATTTTGGAAAATTCATGATGGCGGATCCAAGGTGGCCGAACAAATTATAAAAAAAAAAAAAAATCCCCGCAAAATTGGGAAAACGGGGGTTTCCGGGGCACCGAATAAGAAATCCAAGGCAAAAATAACAAAATCAATTTGGAAAAATTTTGGTTAACTCAAAAACCGAAGAACCAAACAAGGTTTTAACCTTCTTAAAGTACATAGCTAATTGGTTAAATTTTTAAAAACGAATTTTGTAAATCTGACACCGGATTCGTGATCAGAAGGCAAACATAAGTAATTATTCTTTGGATTTTTTCTGCTAAAAATAATAAGTACTAATTACTGTTGCATTTTATCTCATTTATCATTTATTTTAGCTAAAGAATGATCTGCCTGGCACTTTTGTACAAATAAATTATGTATTTTTACTCAGATTTTTAAAAATATTTTGTATTAAAAATGTATATAATATATGTATCAGTATTATCGACCTACATATTGGCCAATACCGATAATGGGCCAAAGAGGCCTATACCGATATATGTATTGGTATAGGTCGATCCCTAATTAATGTATCATTTACAATAAACTATTTCTACTATTATATTGTTAATATTTATGTAGGAGATTGGTGATCATTGCAAAATACAAATTGATATAAACTTTTAATTTTCTCAACTTTTTGAACCTGGAAAACCTAGAAATAAGGTAATGTTTTGATCAAAATTTGGTATACACCCTATTACTGTACTATTTTAATTAACATTAACAGATCTAACGTTTTTTTTTCAGGATTTCAACCCTACCAACGCCCATCCTTCTTCATTGCCCGACTCGTCGGCCTCTTGATCGCCGTCTGCATCTCCCTCATAGTGTCCAGCCTCATGGCCCTCACCCTGCCCGTCTGGCTCGGCAGACGTGTCATGGCTCTCTGGCTGGTGGGGGCGCCCCCTCCCAGCCCCCAAATCTCCGCCAAGGACACTCAAACCGAGGTCAAAGTCCACGAACTCTACACCGCCGCCTGCGGGCTTTACCTGTGCTGGTTAGCGGCAAGGGCAGTAACCTTAGTCCTCGGGTGGTTGCCGCAAGGTCGGCAGGCCATGGTGGAGCGCCTCAAGCAATGGTGCATCCTCGGGGCTAAAACTATCGTCGCGAGCACTATTCTCCTCGGCGTTATACCTTTGCTGTTCGGTTTGTTGCTGGAGTTGGTCGTTATAATACCGTTGAGGGTGCCGATTCATCAGACGCCGATCTTGTTCATCTGGCAGGACTGGGCGTTGGGCGTTTTGTACACGAAGATAGCCTGCGCCATAACGATGATGGGGCCCGATTGGTTCCTTCGGGCGGCGATCGAACGGGCGTACCGCGACGGCATCCGCGACATGAACCTTACCTTCATCTTCAAGGAGCTGGCCGCACCGGTTATCATCAGCTTCGGGTTGGCGCTGTCCATACCCTATGTCCTGGCTTACTCCGTCGTGCCGATATTCGTCGCCAACTTACAAATGAGGAATTTCATCGCCAGGAGGATCTATCCGTTCCTGCTTCTGCTGTGCATCCTCGTCGTGATCGTGTGTCTCCAGATCAGACAGTTTAAGAAGCTGTATGAACACATCAAGAACGATAAGTACTTGGTGGGGCAGCGGCTCGTTAATTACGATCACAGGAAAAAGACGCAGGCGGCGAACTAGGCGTCGGTGATCGCTAATTCTCTAAAAGGTTGTTTCGAGTATTAAGAATTTCAGGTTTACATTTTTTAAGGTTCTGTTTTCTTAGTGAATGTTCCACCTTTGTACTGCAGTGTTCTTGAGAACGTCAAGAGAATAAAATGGAAACGCGAGCAAAGTTTTTCTACACGTGATTTTAGGGTTATAACCTGAAATTAGGGCTGTTTATTGGTTGAATTTGAAATTCCACCATGAGTTTTTAATTTCAACCAATCATCTGCTCTAAATTCATTCATGATCTGAAAATTTAGGAGTCTATGATTTCATTTGTTTAGATTTGTTTGGGAGACATAACCTCACATTATTTCAGTTTTCAGTAGAATCTAACCTGTAGCTTGTTTATGTCATCTAGTCTTTGATGGTGTAGTTTAGTGCTGTTTTTAGTTAAAAAAAAGGTGGTGGTGCTGTAGTATTTTTCCACCAAGATAGCACGGGCACGGAACTTTCTGAGAAAGTGGCAATTGGCTGTGACAATTGTAATTAGCAGTGTTATGTGATAAACGTGAATAAAGTATAATTTTACTTAAAACAAATCTTCTTGCATAAATTCCTAGTTTTCTTGTAAGTTTTTGACAGTATTTTTATATAAAAATAATATTTTCCCACTGTTTATAAAAGATAAAAGTGAGGTTATGTTTTCCGACAATTTTTCCTCTCAAAGTCATATTTTTTAAAAACGTAAAAGAGTCGTCAAATGTAGTTTGTTATTTTTCTGACTTATTACTTGTATATTGGAATTTTTCTATTTATGATTAAGAATTATAGTTTTCCGACTTGCGAGATGGATTTTTCCGACATACAAGTTGTAGTTCTCGAGTTATTTATGGCGAAAACCTAGTTCCGAGTTATAAGTCTAAAGAAATTCAAACTGTAAACCTGAAAAATATAATTTCTATTTCAAATAAGAAAAAATCAACTGAAATCTGAAATTTCGAGATGCAAATCGTAAAAACATTTTCAATTATTAAATTGGCATTTTTCTGAACTAAATCATAAGTTCTGAATTGAACTTTGAACTTTCCTCACTTATAACTCGAATTTATATTGCTTCGAATTAAAATTTACGTTTTTATTCACTTTAAACATTCAGAAAAATGTTTTTCCGATTTGCAATTCGAAGATTTCGACTGGTAAATCAGAGAAATAAAACGATGTTTAGTGGTTCTTCTACGTTTCTATAGTGTTTTTACCACTTTATAAATTGATAACATTTCAAATTCTACGATATACAACTCTTGATCGTGTCCAAGGAAAGTAGGTTAGGAAGGGATTTTCTTTTTCTATAATACGTAAATGTGATGGGACGTTATTGAAACGCTATGTTTTATATTTATCATTAGGGTATATACATATATTTTTGCCTTACGAAGCAGATCAGTGTACGCAATTTGATTTATCCATAAATTCCAAAGCGGTATATTATCTGGTTGCGGTGTGCTCTATCTATTACGTTATTATTATCGTTTCCTGTTAAGAGAATCGACTGATCGTGTTTTGGGTACCTTTTTCCACAACTTAATTTTAATATGAATACTTTTAGCTAGTTCGAATTCAGTTATGTATATATGGATAATTTATTTTAATTGTATAAAATCAGTGAATATATTTTTGGGAAAATAATTTCCTCTTTTATTTTGGTATACCTTCCAATCGTAACAAAAACGGATGCTGTTTCTGCTAAAAATATCGAATTAGATGATCGTTTATTCTGAAAATATAAGTGTACACACAACATCAGTAACAAGATGCAGACTTCAAATTTGACGTAAATAGTAATACTCTGAAATTTTTTTTTTTTAGTCAAATAGTCGAGTTATAATTAGTTTTTTAAAATGCACTTTAATACTTGTGTACGCCGTCACTGTAATCATGTATTGCAAATACATGAATTCTAGGCAACCTACAATGCATGCGAAGGGAAATAGTGTCGGCAAACGGTGATGAAGCGGAGGGTCAGTTCTGCATTTGGGGACGGTATACCCATAATAGTAAATAAATAAGAGTATTTTGTTGGATAGGGCGGATGGAGCATGCATTCACTGAGGCCGTCTCACGTTGGTGCAGGAAAACATTGTCCTTTATAGAAATTGTTAAACAGAAATCTGCAACCACAGATCGAATCTGTATTTTCAATTGACAGAAATAGAATGCGTTGACTGAAATATTTCAATCAACGTAGAATATTTGAGGTTATAGTTTATCTTCAGGACTTCAGGTAGGTTGCCGCGTTTTATGCATTAATAAATTTGTTTTGTTTTAGATTAATATAATAAGGGATTTATCGAATCAATAGTCTGAATTGCCTTAGGCCGGTGTCCCATGCATCCGAAATCCGATATACGATATCCGAAAATATTTTAATTCGTACGAATGATAATATTATAATCCACATGCATCCGAAATTAATCTCATAGAAATCAAGTATAGAACCATGGAATTTATTACAAGATGAAGGTGAAACATTTTCAAATGACAACCATAGGTATATATTATAGAAAATATACGTAGTATTATATTTTCTACATTCGACATTATAATATAACATTTATTTGACTGTAAATATATCAAACAACAATCATAGTATGTTAAAAACTTAAAAAGTGAGGTTAAAGAACATACGATTTCGGATAAAAGTTAAAATTATTTCTACTTTTTCCGACGTCGTATGAATTTTAAAAATTTCGGATGAAAATGAGCGGTAAAAATTTGAATGTATATTAACCAATAGGAACACTTTCGGACCTTCGTATCGTCGGATTTCAGATGCATGGGACACCGGCGTTACTGTTTTTTATTCGTTTTTTTTATCCAAAATACCTGGTAGAACTAAAGGTCAATGTTATGCTCCAAATTGCAAAAGCATTTCTTACTATATGAATATCTGTAATACGTTCTATAGAAATAAAAGTTTTTTCAGAATTACAAAAGACAGACAATTACTGTGGATAGAATCAGTTCGAAAATTATGTAAATCAGAATTTAGTTTACGTTAATTTCAATTATTAACTTAAACTATTAATAGCTGTTTCGTGATCTATTACTTATGAAACACTTTTTATTCTTTGTGTATTTTGTTACATTTAAATTTACCGCCATTATGGTGCAGCGACATCTATTAGATAGTAGAATTAATGATTACTCTAACTGTGTTGTCCAATGCAGTTTCCTTAATTATTTTATGGTCTGTGGTTTCCGAGTGTGTCGTTTGCTGCACCAGCTACAGATGGCGGTACTCTGCCGCTGCTGCCGACAGAATACACGGAATAAAACAGTCTTATTTAGTTACTCAGGTGACTAGTCCTAGAAAGAGAAGTCAATCGCACCATTGTATAAGCACATATCTAGTATAAGTATTTACTTACACACAGACCACACAATGATCGCACTGATGTGTGCAATGCAGATGAAGCTAGTGCAGGCAAATAACGGTAAAACAAATAATGGTACACGGGTATACCGGTATAATATACCGTAAACAAACCTGATGATAACATATTTGATTATTAAATAGATATAAATAAACAGTTTCAACTGAATTGTGCTTATAATATACTTCAGCAAAACTTGTCTTTAAATAATATGTTGAAAAAGAAAGCATCGATATAGTTTTACAAAGCAAGGTAATATGAACTATTTAAAACAATATATCAGAAGAGCTTACAGTAATTTTAACTGATCGAACATACGATATGAGGAAAATAAATGGAGAAATACATAAAGAAGGTATTATAAAAACTATTTGGAAAGTTGAACTATGAATATTTTTTGTAATGTATAATAAAATATCTTTGACTTTAAATTTCTAATTATTACATTCCTCCGTTAATATCTCCAATTTGTACAGAAATTCCATATAAACAAATAGTGCTTATGCTCTTATTCATTAATTTAAAATTACTGGTACAAATATGTATTGTTAATAGAAGTGCAATCGAATTTAATTCAGTTTGAGTTAGATAAAAAATTCTTAATACCATAAGTGTATTTTACTCATTGAAATATATCTACACATTTTTAATGAAATTATTTATCTTCTAGTCTCTATATTATTTTTATAAAATCTTTGTAGATCAGAAATTCGTCGGATGTCCCTTCTGTTATATTCATCTGAATATAATTAAAAACCTAATCAATAATTTTTCAAAATGTTTAGCTTAACCATACTTTTATAGTGTAGTCACCACACATAAATGTATTTAAAATCATTTTAACTTCAAACGGGAATACGGCTAGCTGATCGGGTGAATTAAATGTAATACAGTCGAAATTATGTGAATGAAGCATAAGCCCGCACTAGCTTTATCTCTCTTGCACACGTCTGTGCGATCGCCGTTTATATAGGCAAAATGACAGTTGGGCGAATCCGGTAGTTTATAAGGTCTATGGTTTACAATGAACAATGACAAACTATTACGACTACGCACGAAATAATGCGATCGCCGATTGATTGAATAGAATCTCATGAAAAATTACACCAATCACAGCCAGTGAAATAGAATGTTGTGTTTTAATGTAATCTTATATTATTATTTTAATAATTTTTAATTTTACCGTAATTTAATTGCCAACATGAAAGAAATAAAATTACTGTTCCAAACAAAATTACTGGCCACGTGGCTTGTAATCATTTAAGAACATATATTTTTGAGAAATAAAATACTTCCATTTTCTTTGGGATTGAAGGAACTTTGTAGTTTAACACCGTCAATATTTTATGTTGATATCCTCCGCACAGGTCAGACAGACCTGTTCACCGTACTCTTCATTGTCGAATCCCTTTTTGGAGACCTCCCTCAAGCCTAAACACGAACTTCAAATAAAGGATTGGCTGCGGAATAATTTATGTAGGTAAGTGTTTTATACTTTCTCTGACTTCCTGCTGATCGCATTTCGCGTCCTGTGCTGGTGCGCCCTTTGCTGGAGAACGGTCGAACAGAAGTCGGAATCCTCTACGGGACAGGACCGGCTCCGGGAAATTTCGAAGCCCCGAAAAAAATTATATTCGATAAAAACGTTAGAGCAAAAGAAGAATTCTTTATCTGGTTTCATATAAATCTAACCTAAGCAATCGGTTAACTACTCCTTTGAACTGTATTTTTTTTTATTATTATTTTCCTAATGTTTGAAGTAGGGTTGGTACAAAGACGTAAAAGTCAGGATCAAACTACGTATAAAAGATCTATACTATAACGATTAATTTATATATTTTTCAAGTAGGAATTTACAGCTATAAATATATTCAATATCACAGTAAAGAGATAAAGAACTGTGACCTTGAGCAAATCAACCATATCGAAAAGAAGTAGATTCTTTACTGTTCTGTGGGCAATGCGGTCAACATCCTCAGTTCTAAAAAAGCTTGCCTCAATAAGAGGTAGTTTGTAGTACAGTAATAAAAGTAATAAATGTAATAAACACTTACAATAAATGTTTAATTTGACAGATCTGAGGGCGTCGATCGCAATGCCCTCTAGATCCTGACGCCTATAAACGCAAAAAATTTTGCGCAAGCGCCTGCCCTAGCTTACATTGGCTTATCTGACAGCGTAGCTTATAAAACCTATGATAGTAACGAAATATTCTTTGAAACTTCGATAATGGACCGCCTAACTGGATAATTATTACAAATTAATGTTCGAAATTGCTATAAAACTTTGAAGACAGTCCGGGTCTGGCGTCGCAACGTTGTCTGTGATTAATTATGCAGGCAGCTCTCAAAATCTCCAAAGGACCAAGCCAACTAGACGTCGCTATCGATTTTTCTACCTTTACCTCAGACGCCAGCAAGATACGTTACGTGAATTATAAATAAGGATCTGCATGGTTAATGACCGTTTGTACTTTCGGCGTATATCCGGGTCGGAGAAGTGACCTTTCGGAGTCGGCGTGCTAATTATTATTACCCGTGTTCTGATTTGTGTTTGACTTTTCTCCTAAAGCATCTAGTAGGCGCTTCCCTAAACAATCGCTGCACGGAGAAAAGTGTTCGCCTACTAGATTTAGATTTGGGAATGTTTTGAATTAATCGAATCTTTCGAAGTGATCTGAACTGAACTATTTTCATAGAAGCAGGTCCAAGGTCAATATTAAAAAAAAACATTCCTGCAGCAAAATTCTGTTAAATTAAATCCCAGGATTTAGAAAAAAAACGTAATGAATAGATTTGATACTGCCTTTATCTTTATTAAAATAAATTCTAGTTAAAAATTACACTATATCACTTTCTTTGCCACTAATTCCTACCAATTTCTCACTTTCATTCCAGATCTTGTTGCAAAACTTCGCATCGTCCAATACTTGCGGCTGTCTGTGTATCTGATAATTCACGAAATATTCTTCAGTAACACCTTGTACGGATTTGGAGGTAGCCAAAAATACTGCTAATCCTGCGGAATTCTTCGCGTCATTCGTGGTATATTTCAAGGCATTTTTCGTAACTTGTTTCATTATCTTTTCCAGATAACCATCTTCTTTGGAATCTTTAACCAAGAAGCTTGTATTCGTCATTCCTGGATGAAGACAATTACATGTTACTTTAGAGTTTCTTAGACGTTCCGCAAAACCTTTGGAAGCTATCATATTACACAGTTTTGAGTTGTAATAATTTAAAGTTGTAGATAAAATATTAGGAAAAAATAGTTTTGGTTGTAGTAGTGACCCCAATGTTAAGTTGTGGAAGAATGCCCCGTTAGATGTAACGAAGATAATTCTGCCTTTACCTGATTTTTTCAGCGAATCTAAGAGCAGATTTGTCAATAAGAAAGGCCCTAGGTGGTTCACTTGTATAACACCGTCCAATCCGTCGTATGTTCTCCTATTCTTCATACAAAATATCCCTGCGTTGTTTATCAGAACATCCAAATGTTCTTCTTTGTCTGTTATCTCCTTAGCAAAGCTTCTAACGGACTTAAAAGAAGCCAAATCTAAGTGTCCGACCACTACGTTTTCGTTGCAGGTCTCCTCGATAATCTTTCTTCGAGATTCAGTTTGGTCGTCTTTATCCGCCATTATTACTTTCCAGTCTCTAGAGGCTAGAGCCAAGGCTGTTTGGTATCCCATGCCTTTATTGGCACCTGTTACAAGAGCTACCTTATTTGTTAACTTCTTTAAAGCCATTGGGACGCTAGAAAAATATTTTAATCCATCAGGTCTTAGGAAATAGTCAATTTGACATTTTTTAAATCAGGTGTGATTGACAGGTATAAGATCGAAGGGGTTTTCGGAGACTGTGATCGGGTTAGTTAGGATCAGTGATCTTGCTGCTCGGAAAGCAAACCGTTGAACTTAAAAATCGTTCGGAAAGAAAACGAGTTGATCAGATTCAATCAAGATCAGATCCTTTCAATCCGACACAATTTGAGATATTTGGATCAACTGTTTTATCTAACCCTAAAATTTAGGAAATTCGTTAATCAGTTCCTTTGAGCATATTCTCCATGGAGGGAAACACCGCCTGTGTAGACGCTGGCGCTGTAGAGAGAAAGGGCGGTAGTTTGCGGGAGAAAGATACCCAAACAATCTATCTCCCAGTCTGTCACTCGTCTACACTGACCGCCATTATTCCAGTATTCCATGGCTAGAAATTGGCCTCAATGATTTGGGATCGAGGGGGATTATCCCTCTTTATCCTGCCTCATCTCGTGTAGGCCTGGACAGCCTTTGTAGGTGGGCCGCATCCGTTGTCTATCCTCGCCGCAAATGCGGCCGGTGTAGGCGCTTTGTGGGACCTTGTGTCCTGGCTGGGCCCCGCCGGCTAGGGCCCTTTCTTCTGGCGCTCTTCTTGCTTCGCCGACTCGACCACGCCGTAGTGCTTCCTCCATGTAGTATATACTCTAAGGTTAGTTCAGTGATTAGGGCATGATTAGCATAATAAACAATAAACTTGACTGTTCTGTGTTAAGTCGTAGTTTAATCCAATATCTGTCCGAACTGTATTTTTTCACAATATAAAAAAATAAATTCATCTAAATAAACTTACAAATATTTCATTAAATTGAGGCAGCTGGTGCGACGGTGCTCCAGCTCGACGACCCACGGAGCCCCGGAAAATTCCGACTCCTAGTCACTAACAAACATGGCATTCCTCAGACCGCGACATCTGCTCGGGACTGGGATCACTTCCTGTTATTGGAAATGAAAGAGATTGAATCAAGTCGTTGTGCTCCCCAATTTATCGTTCTCATATTTCACGATTCTGCTGTCGCAGTGTTTACAGGATTATTACAATTAATTATTTCGCGAGGGGGTGGCTGAAGGTTTTATTAACCGTTATGAACGAAATATTTGGTATATTTTCTACGCAGTCGAATTATGAAGCAAAAAGAGCGTTCAGGTTAAGTGATCCAAGCATTTAGGAGTAGGTGGCATTGATTTTATAAGCTATCAGGCAAGTAAAAGTATTCCCGAAAGGTTATGCATATAATTGACATACATACATACACTGTGCATCAGCCTAATGGAATAAATTCAATAATAAATAAATGGGAGTGTGTTCGAAAAAACGCTCGGACACGTAGATTGGTATTTTTAGTTGCGCATTTTTTTTCAATAAAAACTTTTTATACAGGGTGTATCATGTAACAGTGGCCAATACCAACTTTCTTATTTTAAATGCAACACCCTGTATATTATTCAATTTTTGGATTATTCAGAAAATTCTAGACATATTTCATGTACAATACTATCTTCTACAATACCTATCTTCAACTGTTTCGGAAATATTAAGTGTTTTCAGATTTATTAATATTAACAAATTAACATTAAAAAATAAGAAAATTATTTGAGTACAGAAATTCGCTACAACACACTCAAAAACTAATAAGTAATACCGTTTATTTACTGATAATGTAAAAAAGCAAAAACACATTAATGTCAATGTAGAGTTCAAAATGCTTGCCGCCAGCCTTACTTTCTATGGTCGTTGAGTGTAAACTTCCTACATCCAATAGTCCGGTCAAATTAGTCATAAAAATAGTGGTCAAATAACGAAAATTCCGACAGAGCTAAATTTTGGTGGAGACCTTGGATATACCATTAGAAATAAAGTGTCAAAAGTCCCCATTGATCCCATGTGTGCTAAAAAAGTTATTTGGGGTCAAAGGTCTAAATTTGAGGATTTTTGGATTTTTTTCGAAAACGGTAAGTTTTATCAAAAAAGTAGTTCAGACAAAAATTATAGATCTTAAAATTATCTACAAAAATGGCGCTTATACTTTTTTTCTAAGAATCACCGTTCTTGAGATATTGCGATTCTAATAGTTGTAGGAGTCGCGTTCTACATGATATGCACATATATGCCACGTATATACATAGTCAGGCACTTAATACAAGTAAAAATGCCTATTTGTGTCTCTTATATGTATAAACTATACTATTCTGAGAATATATACTCAAAAGAAACTCAGTCCCTTAGTCAAAATGACGCAGATGTCCTTATAATTGAAACAGCAATAGAACAATTTAATGCAACAAATACAACTATTGTAGTTGGTGAAGATGTTGACTTATTAATACTACTCACTGCAAGGACTCCAATTGATAAAATTATATACTTTTTAAAACCTGGAAAGGCTCAACAGCGAACAGAAATATATTCTTCAAAAAGTTTATCTGCTTATCCAAAATGCCAAAACCATATCTTATTTTTACATGCGATAACCGGCTGCGATACTACATCAGCAATGTTCAGAAGGGGTAAAACATCAGTATTAAAATTATTTGGAAAAAAAGATTTGATTGATTGCAGAAATTGATTCTTCACCTCAAACAATAATCACAAAAGGAATTCGCTTTCTCCTTGCTGTTAAGGAGCTCCAAAAAAAATTGATTGTATAGATAAATATAGATATTTAACTTCTGTAAAAAATACACGAAACAAGAAACAAGTACAACTATCTTGTCTTCCTCCAACATCGGCTTCTGCTAATCAACACTTGTATCGAGTATACTATCAAGTTCAGACATGGCTAGGCAATCAACTGAACCCAGAAGACTGGGGTTGGAAATTAACAGATAATACTTTGGAACCGATTCAAACTTTACTTCCACCTGCTCTGGAAAAACTCCTAAACACTATTTTTTGCAATTGCAAAAAAGGTTGTAGTGCTAAATGTGGCTGTAGAAGAGTAGGGTTACTGTGTTCTCCAGCGTGTACTAATTGCCAAAGCCAGTCTTGCTCAAATGTCCAATTGAATACAACAGACGAAGATTCATGTGATTTCGATGAAGAGACAGCTGATTCATCTTCATTTGAACAATTTATGAACATCCAGCAAGAAGAAGAGGAAGAAGAAGAAGAAATCGAAGAAGACATGACTGTTGAAGTCGACTTTGAAGAGTATGAATCAGATTAAAATATCAAAAGAAATCAGAACTACAGTTAAAGTCAATAACCAATATCAATATCAATAATCATCATGCAGTTAAAATAGTATTGTACCTGAAAATTCCGTCATAACAGTTCGTGGAGTAGGCCTACCGCGGAAACCACGTTAAAAAAAAATACAAAAAACGCGCCAAAGTACACTACCTCACAGGTGGTGTGGAAATGTGTGCCTATCATGTAGAACGTGACTCCTTCAACTATTAGAATCGCGATATCTCAGGAATCCCGAAAATTATTTAAAAGTTACTCAACCATGTACCTACACCAAATTACTCTTATTTTCCCACCCGAATGTTCGCGATTTCTGTTGCGTCAGACCCTTCTATTCTCCTTTTTTTCACGGGGCACACACCGCGCCATTTTTCACTCCGGTATTCTAATGCGAAAAATATTGTTAAGATCCCGCATCGCGCACAAAAAGCTTCCATTTACGCATTAAGATAACGGACTACACCGTGTAAACAACGGGGCGATCATTAGTTATCTCGAATCCGGGGGGGAAAGCCTGCATGCGCGTAAAAAATAGACTACTTCTTGCCGACGGACTATCTAAACAGATTAACTAAATATAACAGTCGTTTGGGTGTGGGTTTGCTTCCTTTTTGCCGCTACCGGGGCCATTCGTTATTTTTATGGCGGGCCATTTAGGTTTTTCAGCACAAAAGGACGCCCCAATCGGCCAAAGACGGCGTAATACATCGCTAGGGGAACGGTGTTTATTCGGGACATACCATGATCTACGGAGGGGGACAATAAATATTACCCTTATGACTATTTGTAAGATTTTACTATCAAAAGGACAGTTTAATATCTATCCACAGGGTGTCCCCCGGGGGGTCAGTTCCTCTTGGAAAAATAGTGGGAGTAATTCTTATAGAGCTTTATAAATGATTACAAGCCACGTCACCATAAATTAAAACGATATTCAACAACACCGAATTGCTATAAATGTAAGCCATTTTTGATACTTGAAAAACTATTGTAAACACTATCGCTGAAACGTTAATAGTAAAATCGGATTTTAAGTATTTAGAATCGCCTGGGGCTAGGGACGCATCTATTCCTAAATTTTTTTGAATAAGTTGTGAATCCCCCTATACAGGGTCGGAAAGTCCCCATGGTTCATCGGCCGTTACGTGAGAGCGATAAAGTAAGTCATAGAAATCCGTGCGATAGAGAAAGATGGCTATAATGAAGGTCTCCGCCCATTTCGCCCTTCCACAAAAAAGAAGTGGATCTTATTTGTGGAGGGGCGAAATGGGCGGTGACTATTAGACGTCTTCATTATAGCCATCTTTCTCTATCGCACAGATTTCTGTGACTTTCTTTATCGCTCTCACGTAACGGCCGATGAACCATGGGGACTTTCCGACCCTGTATAATCCATATCTTGCAAAAAATACTATAGTAGTGCCATACATGGACTTGTCCCTTGACAATTTTTAAGTCTTATACATTTTTGTCATTTACCTTTACGTGCAGATTTTTGCAACTGGCTATGAGCAAATTAACAGAACAAATTTATTTTTATCCGCATTGGAATTTTGAATTTCTATACATATACTCACCAGTGGTCTGTTGAAAATTCTTACTACCATAGTATTTCAACTCCATTCTCCATTAATACACTGCTCAAAATAATTAGAGGAACACTTATATAAATCTCAATAACTTTTTTGTTTGTAATACTATATAAATCTAATAATGCATATCTTAAAGACTAACATTTTGT